ATGGGAGGGGAGGGGAGGGGAGGGGAGGGGAGGGGAGGGGAGGGGAGGGGAGGGGAGGGGAGGGGAGGGGAGGGGAGAGGAGGGGAGGGGAGGGGAGGGGAGAGGAGAGGAGAGGAGAGGAGAGGAGAGGAGAGCAGAGCAGAGACAAGGAGAGGAGAGGAGAGGAGAGGAGAGGAGAGGAGGGGTGCATCAGGCTGTTCTAGAGCAGGAGAGGGGAGGGGAGGGGTGAGGAAGAGCGATGGAGGCGAGAGGGAAATGAGATCATTGAGGAGGAAGAGGAGGAGAGGGGGGAGGAGGAACAGGTGGCATGTGGTGGTGGAGGAGGCAAGATCAGGCTAACCCGCGCCATGTCTCGTCGTGCTGATACCTGCTGTCATAGAACCGGACGTCGTCGTATGGACAAGGGAGCAAGTCATGGCTAACCTGCACAAGCCACTGAGAGACTATGCTCCTCGGGCGACTCCGAGACGCTCGCATGCTGCAGAGGAGGATCAGCAAGGTGGAAGCGAGAGGAGGAGCGAGCGAGTGAGACTGGGGTTGCCGGTCCGAGCATCAACAGCTGGATCGGTGAAGGAGGCTCGATGGACGCTGAAGGTTCTTGAATGGAGGGGGAGGGACTGGCTCAGGACCATGTCGCTGCTACTCGTGGCAGGCATTTCGCCCAAGTTGGTTTTCACCATCTACAGAGGATTCTTGAATCTCTCTGATGTGTTGGAGAAAACTTACAGGTACACAGCATAACTCCAGGAAGACCGGAACCAGATTGAGTTAGAGAGTGAGTGAATTAATTAAGTGCATTCCATTAGATCTTGTAAATAGTTGAACTTTTGCTTGTTCGTTTTCATCTTCTTCCAATCCCAGTAAGGAACTTCAACCTGCAGGAGAGGGTCAGACAGGCAGAGCAGACAGCCACACCCTGCCAGTTCGATGCCATGCTGGAGCAGCAGGAACCGCTTCAGCACCGTCCCACCTTCTCATGGACTGCAGGTCAGGACGTGCTGGGAGAAGAGCTGTTGAGCACCGCAGGGCTCCTGGGAGGGGACGAGGTAGTGCGAGGGCCCGTTCAGCTCAAGCACGTGCATGGCGCTTCCTCTTTCCATCACGACGTCCAAGGAGAGCCCTACATGAGGCATGAGAAGAGACGGACCGAACGCCCTCCGGCTACCGCTGCCACCATGGATCTGCTCTTCATACACCTTGAGCTCTTGCGAGCTTGCCTGGGATCTCTTGGCGATCTCCACGAAACTCGTGTGGAAACGCGACTGGTTGCTGCGCTCCCCTGCTGGCCGTTGAGCTTGCAGCAGGGGGGTAAGAGGCTGCTCACCTTGCTTACTGTAGGGCGACTCCTCAAACACAATCCTTGCAAGCCTCCAGAACTCCGGGAAGGAGAAGTCTTCGTCGCGGAACTGCCCGCCCGGAAAGACTCTGCAGCATTCTCTGAACAGGTGCAGGCGTGTAATCATCGGGCGGTTCCGATCCGCCTTCATCGTCGACAGCTTCCCAGGGACCAGATTCCTGCTGACGAGACCGTTGAAGCAGGTCAAAATCCATTGAAAGAACTTCCGCATTCGCTGGCAGAAGTCTTTGTCCACGTCGAGCTTCTGCTGATACACTGACTTGCGCCTAACACAGTGACATGCGAGGACACAAGAGGCTCCCCACGCAAGCTTGCAGACATTTCTGAAGTCCATCTGCCCCGTGCTCACCAACGTCCTCTCAGCCATCTGCAGGTAGAACTCGAAGTCCTGATAGTTCAAGTAGCCGAAATGATCCCAAAGCTTCGAGGCAGTGCTGGCAGCAAAGTTTATTGACCAGCGGAGTCGGGAAGAGCAGAGAAGTAGCAGTGGGAACAGCAGTCGTGGGAGTACGAGAAGCAACACGAGGGGGAGGATGAGCAGGGGCGAAGAGGAGGAGCAGGAGGAGCAGGAGGACAACAAGGAGAAGGTGGTGGTGGAAGCGGAGGCGGAGGATTGGTTACCTGGAGTTGAACGCAGCTCCTCTTTGCAACAGTCCCGTGCTCCACTCGCTGATGATCTGAAGGACGTTTTCTTCCCTCCATCTCAAGTGCACCAGCCTTTCGAGAACCTCCGCCAGCTTCCTCGACCATTGTCAGCCCCACAAAGGCATCGAACGACCTCACCGTCTCGAGATCGAAGTCCCTGGGAGGCGTTAAGACAAAACCGTTGGACAAGTGCTTCATTGCCCTGTGTGCGATTGTTGGCGGCAGCCTGTTTCCACATCCCCTCAGAGGTGTTCTTCCCGGTCGACCAAACTTTTCGATGAAGCTGAAGGATCATTACAAGGATGTCATTCCATGTTTCATCCCTCCCGCTCGCCTGAAGATTGCAAGGAAGTGCGGTACCATCAACGACTCCGTGTCAAGGTTTGGCAGCTGGCTGACCAGAAAGTTGAACAAGTCCTTCGAGTCCTGGGGAGATGAGATCAGGAGCACAGAACCTCTCCACAACGAGCGAAACCCACGGGACTGTCCTCCATTCTCTTTTCAAATGCTGACACCAGACGAGAGAAATCTTCGGCACTGCCTAGGTTGCCCCTCCTGTTCCTCAAGATCGCGGCTTCTATCTGGATTCGGCGCATCAGATACGGTGGAATGGCGATCTATCGATTGTTACCTTCTTCATGAGTGCATCATTGCCCAACTTGCAACCAACCTGTGCCAGAAGCGAGAGCTCTCCCACGCTCCATTCCGTTAAATCCGCTCTGTCCGCACACCGACCAACCTTCGACAGAATCTCTCCATCTACTGGGCGAGGAGAGGAAACCAAGGACGCACATACTTTTCGCAAACTTGAGCTCATTTCTGCCTCACTCATCGCAATCAACCTCTCGATAGTGAAGCTCTTCAGTTTGCTGCCCCTACACTTCTCCCCGGCGCCTCCTCCCCTGCCTGATCCTCCTCCTCTGCCTGCTGCTGATGCAGCCGCTGCTACCGCTCCTGAAGTTCTCTCGTCCTCTCGTCCTCCTCCTCCTCCTCCTCCTTGCAGGCTCAGCACCAGCATCATCAGCCACACCCGTATGACCAGCCGCATTGAAGCACCATGAACTTGCAGAGGTCTTATATATAATTGATCCTAGAGTAAAACTTCATGTTTGCTATAAAATCTATAATTTGTCAGATTTCTTTATAATTTACTATAATGCGGTTTGTGGGACCCAGGTGGCCGCTTGACATGTGGAGGAGAACATGTAGGCGGCTGCTGTCCTCCGGACAAAATTTCTACCAACCCCAGGTCCTCCTCCTCCTCTGTCTCTGTCTCTGTCTCTGTCTCTGTCTCTGTCTCTTTCTTTCTCCGTCTCTGTCTCTCTGTCTCTGTCTCGCCCCCCCCCCCCCCTTACCCCCCCTCTCTCTCCCTCTCTCTCTCTGTGTTCAGGCCCTTCTCGTAGCCCTCTTGTCTCTTTCCCACATGGACTTCTTTATCCGTGTGCAGCTACCCTTGTTGCTGTTCTTCGCGTCTTCCTCGTATATCCTTCTTGTTTCGTGATGAAAAGCGTCTCCACCTCATCTTTTCAAGTCTTGACCTGATGAACCATCGCAGCATGTCGTGACGCCTGACAACAGCCGAGTAGTGATAACTCCAGGAGCAGACAGCACAGGAAGGTAAGGCTCGACTGCCCCTTCTCCTTGTCTGATACGCTCTGTCAGGCTGCTTCCTCCTGCCAACGCACTCCTCATATTTCTGCATGGGCTAGGCGACAGCGCTCAGGCATGGTCGGGCGTTTGCTTTCAGCTGGCGATCAAGTATCGGCACGTCAAGTTTGTTCTCCCAAATGCCCCTAAGTGAAGAGAGATGAGAGAAGGGGAGGATGCAAGTGACTGGGAGGTACAGGATACCTGTGACGGTCAACAAGAAGGAAGTCATGCCTGCATGGTTTGACATAATCGGAAAGCCATCGAGATCAGACGTGAGCTGATCTGCTCTAGAGCAGCTTCTGACGTGCTTGACGCGCAGGAGCCTTGCGATGGGATCGAAGAGAGCAGGAGCATCCTTCAGAATATGATAGCGAAAGAGATCGAGGTGAAGGAGGAGGTCTCAGTCCCATCACCGCTGAGGCAAGTCGTTCTAGTCTGGTATCCCAGCGAGGAGGATCATTCTTGGAGGCTTCTCGCAAGGTGGAGCACTCGCTCTGTTAGTATCTCCAGCGATCGGAAGCTACACGTGACTTCATCCCTCAGGTACACGGCGATGAAGGAGCAGCAGGGGCTAGGTGGAGCCATGTCGCTCTCGGGCTACCTCCCCTCCTCCGAGCTCAGAGCCACGGAGCGATCCAAGGACACCCCAAGTAGGATCGCATGCTTGTTTGCATGCTTGCCGCTGGGTTCTGACTGTAGTGCAGTTCTCATGTGCCATGGCGCTGCCGACCAGGTGGTACCCCTCAAGGAGGCTCTCCTTGCTCGCGATAGGCTCAAGTCGTCGGGATACTCGGTGAGGTCCCGTCGGAGTGATGGCGGGTGAGATGACGAGGTGAAAGGTGAATTATCGCGAGTTCAAGAATCTTCCGCACGATTTCTCCATGGAGGAGTACGATGTGATAAGCCGGTGGATAGGAGAGATCGTCCCGTGAAGGAGTACGGAGTGATAGCTGCGGGATGAACTGGTTCTGGGTGGAGGAGGGGACAGTGGAGGCTGGCTGGTCATTTCTTGGAGCACATCTCAAGACGGTATCCCCCCCAAGGACCTGCCGACGATGGTCATACGAGGAAAAGCAACGAGGCAGAGGCTACCGAGAAAGTCCCGGAGCTTGAGGAGGAGGCCCTCTGCGACGACACGATCGTCGGTCTGAGGGTGGAGTGAGGGCAGTGCTCAAACGGGCAGAGGGTCAGGCACCTGGTTCTTGAGGTAGTTGTAAGGGTCGATACACTCACACTCAAGCTCGAAGTCTGGCTCTGTGTTCATCTGCTGGTTGCGGGCCTGCATTCCTCATTAGCATGAAACAACCTAGGGAGGGAAGGAGGGGAGGGTCAAGGGAAGGGAGACAAGGAGAAGGGAGGCAGAGAAGGAAGGGGTCGGCTGGAGATGATGGAGCGGTAGGGCAAGGAGGCTCTTGGTTCTTACTTGGCCCAAGGTCTTCCCCGACCAGACAAGAGTGAAGTCAAAGCGCCAGACTGTTGGAGTATTAGAAGGACATTCCATGACAGATTAGAGAGACAAAAGAAGGAACAAGAGGAAGAACAGCAGAGCACGATTAGCACTGGGTGAAAGCCGGAAGACCCTCAAGGTACCTGGTTTCGCCGCATTGGAGGGAGTGTAGAGAAAGCTCTTCCTCTGCTTTATCCTCACACGAATCTGTGTGCCATTGCGAATGATCGCAGGATCGCCCTTCAGTATTCGTTCTTCGCTCAGTGCGATGCGAACATCGGAGCTGAGCGCCGTGAGGGGCTGTCCGTCCCCGATGGTCGAGATGTATGCGAAGTCCTTAATCTGCCAAGTAACGTCTCAGCCCTTCCAGTGAACTTGCTGCAGTCCTCTTGCCTTCAAGATCTTCTTCTGCAGTACCATCTTGGTCGCTTGTTGAGTATCCTATTGGAGAAAATGAGCGCACAGTCAACTAGAAATGCTCAGGAGGCGGTTAGCACGGATCGAAACAAGAGGAAAGATCAGCGAACGGCAGAGGGGGCAACATCCAAGGATGCATTCACAATTGTGTTCAACCTCATTGAAAGCGACGGCCACCCTGTACTGGTTTGAACCGACCTTGAGGATGTAGTCATGAATCTCTTTCCACTCTCCATGTTCTGTCCAATCATCCCATCCCTCGCACATGCCCAGCACCCTGTCCATAAACTCCCGTGTGACTCCATTGCGAAATCGGCCGGGTGAGCCGGAAGTCCCCGGAAGCCACTTCCCTAGCCGAGCTTCTAGCTCGTATGAAGTGCTGCCGTCAGCCAGGCTGCCTGAAACATTCTTGAACACGTTGGATCTCAGCGACGCAACCATCGGTATCGTTTCCTCGATCGCATCCTTGATCGACAAGTCACCCGTCACAATGTTCGCTAGCCTCTTGATGGAGTGAGTGGTCTGGATCGCGCGGAAGAACTTCACTTTCTCCTGCGAGTCACTCCATATCAAATTTCGGTTGATCCCTGAGAGGTCCACAATGTCTATGCAGAGGACCTTGTCGACATCTGCGCAAGGATCTCCCAAGCTCTCGCTGAAAGGAATGGAAAGCGAGAGAATCCCTTGCTTGACACAGGCTCTGACCTCCTGCGTGACATCCGTGCCGACTGTCAGCCACATCCCGTCATCGTCCTCGAGCACTGTCTCCCAGAGATACCGCGGATGGCCATACCATGCTCGGACAACCTCACGGAGCTTGATTTCCTTCCTTTCCTTCTTGATGCTACCAGATCTGTCTTCCGGCATTGAGTAAACAGTCCCATCCTTGGTGCGGAGAGAGCCTGAGGTCAAGCTGACGGGATACCTGAGAGAGCAAGAGGGGAGATGTAAGCAGCACGTGATCATTGTGGATAACAAACCTTTTTCCTTGTTCAACAGGTTGCGGTGTTGACTGCACTGGAGGTTTGGGCATGTTGCTCCGATACCTCTGGAACTTCGATCGCAGATTTACTGTTTTGTTCTTCCCCGTGGCCACTTGGTCCGGCTGATCCTTCAAAGAATTCTATCCAAACACTGATGAGTATGAAAGATAAAGAAGGGGAAAATTGAACTAAACTCCTCACCTCAATAACATCGAGCAAAGCATCAATCGGACGAAACAGAGCATCGACAGCAGGAACAGTCTTCGTCCATTTAGCAAAGCGAACTAAGACCTGGGCTGTTGTTAGAAGTGACAGAGGTCCCAGAGCAAGGGATCATACAGCTTCTGGAACCGATTCGTAATACTTCAGATCATCTGAATAGGGCACAGACGAAGAATCGGAGGAGTTCTAGGGCTCAACTTCAGAGTGAATCGGCTGTTAGATCAGAATCTACCATCCGTCGGTTCAGCTCAGCCCACCTGTCTCAATGTCAAGGAGAGGAAACAAGACAATGGATGGCTCACCTCGCCTTCCTTGCACTCAGGATTGCAGCCTGTCGTGCCTGCAACTCGTTTGACAAGAGTCACAGGAATAATGAAGGAACTTACGCGCGAAGCCTCCCGAAACCTGTCAATCTTTTCTGTGATGTTGGATCTAGGAGCTTCTTGTGACGCCTCAACATCACGCCCCTCCTTATTCCCTCCAGTGCTTGCTGCAGGATGCAAACGAAACGCTTCCAGGGCTTTTGGGTCCTCCTCAAATTCTTCGACTAGACGTTTCGACAAGGAGGGTTCTGACGGCACCGACGGAGGACACACGGGCATTACTTTGGGGGATGGCTGGTCTGATCTCGTCAAGTTTTCAAACAGAAACAGCTCCGGATCCTGTGGGCCCTGGGGACCTGAGCTGCTCCCTCTCCCTCGCCTCCTCCGCTTGGCATGCAAGCAGAGCCTCGAGGTCACAGAGTGCGATGGAGCCCTGCAGATGTCTGCTACATGCAGGAGACGCCGAGCAGGAGACATGCTCAGCTCTGGAACCGCCTGCCTGTCTCTGTTGATGTTGAGAATCTTCACGTTCAACCACTGGAAGGCTGCTGGTTGAGACAGGGGCACGACATGGCCATCAATCTGTCTGGTCAACACCCCATCGTACGAGCTGATGCCAAGCTCGATGGAGAAGACAAGGAAGAAGAACGTATTGCGGATCATGTCGAAGTGAGGTAGACAATGCTGCAGCACCCTCAACACACAGATCCCGGTCGAGGTCCACAACTCATCAACAACAAATCAAACCTTCGGCGAGTTAGACCCAGTGATCATGTGCAGCGAGATGATCTGCTCATCGCTGGAGAGACACAAATCCGTACGTCTTAAAGGGCGTCTAGATCTGAATCCTGTACAAGTTCCTGTCGGACACAAATCTCAAGACTTACTTCCTTGCGGTGATGAGATTGCCCATGGCGTCGATGACCAGCTTACACTTAGCTTGTCGCTGAAGATAGAGCGTACCGATTCTTCATTGGGTTGCATGGATTCTTCACGAAGCTTGAGCATATTGATTCAAGCAGCACCACCCGTAACTCGCACTAGAGCCTGGCTGTAATGGCTTCTGCGCCCTCTCACTCTGTCAACCCTCACAGCGTCTCTCACATTCATACACGGCTCCCTCTCGTCCCCCTCTTCGCTCTCTCCTCCTCACTCCTGTCTCCTGTCTCCTGTCTCCGAAACTCTCTCTTCTTCCCTTCCTCTTCCTGCGCCTCACTGCCGCAAACTCTCCGCCATGGCAATCCTGCTTTTCCACCCACCCCGTTCTTCTCTTAGTAACCCACCTCCGGATTTTCACCCACCCATCCACCCCTGTATTTATAAACAAAAGTACCCACCATAAACCTTAGTTGGTAACAAGCACCCACAATGGACCCGTGTGTCTCGACTACCCCCACCCCCGCTATACATGGGTCACAGGAAGTAGGGAGAGAGGGGTCATCTTGCTATGTTTAAGGGGGGTCATAGGTGTCTGTAGGATGGGTGGCTTTCAAGAGTATGAGGGCGATGAAGGCACTGACGATGATGAAGCGTCGAGAAGCATCATGGGCCTGAGAACGAGAAAGTAAGGAGGACAAGGACGAGGACGAGGAGCAGGACGAGGACGAGGATCAGGACGAGAGGAAAGGAGGTCAGGAGTGACAGCAAAACAGGAACAGGAACGAGAGAAGAGGCAACGAGAGGGCTGAGGAGGGGGAACCGGGGTGACTCACGGGGACTCGATCTCCCTGTCCCTGTGAGTTCGTAACAAGGGTCTCCACTGCTCACATGAGGATGCGATGGCTCAGTGGAGCGACGTTGGGTGCCTGCACCATTGTTTGCCTATGGATGCTGTGCGAACGACCGGGACATGTTGCACTGCTCTCTTCAGCGTCGCAGAAGCTTCAACCATCGGGTTCTGGCATTCACATCAAGGGCCTTGCAGAGGAGCAGGAGAAGCTGAGGCTGAAGAGGATGCATGCGCTGCACCCTGGAGCGAGTGCTCTGCATGACTTCGAGCACTCACTCGAGGCCCGGTCCGGGTCTCATCGCCCTGCCCGACCTTCTTCGTGGAGGGTCAGGCACATGCAGGCAGCGCTGAAGCGACTGCAAGCGAAGGGGAGGGACGAAGAGGCGAGGATGGCGAGCATGCGGAAAGAGATAGCGCAGGACAGGGAGGACTACCATGAAGCACGGCAGCTGCTGCGACGAGGGATGAAGGACAGGAAGTTGGCAGAGTCGGAGCGGGAGCGGGCGCACACTTTGATCAAGGAGGCGAAGAAGGAGAAGGGGGAGCTGGAGCAGAAGAAGCTTGCAGACAAGCAGCTGCGGAGAGAAGTTCAGGATAGAGTGCAGAGTCTGAGGATAGCACGGGATGACGACCTTGAGGAGCAGAAGCGCAACCAGGTGGTGATGGACACCGTCTACTCCATCCAACAGCAGGCGAACGCCGAGAGATCGGAGGCAATGACGTTGCGATCTGACGCCCTGAACTCGCTGGCCGAAGCTCGAAGGTATGCCCGCGAGGCAAAGAACATGCGGAAGCTAGCTAGGAGCATGGAGAACACAGCCAAACTGGACGGACAGGCTGAGAGCGTCTCCCAGGAGGCGGAGGCTTCGTCATCGGTCAGCAAGGTTTGGATCTCTTCCTCTGAGAGTCGTTCATAACATTCCTTCCAAGGCCCCGACAGGCAAGGCTTCTTCCTTGTCCAAGAAGGTGGAAGCAACTGTGTCAAGGTTGAGGAGGGAGGCTGCGAGGTGAGTCGGATGCTGTCAGGAGCGTCTCCCTGACCCCACTAAGGTATCGGCACGAGGCCTCCCGGCTCATGATCAAGTCAGAGATGGTTGGCTCCAAGGCTCCGCGCGACCTGGCGGTGGCGAACAAAGTCCTCAAGACGGCCAAGTCGCTCTACGAGCATGCCGAGAGCGTACAGAATTCCTTGCGAAGTGCAGAGATCCTGCACCAGCAGACGGAGTACCAGCAGATGCCGCAGAGGCAGCAGGAGCTGGCGAGCAAGGAGGCGGCAGTGCAGCATCTGGCAGCGAACCTAAAGGGGGAGGAGCGGGTGGCAGATCATCTGCAGGAGCTGGTGAGTGGAAGGAGGGGAGCGCGTGATCCAAGCTTGACGGGCAAGGCAGCAAATTGAAGCCAAGGAGCTGTTCCACAAGGCCGCTGCCGACGTGAGATCGTCCGACCAGGAGGCACGGGAGGCGAAGATCTCCTTGAAGGCTGCGAGGACGAGTGAGATTGAGGTGAGCCCGATCCTGCACAAGTTGTTTGGCTCAAGGCTGTTGTACAGGACGAGGGAAGGTTGCAGGCCCTGGAACGAGCATGGAGGGTCTCGCAACAGCAGATGGCATCCCTGAACGATGCAGGACAAGCCAGATAGATAGAGGGGAGCGGGCTGTCTGGGAAAGAGGAGGAAGTCCAAGAAAGGGGAGGAAAGCGATGGCATGTCATCACCTCTGTAATGACACATAAAAGAATAAGAAAGAATGCAAGCCAAGCCCAGCTTGCTCCAGGTCGTTATCTATCCTTCTCCGCTCCTTTGCTGCTGCGGGCCCAATTCCAATCACTGCATCGCAGCTCGTTCTTCTCGCCTTCAAGCTTCGATTTCTCGTCATTGAGCTCCTTCACCCGAGCCTGCCATTCACCCTCGTCAGAACAGGCAGGGAAAAAGAAGTTTCATCTCACCTTGAGAATCCTGACGACATCCCTCAGCTCCTCTTCTGTCAGCTCTGCCGGGTTGCAGTTCTCGGCTGCGTGCACCATGCGGCACTTCTGACATTCCTGCCCCTTGCCTTGCGGGTGTCCGCATGTCGCTGATGGCAGAAGAGTGTCGGGAGCATCTTTGAACGTAAATTTCTTGTGCTTCCTCTCCAGCTGTCGATCTTGAGAAATACGTCCGCGAGGGGATTTGGGTGAGTCTAGAGGAGCTGAGAAAATCCTCGTAATGCCCTCCTCGGCTGCTGGCTTGACTGCCTGGATGGAATTTGCACCATCGGCTCGCCCGTCCGTCTGAGTTTTGACAAGCTCGCTATGGGGTATAAACGATCTGCTGAAGCCTCCAGATTGGCCTGAGGTGCAATTCATCGGGGAGTTTGGCTGGGTCAGCGATCGCCCAGAAGGAGCCTTGGTTGAACAAGAGTAGTGTTCCAGTCCGCTGAGATCTGACGTCACATGCGAGACGATCTGAGCACTCTGGTTAGGCGGGAGGGAAAATAGCCCTCGCAATACCTTCGCTTGAGATGGATCACAATTTGCTGCACTAGCACTACTTGCTGCAGCTTCGGCACCCTGAGACTTCGCGTTTTCCGATTCCCCGTTGTGAAAACTCTCCGGCAGCGACTGGCTAGATCCAGGCTGATTGAACAGTGAGACTGACAGAGTCTAGCAGAGCAAAACACTTGCCTGCGAAGAGGTAGTCGAGCTCGAATTCGCTGATGAATCCTTGTTCCGATCCTCTTGAACGTCTACGATCAGGAAACGCTTCTTCCCATGCGATTTCCCTCCTTTTTCCCTGTCGCATGATGCATGACATGTCTCTGCACAGTCCTGAAGACGCAGATCAGGTCAGTCAACTCTCATCTAGGAATCGATTCACCTTGGAGAACGACATGCATTCTTCACTGTCTGTCATTGAGTGGGACCGTAGCCTCAAGCTCTTCTCGCTGACATTCTCTAGCGCAGAAGGATTCGAGTTCGTTGAATCCGCATTTTCCACATTATGGAAAGTGACTGAAACCCTTACTCCATCGTCATTTTCTGAAGCTAATTTGATCAATGCATCATTGCCGCTCTGGTTCGGAACAAGAGTAAAGCATCTAGCCGTTTTGGGCACCTCAACCTCAGCCTTGTTCGCAATCGAAAAGTTGCCATCTAGAGAGAGTTCTGGTGGCGAGACCCTTTCCTGTTGGGTGCTGACCCTCATCGGTGATCTACAGCAAAAGGCGTTGTCAGCGAGACATGCTACTTTGGCAAGTAATCTACCTGGGAGATAGAGGTTCTGAAAGAAGCTTCTCAAGCTCGGCCCACACGTTGTCATCAGCTACTACAAGTCGCATGGTCTGTCCATTGCCGTCGACTGCATCCAAACTTTGCTCCGCGCCATTATCTTGTGTGGCCTCACCGTTGCTCTTACTCTTGTCCATCGCGTCTAGGCAAGGTGAAAGCTGCAGCAACGTCAGATGAATTCTTGAAAGTCAAACAAGGCTTTACTTGAGCATTCGCAGACCGCATCAGCGCAGGACTCATCGCTGTCCTCTTCACCTGGAAGGTGACGGAAGCTATCCTTCGTTCCGGAGATGGAGGGGCACGAGCATCGCCACCGCCACCGTCAGTGTTGGGAGAGTTTCCAGCTGGCATGGGAGACCCTTGCGCACTCAACAACTCCAAACACAAAGACCCACTCCTGGAGCGAGGGGTATGCAGATCGACATTAAACTGAGCATCCTCAAGCTGCAGGCCGTTGCCATCCATCTTTATATTGTCGATGCAATCACAGGGTACAATGCATATTTCACGAGCATAAACCTGCAAAAACTTCAACTTCATAAAACTAAGAAAGCAAGGATCTTGCCTCCTTCACTGTCGCAGTTGATGAGGGAACAGCATCAGCATTTGGGGGAGTTGATCTCGCTTCACCAGTTCTTTGAATAGAGGGGTTGCAACCCTCGTCGGCATGATTGTCATGCACGGGGCATTCCTTGCTCTCGTTTTCTAGATCTGGACTTTCGAAGAAACTAATGGAAGGGCTCACAGAATTTGTGTATGAAGGTATCTGAGGCCTTTCCGCGTCGAGATTGTCGTTGGAATCACCCAGGAGATCACATACAGAAGGCACCGCGTCGGAAACTCGAGTGCTGCTTTCGGAATGCTCTGTTTGGAAATACAGCTCTTCAACAGACCTTTCAAGTTCATGATCAGACATGATATTGAGGCGCTCTACTTCATCGAAAGTCCATTCAAGATCTTCAGATTGCTGAGCAACCTCTGAACTTGACTGATTGGTGTCTACTGAAGAAGTCTCATTGATCACATCTGCGAAGTAATCTTGACCGGGTGCCTGAGCTATTTCGAAGTAAGAGTGATGAAGCAGCCTTGAAGCAGTTGCTCTATCAGCTGGGTCTGACTGCAGACAAGAGGAAACCAAATCTCTGACACTGGCCGGAAAGCGCTCGTCCAAGCGCGGAGGAGGTGCTTGCAAGATGCACTTCAACACTTTCAAAGGTTTCATCCCACTGAATGGAGTACTGCCAGTGGATAATTCGAAGACCGTAATTCCAAGAGCCCAGATATCAGCCTTGAAATCATACCCACTTTCTTGTTCGACAACCTCCGGTGCCAGCCAAGAAGGGGTTCCCACAAAAGTTCTCCGCATGTTCCTCTGAGCTTCTTGGGACATTCTGAATTCTGCCGCAGAGATCCGTACATGACCGCTAGAATCAATCAAAAGATTATCTGCCTTAATGTCTCTATGGAGCAAATCCTCGCCGTGAAGGTAAGCAATCCCTTCGATCGCTTGTTGGAGAATGAACGACACAATTTCCTGTGAAAAACCGTCGTGGTATTTCGCACGCAACTGGTCACCACAGGATCCTCTGTTCATGAAGTCAACCACAAGCCACAACTCAGAACCACAGGAGAACGTCGCAAGGAGGTGGATTATATTTTTGTGTGAACACTTTCGCATGATCGCAATTTCCTTTTGCAACACATCCAAGGCATCAGGTTTGTGATTGTTTTCAAGGTCGATAACTTTCAGGGCAACGTCCCGCTTTGATGTGGTTTCCTGGGCCCACCAGACCTGAATCCAAGAACTGCTGCTTTTCAGACGCTTTTCCTTCTTGTAACAGCTACCCGATGAGGGATAAACTTCTCCCATTGGGCCTTCCTTAGCCATGCAAGCAAGGCTGCAATCAAATCAAGACGGATACTTTCTTGTCCCTCTCTTTTCCTTCCGATCAATCAGAGGTATCACAGGTATGCCAGATTGACGCCATCCGAATTCTTCTCAAGCTGTACTGAGGCCAGCGATGCAAGGGCACAAGAGGAAGGCATCACAGGCAATCCCAGTGGATCAGACAAATGTAAGTTACAATTAAATTCCATTTCTATAATACATCCAACCAGACGCACAACTCAAAGCCAACACCTGGAAAGTAGAAATGAGTTGAGACTAAAAAATGAGGTTATAGTCTCATTGCACTAAACAACGAGGAACATGACAAGTTATCATGCTTAGCACAGGATAGGATCATCGCACACGTGCTCGCAAGTTCGCAGTCGAAGAACATGGTACAAATTAATGGCTCGGATACATGCAAGTCATCAAGACAAGGAATCCATTAGCTCCTTCGTAGTACGGTAGTTTCCAATCATCATATTTACACAAGCCTAGATAAACACAGATGAAAACACTGCGTGAGAAGATGCCACTGGTTTTGATTTAGAATAGAATCGTTTTGTTGTTCAGGGCGCATCAAAGTATATTGATGTGAGGTCATATCAACAATCAAAAATCAACGAGAGCAAATTTTCAACAAAAATGGGAGTGCCTCAAATAGAAACGTCTGCTCTGGAGCATGAAAGAGGAGGGGAATCCTTTCGTCCTACAACATGGATATCATAGCAAGATCAATCGGCATCCAAGGGGACCGCGCAGTAGCAATGGCGCCGAGCTCGAGCTCTAAGCATATTGCGCAATCGACATGGAAGGAATGTGGCAATGGGGTGGGAGCGTGTTTTCCTTGACGGTAGGGTCATCATTAGTCGTTATGGGTAGGGGTAGTCGATTTTTAAAAATTCATCATTCATAGGGGTGGGGGTGATACAGAGGAACGGATTGTATGGTGGGTGTACTTCCACAATAGGTAGGGGTAGTTCATATATGGGAAACAAGGGGGTAAAATAAGAAAATTCGATAGGAAAAATAATGGCAAGAAGGTGGGTGGTGTAGAAGATGTTGTCCGAGTCTAGGTAGGTAGGTGCTTCCTTCATGAGATTCCATGGGTGGGTGCTTCATCTAGACATACACCAGGTGGGGTGGAAGAGAAAATCGATGAATGGATTTATGATAGGTGGGGTAGATGAGGAAGACACAGGGTAGGGTTTGGAGAGGATACCCTGGGTGGTCTTTGATCGGATCGGGGGTAGAAACAATCTAATGAAAGCTCCGGGGTCCTATCTGCAGGGGGTGCCACCTCCATTCTTAAGGACCGGTACATTCGCCTACAATTAGACCCGTGTTTCAACACCGGTTGTTCTTTCATCCAGTAAACTAGGGGGTACAGACCACCACCGGTGTTGGCCGTAAAGATTTCTTCAAACGAAGGGTCCTGGGAACCTGAGGCTGGTGAGTGTATGTAGTAGATAGGTGGGGTGGTCAAAACAAGGGGTGATCCCTTCTAGAGCCCTTCTTTGAACTTAGGGGGTGGTTGAGGTTTCATTGATTACACAAGTCGGGGGTACTGTAATTGCCCGGGTAGGACAGACCTGTGTCCAACAGGGTGGGGTGGTGTCGATGACTCAGAGGAGCCTGGGGTGGGTGAGGACCCTTAGCATTTAGTGAGTGATCTATGAAGAATGGGATGGTAGTGGTAGTAATTGCAACAAGGGGTACGTACGTTTTTCATTATTCAACCACCCTACCCACCTCCTTGACACGATTTGATGTCTCGTGTTGAAGTGGAGAAGGGGTAATGAGGGGTCATGATTTCCCTACACCCACCCACATACCAAAGTCTAGTGAGCACCTATACTACTACCCTACCCATTCCAGAGTATCTGCTACCCCTTCTCTATGAGGTGCCGAGGTCTTGATCCCGCTTGGCATGCTGCAATAACCCCACCCCTTCATCAATCACGGTGTAGGAAAACACCCGGTGGAGAACCCCACTACCCCTCATGTCCGCATTCATGCACCGGTGCTTCTCGGACGTATCCATCAGAATTTGAGAGCAGGACCCCTACTTTTCCCACATGCACGCACCTGTTGGGTCCTTTTGGCCCTCTCCAAAAAAATTCTGATTTCAAAATTGTTTTCCACCCCCACAAAGGGAATCCCGCCCCGAACATACCCTTCAAATATAGCCAAATTCTATATGGGTGGGGTAGTTTGATGAGGACGGGTTTATGTCAAGTTCACCCTGAAAATCTGTGCAAAAGAATGGAATCGGACGATGAATCGAAGGGGTGGGGTGGACAACCCCGTGGTAGGGTGAGGTAGGGGTTCCTGCTCACGAATAAAAGGGTGGGTCACTGAAAACACATCCATTGAAGGGCAATGAAAAGTCGTAGAAAACTGATTGAATTCTACCCTCTAAATTTCATTTTTGAATTCGAAGTTTCTGAAACCCAAAAATGGTAGCCACACCCCCTTGTTCAGGCCATGACTAAAAATAAAACCGTGAGCGGCCGGACCCCGGCCCCGGGCCCGGGGCCCACCGGGGCGAGCGCCACTCAGTGACTGATGAGTACGGTAGGACGGCCACCGATCCGACTCAGATCGGACCGTCACGGGCCGCCGGTCCGCCGAGAGTCAACTGAGTGAACGGCGGCCCGGACCGTCTCGGCGCGGCCGGCGGTCACCGAGCCCGTGACTCGCCTCGGCGAGAGTCGGCCGCTGCGGGGCGCCCGGGCCGGATTGGACCCTGTAGTGCGGCCGGGTGCCGCCGCCGCAGGCCGCACTGCCACGGTTCTGGCACAATGATTTAATTGAGGATTGACATCATTTAATTGAGTTTGAACTTTTCGGAAAATCAGTTTTCAAGTTTGGCAAAACTCAGCGAGAGAAAGCGGCCTACTACTCACTGTCAGGCTGAAATTTTAGGATATCACGCAGCATTTCTTGGAGCCTTCGACATGACTGTACCTGCACAGCACGATCATGGATAACCGGGCACCCGGAGCCGACATCGTCAGAGATTTCCAAGGAAAAAAACAAGCACAGTGACTGCGGCAAGTTCCCAAGTCGCTGAGCCGCGAGCCGCGGGGGAGCCTCACCAAAGAGCGATCGCGTGCTTCAGCTCGGTCCTTGTGATGCCACCAGACTTTGCCTGCAGCATGGTAAGTGCATGCACCAAGGACGGAGGGTCTTGGGCGGGGGCCCGGGGACCTGGGTGATGCCATCTGCATGTTTGAGAACCTCCTGCACCTGAGCATTCCTTCATGCGCTTGCTCGAGCTGGCAGAAAGAAGCCTTGGCTGCCACCAACCTCGTTGTCTTCTGGTTCTTTCCCGTCGTTAAGCTCTAAGTGGCTCAAGGTTAGATGAAACAAGCTCGATGACTCTCAGATCTCGTCGCACCTTGCAGCAGAGCCTTGAGCTCATCGAACTGGAGGAAGGGTTAGCGAGCAGCGTTTTGAGGACTCGCATCCAACACCTCGAGCTGCCCGCTTTGATTCTTGTCGTACTTGTCAAAGATGCGCGCGATCTCCGGCTGCCCAAAGAATTTCACAGAGGTTCTTGTTGCTTTCTTGCAAACGCCTCAGCTCACTTTGGAGTTGAGGTAACGGTGCCAGATGTCTATCGCTGTCTCCAGCTGCACAAAACATGATAATGAGATCAGAGGTATAAAATAAGACGGTCGTTTGCCTCCTCCGGACCAATGTGATCGTCAATCTTCTGCAGAAGACATCAACAACTTTCAATTGGTGTATCCTTTTCAAACCTTGTCAATCAAGTCCGCAGTCTTCAACACGTACACAACCTCTTCTTCAGTGGGTTTTTCGCCACCGGCGAGGTCCTGATGCCATTGGTGATGTCTCTCCCATCCTTTTCCATGATTTTGCAGCATTGCGGCACCTGCAGCATATTCCCGAGCTCTTCTTTGTTCAGCTTGCCATCCTTGGACAAGTCGTACTTCCTGATGATCTGGGTTCCACGAACAAGTTCTTACATGCTCTCGGGGAATCAACCTGTGCATACCTTCGTGATCTTGTTTTGTTTCTCTAATTCTTCCCAAAACTGTTCATGTCTTCGTATCGCCTGCAAGATCAAATAGGGCCAATCTCATTACATGAAAACCAAACAAGTCATCAGCACCTCCATCCTGTTCTCTCCCACGGTGGCGCTGAATCACGATCAAAACTTGAACATTACGAAAACCATCTAGCTGACCTGGGACGATTCCTCCTGGCATGTCGAACGGCCATAGCAGCTGCAGCCCTGTTCAAATCTTGAGAACTTCCGTTGCGCAGGACAAACCAGACGGCAATTACATCGTTGGAAGTCTGTGAACAACCAGGGTCAAATGAATCGAAGTATGAAAGTGCTGTTGTCGTATTCATCTACCCAACTCTCTCTGCTCTTGTTCCCTCTCCTTCCTCCCTCTCTCCTTTACCACCCTTTCCTCTCACGCCCCGATCTTCCCCCATGCGACTCCTGGACCCACAAAAATGGACCAGAAAACAATAAGATTAGCTAAAGCAATTTTTGGATGGTGACCACCAGCCTTGAAAAGCACCCTCGTTCACTTCGAATTGGTTTCGGCAAACGTAGGGTGGGTGGGGTCCTAGGGCGATAAGTTGGGAATAATGGGGGTGGTTTCAGCAATGTATCTGGGTAGGGGTGATTTTTCACTACCCCTCTAAAGAGAGGTTAATGTTGGAACGGTGATCATGGCCTCCCAAAAAAGTCACAATCGTTACTTAAGATGAATTTTAGTATCAATATAATATATTAATTAAATAATTTCATATCAATTAATGGGGTACAGATGGGCACTTGTTTCAACAAGATGAAATTTGAGAAGTAAAGTTGGAAAAGCGGTCAAAGAACAAGGACCCCCACCTACCCTCAATATCAACAAAAACCATCACCCCAAAGGTGGGGGTGAATTGAGGGTTATAGGTAGGGGTACAAGATAAGGGGTGGGCAAGGTGGTAGCGGCAGGCGCGGCATGGCGGCGGCTGAAATGCGAGTGCGAAGCGATTAAGTAAGAGGAGGAGGAGGGGAAAACGGTAGGCGGCAAGGTTTTTCGAGGTGAAGTAAGGAGAAGAAAGAGGAGGAAGGAGGAACAAGGTGGTCAAAGAGGAGGAAGACTTTGAGAAGCAGATCCATCAGCGAAAGCTCGGTCGATATCCAAACCTCAGCGCCCCCGTGAAGTCTGAAGGAAGAGAGGAGGAGGAGGAGGGCAAGGTTCGTTATTATCAGACGATCATTGGAGACCAACAAGATCAAGAGTCCTGCTGGGTTTAATCAACATCACCCTTTGGAGGCGCGCTGGAGAGGAGGACCGGTCGACTGAGGTAGCAACCTGTTTTAAGCAGCAGATGGGGGAACAGTTATCCTCCTCCACTTCTGATAGCAGGAGTGGCCGGCATACTATGTGATGGAGTAGAGGTGGATTTGGGTAAAGGGATTGATATTGAAGTCTGCCCCAAACATCTATTTGGGAAACATGGCGGAGCGAAGCCGGCCAGCAAAAAGCAAGACGGGCGATTCTAGCCTTGTGCAGAGCTTGCATGTTCTCGACAAGGGGTTTCACCAGCTCTCCCATGTTGTGCACTATTCGAAGAACAAGCACAGTGAGTGTCTTCTTCTTTTGCTTGCCATCCTGTATCCCGCAACAGCGATCGAACCATTCTCGCTGGGTTGCTGCTCTTTCCTTTTGCCCCTCCCAAAGGATTCAGCGCCTCGAAAATTTTGTTTCCCTTCTCCTTCATTTAGGCTCTCTGCTACACGTTGCGTTTTGATCTGATAGCTTCTGAATCGTTGAAATGGCAGAAGTGACTTTGTCAATTCCACAAGAAATCGAGATCGACGACTTGGTTCAGGTAAATGACATTGAAACCTTTTCTGTGCAGAGTTTGTGGATTGACGATGGCACAGCACCTCGATGACGTATGCATTGAGATACTGCATGATTGGAATAGCATCCAGGTTCTGTATCAACCATTGACTCCCGAAGTTTTGACGTGTAAGGATTGCAGAAGGGCAAAACTGAACTTTTGAACGCCTTCAATGAAAATGTTGCAAGTGTCATGCGGGTTCTGGTCAACATCACTTTTCTATTTGATAGCGACAATTTTCCTATGCATGAAAGGTTCCATCCCTTCTTGATTGGAATGATTGGAAAGTTGCATTGAATCTAGAATTTTACAGACTTCCTCGCTATTTTGTGAACAATGAAGGTCTTAATCAGCGAATCGTTCAGCTCTGCATTTCTTGGGTTGTTGAGCTTGAGTCGAAGGATTACAAGGAAAACGACGTTTGTAAGTTTTTTTATGGTGTTCGCTTGCATCTTTTTGTGACCTTGTCTTTTAAGGTGCAATTTTTACAAACATGGTTACAGTTCTGCATAACTATGTTAGCCATGAATTCAAGCAAAATAGGAAGCCATTCTGTGAGTGACTCTGAAAAATTCATGTTGTTCTTTGCCTAATGTCAAACGTACAGGCTCATACTTTCTGGCGAGCCCCAAACTGTCAGAATTCATAAGTGCATCCGTAGACGCAGTTACGGGAAAGCTTGGATCTGATGGTACTCTTCGAAATAGACTACAGCAATTATGCGGTGAGAAGTTTTCTCGCAAAAAAATATCCCGTGAATTTGATGCAGTTGAATTCTGGAATGCTATTGTGAATTGGAATATTGTTGACGACCAGCGATACAACAAACTGAGGAACGTATTTATCAAACACCCAAGAATGAAGGATTTGACAGAATTTTTGTCCAAGAGGATAGAAAGGAAGGACGAAGAATCCATATATTTTCTGACCCTGCTTTTCGAGTCATCCGATTTCCTCTCCCTTTTTCTGGAGTACGATGACGTTCGCCGCAAGTGCATGGACGCCATTTTTAACAGCTTGACCATCCTGTTCACAAAGCTAGATCTGGCTAAAAATCCGCATATCATGCTTATGGAAAATCTTGTTTCTATTGCTGGAATTAGAGAGGGACGTAGCTTTCTCCTGAAGGATCATTCTCGTCAACTCTTGGAGCTGATTGCACAATTCATTAGCAAGTTCGACAAGCTGTATGAGCGATACAAGGCATTCACCGATGAGACGCCAGAGGAGGGCTCTGAGCTCCAAGGCCTCATCAAACTGCTTGGACATTTCTTCAGATTCTATGGCTCCTGTCACGACGAGCGATGCCATCTGGTCCAGGCCATCCTGGACCACTTCAACAGTTCGAGAGGAGTGGCGAAGGTCTTGGCTCACGTTCAGGTCTTCAGTAACTTGCCAACTCTGCGGAAGAATGAGTGCGTTGAAGCGGTTGACGTGGAAAATTATGCCAAGTTTTTGGCAGCGGTGAAGCAGCGCGGCGGGGTGGCAGAAGAAGCCAAGCAGTCTAGTGCCATCCCCGATGCACTGAATCGATCTAAGTCGACGAGTTCCACCAACATCAAGGTTAAGCTCGAAGAATTTCTGTACAACGCTAAATCAGGTTCGGCGCAGTCGAACCGAAGCAACGAGGATGGCAGTGCCGCGCAAAGCAGCACAGCAAACGATGTTCCAAGTGAAGAAAGAGAGAAGGGAAATGATAAGCACAATAATTCGGGCAATCAAGAGCTGATTGATGTTGATATGGAACATGAGAAGACGACGGAGGCTGAATCGAACAGTCGTTCACATGACGATGAAACTGCTAAGGCAAGCAAAGCGCAACCAGACACAGATCAACCGATGGCATCAAACTCCATGAATGGTACCAATGATGAAATGGATGTGGAAAAAAGGAAGGAAAGAGCTGGCTTGCTGTTGGCCAGCATGGTAGCTTCGCAAGGACCTGAAGCGGCGTCAAGCTCCAAGGCAGGTCCCTCAGAACCTGAGGACAAGGAGACCGCTGAGGCATTGCGTGAGAAGAAATCAGCTGAAGCTCTGCTTGGTTTGTTCGATGCTGTACCCATCACACAGGGAAATGTCATGTCCGACATCATCTCAGCTTCTAGTAAGAAGCGTAAAGAAGTCACCATGAAAGAGAACTCGCTAGAGCGCCTGGCGAAAAGGTTGAACTCCCAGAAAGAAAACATGAAGCTCGACGACCCTAACACGGCTCAAACTTCTGCTGCAATGGATTCGCCAGATCTTCTATTGAACTCTTCTAAGGAGGCTCAAATCATTAGAACACTGTTTTCTCCGAAAGAAAAGGCGAAGAAGAAGGATGCTGTGTGGAGGGCATACGTGAGCAACAGTTGGGAGGACGATGAGTTCCTCTTCGAACCATTGTCATCTCCTGAGTTCATCGATCCAGCTGAATATGAATCAGATGAAAATTCAAATGACCTCAAATCTCAATGCAATGTCTACCTGGGTATGAAAAATAGTCAGAGTGCGAAATCTCATGGTGAAACAGAGGAAAGGAGAGCGAGAGAGCCAATCTCCTTTGAGATGAATGCGAGTTGGGCAAGGAACTTAGAGGCCCAGCGTTCAGGCAAGCCAGAACTCAAGTCTTCCATGTCTGGCATTTCCACATCTTACCCTTCGCTCTCTGGCGACATGCTCCATCAGCTTGCGAAGAAGATGCGGCCTGAATCCCCATCGTCAAGCAGAGCAGAGATTGGTGGCCTAAAGGCGTCTGAAAGCAACTTTTCAAGGAGCCAAAGGACAGCAGCTGAAGCTCTCTGCGGAGATGTGTCGAGGGATGAGCTCAGGAAGAAGGTTGCGAACTACTTCCCGGTGCTTCAACAGAAGTCAGGTCAAGATAGGGGAGATGGCCAGCTCCCCTTCGGAGCTTCAATGTCCATGTCGAAATCGGACACGAATCGCGGTGGATCGCCGAAGGGTTCTGGCGTTGGGGATCGGAGCAGCATTCCTTCCCTGATAGATAAGGTGGGAGACAGCAGCTGGCAGGACAAAGTACCAAAAGGTAGGTCGACATCTGTCTCGTTCAGGCTGCTGAAAGTTTCTGATCTCCTTTCCTTGCACCAGTTCCCTCGTTGACAAGCTCATCGTTGTCGAGCTCCATTGCCTCGGCAAGGGCAGCGGCTGTATCCTCTGCTAGCTACTTGCTATCTAAGGTAGTCCCTCCAACCCAATGCCCGAACTCTGTGAACCCTGCTGCTGCTGCCTCCGGATTGCACACGCAGACTGCGGAAGTACGTTGAAAGCGCGTCTTCATCTTATTGCGTGACGATTTGACTACAGGGGAAGGGGGGCGATGCAGCTAGCCAGGCACAGGAGGCCTTAAGTAGGCAGGCCTCCCGACAGCTCCAGGACCTGCTCAAGGAGACGAGGACTTCGTCCCAGGAGGCCTCGAGATCCGATACAAAGTCTGCCAGCCAGTACGCCGGGCTTGTGGGGACTCAGGGCATTCCGGCCAGTCAGCTGGCCAGTGCTTATCAGCAGATGCAACTGCAGCAGGCTGCCGCGAGCCAGTCAAAGAACATCCTCCAATTTACAAAGGCAGCCTTTCCTGTGCAGTCCACGAGCTCCCTGTTCGGCGTCCCCTACCTCCAACAGAATGCGACGCACAGCTTGTTCGCTGCCGCAGCCGCCGCAAGCGCTGCTCAGACTAAGAGGCGCAATTCCATGAAGCACGTGGAGATCGCCAATATGATCCACACTTATTCCAAGACCATACAGCAGCTCCAAAACCGTCAGTACCTGATGCAAGTTCCCGCCCTGAACCTCGGGGCCCGCACTGGACTCACCCTCGGCGCCTTTCCGAACCCTTCGTTCCTCACGGCTCAGAATCTGTTTGCCAAGATCGGGCATCTGTCAACTGCAGCTGCTTCATTGCAGGTTGGTGTCGCCCCCACACTCGCTCTTCAACTCTCTTTCCTCCCTCCACTCCGTCGCTGTAATCATCTCCTACCTTCAACTCCCTTTCTCCTTGGCTGTCTGCACCCCTGTAAGTTGATTCACTCGTCTTTGTCTCAGGCCTTGCAGCAAGTGCAAGCACAGAGTCAGCAGCAGCAGTCCCAGCAACAAGCCCAGCAGCAGAAACTGTCACAACAGAGCACGTCCTCGCAGCCACAGGCTCAGGCACCGGCACAGCAGCAGGCACAGTCATCTCATCAACAAACGCAGAAGCCACAACAGACGCAGCAGCAGCGGCAAGCATCTCCACAGCCGCAGCAGCAGCAGCAGCCATCCCACCAACAGAAGCAACAGCAACAAGCTTCAGGTTCACAACCGAGTGGTTCGAGCGCCCGGGCCTCGCCCCCTGCTGGGAGTCAGCAGAGCTCTTCACAGCCACCAGCGCACGAGTCGGCCAGCCAGCAGCTGCCAAGTCAGACAGCAACGGCCGGGCCCAAGAGCGTGCTGAACTCTGTCGGGGGCCCGCAGACCCTCAGTCAAGCTCAGTCGTTTCTGAACTTGCGTTCAAACTTAACAGGTGAATGTTTACCTCCCCTCCTCTGCCCCTTCTTCCGACCCCTTTGCTCAGACCCGATGCATTCTTGTCTCACACTTACATCATCCCTTCTGCCCCCTTCCCTCCACCCCTTCCTCGGGAGTCCAGGTTCCTGACGAATCCTCCCGTGCAGGCCTCCAGCAGTACGGGCCTGCTCTCAACATTGCCCTGGCAGCTGGGAGGGGTTCGCTTCCCCTCGGCGTGACGAGAGGGGTCCCGGGGTCACTCTTCACCGACCCTGGGTTCACTTTGGGAGGTGGGCAGCAGCTGGGGCAGCAGAGGATGGGAACTTCGTCCAGCCAGACTGCGGTGCGTTGACGTCTCCTCGTGTGCGATCGGATGACGTCACTGCGCAGCTCGGCGACTCAATCCTCTCCGCCATGAACGGCTCGAGCTCCCGTGAGGGAGTCATCGACCTGACGCAGGAGGAGGCCGCACAAGATTCTGGTTCTCCCTCCTCCTCCTTGATTTTCTTCCTCATCCCCTCCCATTGCTCACCATCCTCCTCTGTCCCATACGTGGAACTGCTTCCCCATCTCCTTTCCCTCGCCGTCCTCTCTTTCCTCCTAGCGCCTCCCTTACTGTTCCTCTTGCCTTCCTCCTGCTCCTTCGTTCACTTGCCGACCTGCGTGGCCTGACTTTTCCTCATTTGCAGGTAGCAGTGCAGGGCAATGACATGACAGGGAAGGGACTTGAGATAGGGTGAAGCTTGTAAATTTGTAGTGGACTCCAGGTGGAAGTGGAGATTGTCATGTAAATGTTTGCGTGTGTTAAACCGACAGGCTCTCGAGCTTCTCAGCTCTTGCTGGACGAGTCTCGTCGTGTTTCCGCGTCTCTCCGTTGATCTTTTTGTTTTCTCTTCCTTTCTTTGACTAACATAAACCAATGCAAAGCCGTTTGACCTCTTGCTCCCCACATGTTCTCAGGAGCGGCAGGACTACTTCTTGCCTTTGCCTTTGCCCTTCTTCGCCGGCATTGCTGGCTTCTTCTTCGGCTTGGGCTTCTCCTCCTCTTCCTCCGAGTCGGAATCTCCCTCCTCCGAGTCAATGTTCATCTTGTTCATCTCCTCCTCCATCCCCTCGTAGTCCTCCTCCTTCCGACCCGTCGGGAACCTCTGCCTGATGCTCGCGTTCGACGTCGTGTCCCACACAACGAGCTTGCTATCCTTGCCCCCAACTGCAAGAACGTACGCAGCCTCCGGGTCCATGCTCCAGGAGCAGCAGAATACCTGGTCCACGTCCATGTTCCTAGTCGTGATGAACTCCGCCTTTCCTCCCCTCACATCCCACAACTTCAGCGTCTTGTCCAGCGACGTCGTCGCGATCAGCCCGTTCACTTGCTGGTTCAGTGCCAGCCCCGTTACTGCCTTGTCGTGGGCCCCGATGCTGTACAGGTTGCTCCCAGCCTGCCGCGCGTCATGGCAAGTGACCATGCCGGAGTCGGTGCTGACGAAGAACTGATGCTCCTCGTGCGGGTTCCATGCGACGCACTCCACGTCTGACGTCACTGGCCACTTGCCCGCAGCCTTCCAGTCTGCAGCCGCCGCTCTCACATCGAGCACGGCCGCCGTCTTGTCGAAGGAGCCGGAGAGGAGGACTGCAGCGCTGGTGGGATGCCACTGAAGCGCCTGCACCTTGTCCGAGTGATGGGTGAGCGTGTGGAGGGTCTGTCCTCGAGGGACATCCCACACCTTCACCGTCTTGTCTGCTGAGGCGCTGGCAAGCACGTGCCGCTGGATCGGATGCCAGCTCAAGCCGAGGACCGCTTCCTTGTGACTGCCCTCCTTGAGAACCTTCTTTGCCTTCTTCTTCTTCTTCTTCCCCTTGGATGCTGGCAGCTCGGCCTTCCCTTCCATGTCCTCTCCTCCCAGCACAACCACGGGCTCCAACGCGTCGAGACAGTCGAGGTCCCATACTTCGATGGCTGGGTCCATGGTGCCGATGGCGCAGAAGCTTCCAACAGACCCGTCAGTGCGAGCGCAGTCGAGCCAAGTGAGACAGAGGGGAAAGGCGTTGAGCATGAGGTCGTGGTGAACGAACAGGGTTCCCTCCTGGTCGTCATACACGTAAACATCGAGCGTGTGCCCCTCCTCCTCACTGTGACAAGCCAAGATCAACGAGTCTGTCGGGCGGATAATGTTGTCCTCGTCCGCGTCCGAGTCATCCTCCTCATCGGGGAGCGTGATATACGGATCCTCCATGTTGGATCGAAACATCGGAGGGCCAACCGCCCCGAGGACTCCAAGCGCTTCATCGTCCTCGTCGTCGTACTTGTCCAGCCCGTACTCGGCAAGCTCCCCATCGCTCTTAACAGCCGAAGCCGCAGAGATGGCTCTTCTCACTGCGTTCTCCTTGCTCAGAACCTCTTCGTCTTCTTCTTCCTCCTCCTCCTCTTCCTCCTCCTCCTCCTCCTCCCTCCTCTTTGGCACCGCTAAAGCCTTTCCCCGCCGCACCCACGACAGCGCTGATATCATGGTCGCACGTGCTGAATGTGCCCCTCATCCCCACTCCATTTATGTGATATGGACCTCATCCACCCTCGGGCCCAACCTAGTTGAACCATTGTCTTTTATTACTCAACTTGTTGCGTTCTAAATCGGTGAAGATGGCAGTGAATATTAGGAAATGGAGAAGGGAGGAGGAGGAGGAGGAAGAAGAAGAGGGGGTGGGTGAAGGGGGAGGGGGAAGGGAGGAGGAGAAGGAGGAGGAGGAGGAGAGGAGGAGGAGGAGGAGGAAAGTGGTAAATGAATTTTTGCGGGGAGAAACAGGAAGGAAGTTGAACGAGGGGGGGATCACATGAGAAGAACTTGAGAATGGCTGGAGTATCGGCTGGAACAGAGCAAAGAGAAGAGGAACGAAGAAAAGCAGGTAGAGAGACCCGATCAAGCGTGCTGAGAGCACTTGAAGCATGTCAAGAAATGGAGGTCGGCAGGGAGCAAAGTGACTAGTGCTACGATTTGACCATGCTCAGCAACGAAATTGTATCTGGAGACGATATGCAAGGATAGAGACGGCAGGACAGGGAGGGGGGCAAGATGTATGAAGGAGAATTGTGCCGTGGGGCTGTGAGCTGTGAGCGCTTTCATGAAGCACGTGTACTTGAGCGTCTTTCTCACTGCTGCAGCTTCACAGGCTGAAGATGTTTCAGCTGCTGAACCACAGTTGGGCGGGCATCTACGATCATGACACCTCAACGAGCCTGAAGAGCATCCCCAAGGGCACCATGCCCAACGTGCCATGGGATACCCACACAGCGTGAGTTCGTCGGGAAGTGCCGGCCCATGTCTGCCTCTCACTACCTGCCCGCAGGAACCACGGCAACACGTTCCTGCCCGACGCCTCCTTCTACCTAAAGACCAGCAACCCGCTCGTGCTCAAGGGCAACGCCGCTACGGGTCACGTCGTCGACGCCAGGTCCACCTCAGGGTGCTCTGACAACTTCGTGGGCTTCGGATGCCGCTAAACTTTCAATCTTCTGACTAATACGCGAGCACTGAATTGCTTTGTATCAATTTAATGAACAAGAACCTGGTACTAATCCTTCTCCTCCATACCCTCTTCCAAATCCTGCTGCTCCTGCTCCTGCTCCTGCTCCTGCTCCTTCTCGGGCTCCTGCTCCTTCTCGGGCTCAGGCTCTTGCTCTTCCTCTTGGGAAACATCTGCTTCGACCAAGTCTGCCTCCTCGCCCTGTCCATCTTGGCAGTCGCCATCGCTGGTCAAAGCCATCAGCTCTTCAACTGGGGGTCGAGGAGGGATGGGAGGCAGTGAGTTAGTCGGGGGCTCCTCCTGCTCTCCCTCCCAGCCACTCTCCGGCTGCTCTCCGCCGCTTTCCTTGGCAGGGGGAGACATCTGCCAGCACCAGTCTCACCATCCCCTCACCTCCCACTCACGCGCCTTCACCTCGCACTCCGAGCCCTTCAGCGAGCTCTGAAGGTCAAAGGTTGACTCCACCTCCCCCAGCTCCTGCGGCCCGTGAGCCCCTCATTCACCTCGCACGCTCTCCCACCTTCTCCAGCTTGCTCAGAAGCACCATGATACCCGTCACGTCCTTCCCTACCGCCTCGGCCAGCGCACTGCCAGGTGCCATGCGCGCCTGCAGGAGGTCCAGAGCCTGCGCCTTCAAGTCTGCAACATCTTGCGCGACGGCCTGCGGTAGTCGCATCAGCTGCGGGTGCCTTGAAGAGCAGCGGGAACCTGCACACGAGAAACGGCCTCTGCTTGCTTCTCCTCCAACATCTTCACCCTCAACTCCTCCTCATTGGCGAGCTGCAGCGGGTGAGAGGGAAGGACAAGCCAGGCAGGGAACCCACCTCGGACATGCCCAACTTAGAGATCTTGGAGGTTCTTCCTCTGGTAGCCTGTCAAGTCTGTCACAATGTGGATGGAAATGTATCGCCTCAGTCGCACATCAAGCTCATCCTCGCAGAACTGCAAGCAATTGCGGAGGAGGAGGAGCTGAGCGCTCTGGAACTTGAGATGCAGCTCGATGTAGCTGCACTCATCTTGGAGGATTTGCTTGCGCTTCTCCTGCTCCAATCTCAGTAATGTGGCGATGATGTTGATGTAACAAAACCGCCAGGTTCGACTCTTCTTGGACCAGAGCACTCGAGACAAACGAGGACATGAAGTCAACAAAACTTGCTGAAAGTAGAAGAGTCAGTGAACTCGTCGCAAGAATCTTAAGCACATCACATGTGTCTTCGAGCGCGTCCAACTCGTTCTCGTAGTCTTGTGTCTGCACTGACAAGGCCTGTAGCCTCGTCGTCAGGAACGACATTGTGCGACAGGCATTCGATTCCTGCAGCTGATCGTTGAAGCTTCGTTCCTTCGCCTGCTTCTGTCGTGGAAGAATCTCAAGGTTCCTGTGCAACGGCGATCAAACGACAGGAGCACGGCATGTACGAACAACTCCACCTCCTTGTCTCGTTGAGCTGTTGATCACAAGCTAGAATTTCACCCATGACGTGCTCGAGTTCCTCCTGCTGCACATTGAGAAGAACAAAACAAAGAGAAGAGGCAAAAAGACCTCCAGGGCTCGTTTCTTTTCCAGCAACCTTGACACAGGCATAGTTAGGAGATAATGCATCTCACAAAGGCAAATCTATGTCATAGAATCTTTCTTGACGATAAGGAGACACTTACTGGTCAAGTCGACTGGACAAGTCTTCTTCGGACTGTCAATTTTGTCATTCGAATTGCTTTGTAGAGAGTGAAGATGTCAAAGGAAAAGAAGGGAAAGGACTGAAAACATCAAGAATGATTCGACCTTTGTCAAGTGCTTTTCGTTCTCTCTGAATCTTGTTTCGCATGTGTCCTTCTCGGCATTCACGCTTTCTATGCGCTGATCGTTTCTGAGCGCAAGACGGCCAAACAGAAAACAAATCACCTGGGATACCGAGGCCTCATCGTCTGCCACAGCTTCCTTCATCGCTTCAATCTCCTGCCGGACTGTTTGTATGGCTGCGTCCTAGAAGCCAGGACGCGGGTCATCGCGATGAAGAGCACGAGAGCGTTTCCATACCACGTTCTTCTCTTGCAGTAGGGAGTTGGAGATGGTTGTCAGGTGACTGCGATCAGAGGATGAGATGACGCTTCAGCGTTCAAGTCAGCAGCAGGACCGAAGTGAAGCATTTCGATCTAGAAGTTCTGCCGAGCGCGCGACGCAGTCCTTCACGTCCTCGTCGTTGAACTCCTCAAGGTGTGAGGCCCAGTCTTCCTGTGCTAGGATCTTGTTGATGCGTGAGATGTTGGGCAGCTTGTCGATCTCGCTTTCCTTCCTCCTGACCTGCAAGGACAATAAGACGCAGTCGCTGAGGACGGAAGGGTGGACCTGGGATAAGAGCATCGTAGCTTCAGAAAGGGCGTCGTCATAACGATGGTCCCTTTTCAGAAAGACAACGATGGATTTGACCTGTCACTGTCGTCACTTATCACGACCATGGAAAATGTTAAGGAGATTAGAACACAACACACAATCAAACGACTGCAGGCACACAAATGGATTTGATCGGTCCCGCCGGCTCGAGTTTACCAGAGTTTCGATCTGGGGATGGGAGGTCGTGCCGTCGATGTTCTGTGCGAGTTTGCAGAGTTCGGCTAGGAACTGTATCGAAGTTCTTGTTAGTGCAGAGACTTTCAAGATTTAGCTGGACCTTCAGCTTCTCTCCCTTGGAACCAAACAGACAGTGATCCAGGAGCTCGATCAAGGACTCATCCTCCTCCTATGTAGAATCATCAAAACAGACACACAGAGTGAGGGGGGGGGAGCGCATCTTACCTCGGCAAGAGACGGGTTTCTGATGATGCAAAGGATCAGAGTCTCCACGGCAGAGCTGCAACGTCATTCAAATTCAGTCAAGTCAAGCAAGGGCATGAGACGGCTTCTTTCAAACCTCCTCAACAGAATGTTGGAGAACGAAACGTCCTCGTGGGCCTGACTGTCATGATACAGGTTCGCGGGCTCCTGCTTCAGCTGCTGCATCCATTGCCTTCCATAACGATCAGACTATGGGAGAGACACCCGGGTGATCCCTTCACCGGCAGAGCTGAGGAACCGAGTTGGATGCGCCAGCGTTGCCGCCGAGCGCTGCCTTGCACTTGCCCTCGATATCGTTGAGCTCCTTCAGCGCATCGCCGACTTGGGTGTCTGACCCGCTGTGCTCTCTGCTCGATACGTGCAAGTTAGCCGTGAAGGCAGTGGGATCGTGACAAACTTACTTCTCGATGAAGGCAAACCCACTCTCCTTGGAGATGGAGGAGCTCGCCAGGTTCTTCCAATAGCTGACCCTCCCCGTCCAGTCCGCATGCTTCGCTTTGTCGTCGACAGGTGCCTCCGCCAGGACGGTCTCTTCCCCCTGTCACGAAGTCATGGACACGAAGCAAGGATGAAGTGGCATGAATGCAGCAGACCTCCTTGGCTGCTCCAGGTGCCGATGAAACGCCTACAAAGTTGCTGAACGTCTCTCTGAACCAGGACATTTTGCCGTGCTCTCTCACTTGGAAGGTCAAAATCTGTCTGCAATGTCGTTCATCACTGTCCTGCAACGTAAAAATGTCAATGAAGGCCTAGTCAGGTTGCCGTTTCCCCTCATTGGAAACTCGGAGTAATGATTTGTTGGCTGACACTCGAGCTGCGCACAAATCAAGTTGTTCTGCCTGGTTTCCTTCTTTTTCTGGTCTATTGCTAATCTACGTGTTCTCTTCTAGTGTTTCTCTTCATCTTTCCTAGGCGACTCGTCGAGTTTGTCGCAGGTAGCCAGCCTTGTCCTCTGGCACAGTCTTGCCCTACCCTGCCTTGTCCTGCCTTGTCCTGCCTTGTCCTATCATGACCAGTCTGGCACTCTCTCTCCTCCTCCTTGCTGCTATCCCATCTCACTCTTCCTCCTCCTCCCTCCTCCTCTCCTCCTCTGCCACCGCTCCTCTTCCTGTCCTTCGCCTTGCAACATGTTTGTCTTTCCTGCGACCTACTAGAATAGGACCACCCCATTGGTCCCTACCCCCATTTGCAAAACATGACCCACCCATCCCCCCATCATCCCATCCTAGTACCCTACCTTTTAACCACAATGACCCTACCCTCCCTACCACCTGATTCATTTTCTTTGCCTATCCCACCCCCATCGAATCCGATAAAACCATCCCCATCGGGTCAAGTACGAAATGAGATGCCGAACGGGGAAAGCACAGGAGAGGGCAGGAGAGGAGAGGGCAGGAGAGGAGAGGAGAGGAGAGGAGAGGAGAGGAGAGGAGAGGGCAGGAGAGGAGAGGAGAGGAGAGGAGAGGAGAGGAGAGGAGAGGAGAGGAGAGGAGAGGAGAGGAGAGGAGAGGAGAGGAGAGGAGAGGAGAGGAGAGGAGAGGAGAGGAGAGGGGGGGACGTGGGAGAAGTTGAGACTAGGACACTGAGAAAAATGAGGAGGGAAGCAAGAAAGGAGAACGGGAGGACAGCAGAGGAAGCAGGTAAACAAATGCCAGTGAGCAAGACTAAGAGGAGAAGTGTGGAAGAAATGTCATGAAGCGCGCATGTATGATATAGGAACGATGGCCTGATGGAAGAGATCATGGGGACAGGACATACTATGCGATTCATTCAGGACGGCCCTTTGATGGAGCGTCATGCACTCTTCTTGGGTGAGTGAGGATGCTCACTGTGAGGATGGGGGATATATCGCAGAGGTGTTCATGTTTGTTCTTCCATGTTTGATCATGATGATACACTAAATGAAATAATTAGCAGACAACTGCATTATGAGATGAATCACTAGACTGTCATTTGACATGATTTCCATGCTCTTACAAATGCAGAAGCCATTCTTCTGGTTGTGAACTGGACAAACCTCTCCAAGATCATGCATAACGACCAACACGTTGATAGAATCACAGGACGTCACAAGGCGCTGTGCTCTTGGTAGAAATGTGTTAACGATCGCTCTGATAGACCAAGATGATGCAAACGCCTTGAAAACTTCGCACACACAATCACTCATGGAAAAACAGCGAGAGTATCTTTTGATAGGACGACATGTACCCAGGTTGGAGAGAGACAGACAGGAGACAGAGACAGAGACAGAGACAGAGACAGAGACAGAGACAGAGACAGAGACAGAGACAGAGACAGAGACAGAGACAGAGACAGAGACAGAGACAGAGACAGAGACAGAGACAGAGACAGAGACAGAGACAGAGACAGAGACAGAGACAGAGACAGAGACAGGAGACAGAGACAGGAGACAGAGAGGAACATAGGGTGGGTAGTGGTTCCAAGGAGAATGGAAGGGGTGGATAGATAGTGAAATGGCTGGTGTGAGGGAGGGTAGGGTGGGTACTAAGTAGTGGGCCCCCACTTGTCATTGGACGGCGGCTATGACGGCTGGGCGAGAAGAAGACGACGGCGAACAAATGGCAGCCAACGGAGGAGGAGGAAGAGGAGGAGGAGGAGATAGCGGTGAAGTTGACGAGGGAAGAGACGACACGTTGGAAGATGACGACCTTCCTGTACCGTCAGTACCATCCTTCCCACCCAATATGCGACTGCCCACCCCCTCCCCCCCTGCAGGGTATCGGCCTCCCCCTCCTCCGCTTCCAGAAGAGCTTGCAGTTGGGCCCAAGCTCACTCTCGGAGACCCAACGATCACTCTGGGGTTCAACACCAACGTGGTACACGTGGCGCAGATTCCATCGCTCGATGCCCAGCCCGTGCAAGCAGAACCATCACACCTGATCAACTCCGTTCACAGCAGCGCGGTTTCGCACCAAGTCGCGGTGCCGACAGCAGTACCCTTTGTCAATGGCAGGTGGGCGAAGCACTTGTGCAGCTGCTCCTGCGGACTCTGCGTGTGTTGTGCCGTGACCTTCTGCTTCTGTATCACCATTGGCCAACTATGGGAAAGAGTAATGAAGGCCCCGGGAGCATGCAAGACTATCTCTATCGGTCTATGGAGCTTGTGTGTTGTCATCTTCATCTTTGGGAGCATATCAGACGGGGGAGTTGGAGAGGTGTATGAAATTTTCTCAACCCTCACTGGAGCTGCCAACTTTGCATTGCTTATCACCGTAACGATATTAGTTTGTTACATCAGGGAACGCAGTCGCAGGGAGTACAAGATCGCTCCCCATTGCTGTGGAGATTGTGAAGACTGCTGCTGTGCTCTTTGCTGCAATGTTTGTACGCAATGCCAGATATTTTACCAAGAGGGATTTCCTCATTCAAAATCATACTTGCTGTATCAGCCTACAGGTGAAGATCAAGGTTCTTTGACTGTGTAATATCTCCGGTGTACCGAATTTCATTATTTTGTGGTTTATAATATGTGCATCGATTCGTGTCGAGCTGCCTTGCATGATTACTGTAAAAGGAACACAACTTTAAAACGACTCGACACGGACATACAATATGTTTGCTGGGCTTTATTTTCTGCATTTTCTTCTCTTTGAAATATCTGATTTGTCTTAGCTTATCATTTTTTCGTTAAAAATAATTCAGATTGAAAAACTTCGCTGTCAGACACGTATCTCTGGTTTATCGTCACTTCTACCTTGCATTTCAATACTCATGTGCTGGAACAGTTGTGGGTGCCCCTTTCTTTCCCACGGCTCGCATTCGCACAACCTCAGCCCAAAATCTCCACCGTCTCGAATCTATGCCAAAAGATCCCCCGTCTCCTTTCCATCGCCGGGAAACGGTCACTGGTGCACATATAGCAAGATCATAGTGTGGAAGGGAAAGGCGATCAAATGCAGACAAGAAGGCGAACTTCCATCCTTGAAATTTGTTCGCTTTTATCCTTTTTGTTGCGCATCCTCCCTCTCTACTCTTACTTTCTTTCGCCCGGCTTCCTTTTCACGTACCTCTACCGATTGAATACCGTGAATTCCCTTCTATTCCTGCTCCCTTTCCCGCCTCACATCCTCTTTGCCTCTCCCGATCTCCCGTTTTGCTCCTTCCATCACCATCTCTTCCTCTCCCGCCTCTTCCGCCTCTTCCACGCTCTCCATCCCTCACTTTTCGCCCTCGTCCATCCTGTATGTACAGCATGATGTTTATCGCCCCCTCCTCCCCGCTCAGCCACCCGATACTCATAAAGGGCTCGTCCAGAGGGGTGGGGAGCGCAAGTAGGGGTGGTCAATGACGTATTTTTGGTACACCTTGTCTCTATGAATGACGGGTGTCCAATATTTTCAGGGGGTATGTGGATGGGGTGGGAAGAGGGGATATAAGGACTTTCGTCAGCAGAAGCAGCTCAAACATGCTGGCGAGAGCGGCATTGATCGGCGCATGCCTTGCGATGACAGAGGGCTTCAGCCCCTCCTTCACCACTGGAAGGTAAGTTGAACTGAGGAGGAGGAGGAGGAGGAGGAGGAGGGTGTGCATAACAGTGAGGGGGAGTTATGTGACCGTCTCCCCATCGGAGGCTGGTGCAGGGGATTTCTAATTCTGGGGCTGTTGTGAATACCTTGACCATCATGCTGACTGTGTCGGAGCAGGACCCTTGGACTTCGTGCCGGTGCTCGTGCTCATGCTCAGGGAGTTCAGATCGCTCGCTGCCAGCAGAAGCGTGAGGCCGGAGAGTCTGTTGCCGAGTATGAGAACAGGCTGGAGAGCTTTCGCAGAACCGCCACTGCTGCTGTTCCCTCTGGATTGCTTCTCAGCCAGCTTGCGTTCCCCTTTCAAGAAGCAGCGGCAAAGGGAGCTGAATATGGCTTGTTGGAAGGAAAGGCTGTTGCCTTGATCCACCCTGCCATCATGATCGCTCTCTACGGATTCACTTTGTTCACTGGCTACCAGGGTCTGATGTGGAGGAAAATCAGGGAGCTCGGGGATGAGATGAAGCCTCTCCAGGACGAGGCCAGGAAGCTCAAGGCTGAGATCGAATCCCTGACTGCTGCTGAGAAACCGACCTCCTCCGTTGAAAGCAAGCTCAAGAGCGTCGAGAAGGAGCTCGAGACCATGACCGAGGAGCGCAAGAAGCTTCTTGCCGGTGGATACAGGGACAAGCACTTTGCTCTTGCCTCCCTCCTCCTCGCATCTGGCGTCACCTTCTCCATCGAGGGATGCTTTGACACCTACTTCCGCACCGGCAAGCTCTTCCCCGGCCCTCACTTGTTCGCTGGAGCTGGCATCACCGTGCTTTGGGCCATCGCCGCTTCCTTGGTTCCTGAGATGCAGAAGGGCAACCAGAACGCCAGGAGGTCAGACGTCTCCTCTCTGCTCTTGAGAACTTCCTGATTTCTTCTCCCCAGCATGCACATCGGAATCAACGCCATCATCCTCGGCCTCTTCACTTGGCAGGTGAGTGCATCGAACTACCTCCTGCTCACCCTCCTGTTTACAAGCTGTGCAGATCCCCACTGGATGGAAGATTCTGGACAATGTGTTGAACAAGGTTCCCTGGGTTCCTGTGCCACCCCCGGTTTAAGATCGGATGCTGGTGGTTGTTGAAACCTCAGAGTCCATGTAGTGAGGGTGTAAAAGTTGAAAAGTACAGGAAAAGCTTCAAATTGTTCTTTTTATACCGGAATGGGAGGCATACTAAATTGATGAGACTTCATAGAGTCACGCTACTGAGTCAACTGGCTCAGCCGGGCCCGGCCACCGTCCGGCCGGGTGGCCGCACGGGCGGCGCCGCCGGCCGCGAGCCGGCGGCGGCCGGTACGACGGTACGCGTCTCGGATCGGAGACCTCACCGTGAGGCACCCGGTTACTACTACTGAGTCCACTGGGAGCTGACTGGTGGGACCGGGAGCTCGGATTCCCGAGTCCCGCCGCCGCCGCCCGGCCGCCGCCGCCCGTCACGGCGTGCCGCGAGTCTGGCTGAATCCCGGCGACTGAAAAACTCGGACAGCCTGAGCCTGGCAGCGCGGCAAACAAAGAAGGACGAGGAAAGAGCCTACAAACCCGCCTCAATAAAATACTAGGAAACAAAATGGGCAGCGAAAAACGCTCAGCGGCTACTCCAACCACATACAGTCAGCATACAGTCTTCAGTCTTGTGGCAGCAAAGATTATGAGGGGGATGAGTGATCATCTTTGAAGCCTGTGTCGAATGGCCTCGGGCAGCGGTGAAAGGTCGCGCAAGAAGAGGAGGAGGGCGAGCTCAAATGAGATGGAGGGAGTGCGAGGAGAGGAGAGCGAAGAGGATGAGATAACGAGCGAGCGACCAAAGACGAAGAATCTATGCGAGCATGGGCTGAAGCGATCACAATGCAAGGACTGCATAGGGGGCAGCCCATGCGAACACGGGCGGCAGCGATCACAATGCAAGGAGTGCGGGGGCAGCAGCATATGCGAGCACGGGCGGCAGCGATCGGGATGCAAGGACTGGGGGGGGGGGGGGGGCATATGCGAGCACAGGCGAATCCGATCACAATGCAAGGACTGCGGGGGAGGGGGCATATGCGAGCACGGGCGAATCCGATCACAATGCAAGGACTGCGGGGGAAGCGGCATATGCAAGCATCGGCGGCAGCGATCACGATGCAAGGACTGCGGGGGAGGGAGCATATGCGAGCACGGGCGCCAGAGATCACAATGCAAGGACTGCGGGGGAGGGAGCATATGCGAGCACGGGCGGCAGAGATCACAATGCAAGGACTGCGGGGGAAGCGGAATATGCGAGCACGGGCGGCGGAGATCATCAATGCAAGGACTGCGGGGGAGGGGGCATATGCGAGCACGGGCGGCGGCGATCGCAATGCAAGGACTGCGGGGGGGGGGGAGGCATATGCGAGCACGGGCGGCAGCGATCACAATGCAAGGACTGCGGGGGAGGGAGCATATGCGAGCACGGCCGCATCCGATCGTCATGCAAGGACTGCGGGGGAGGGAGCTCGGAATGTTTAGAGTAAATTTTGTTCTCGTGGTTTTTGAGGTGGATTTCCACAGTCCGATCCCGGCGAGTGCTTGACGAGGTGGCGCGGGCTGGTGGATTGGACCATTTCAATAGATAAACTTGAATCGGCACAAGGTAGCCATGATTCCGCTCTGTTCCGAATGGCCATTCCATCCCTTCTCTCTTATCTTCTCTCTCCTCACTCGGACACTCTTATCTTATTCTCTATCTCTCTTGATTGCATCCGCTCGCTATGCATCTCCCTTATCTCTGTGCTTAGTGCACATGCGAGTAATAGCCCTGCATGAAAATCTTCTTGAGAATGGACAACTTGGCAATCCTTGAACGGTTATTGCCCACTCAGCATAACTGTGAACTTGACGCAGACGGTCTCATCGTATCTTGACTTGGAACTCTGCTGACATTCTCTTGTTTGTGTGACTTTCTGACCTCCGATGTAATGTACTATTTCAGAAACTCGGGGGGAGGATGGATCGTATGCCAGCCGTGCCAGTCAGATAGCGCCGAGTTAACAAAAACTCTCTTGTAAACCAAGACGAGCCTTACGTGTTTCAAGGGCGGGCGGCAATGTAGGCACAGTGATCGGAAGAGCATTGAAACACCCTGAAGACTTCTGACCAGACTCTGATTGCTGCCCGCCGCGATCCAGAAGTAGCTCTAGTTATGCATTGTTTTTCCTTTCCGAAGATGAATCATGAATTTTCAACAGCAACGAAACAATACATACCCAGATAGAAAAACTCCAACTAAACCAAACATAGTGTGACAGCCTTCAGTCAAAACGATTGAGCACTGCATGTAATCGAGGCTCATAACCGACGGAGCACAAGTTTGTTAGCCTAGTAGGCTTGTACTGGTCTGCTGGAGCCCGGCCTGGGCGAGTCCGAGTCTGGAGCCGCTGGTAGCGGCCGGGTCACGTCACGGTTGCTGCAGGTCACGTTGCAAGTTGTCTGCCTGAGTCAGAGTCACGTTGCATGGGCCAGTCCCGGCGACGTTCAACGGTGAACTTCGGAACTTTGAACGGTTGTCTGAACGGTTGCAGGAACGGTTGTCGCCAGGCCTGGTCAGAGTGGAGATGAGGGGTATTGGAATTCGATACACTGCCATGGCGTGGAAGCTTCAGATGTTCTGGTGGGCGGTGGCTGGAATTTTGGTGATGGCTGTTAGCTCCTCCTCCTCCTCATCATCATCATCATCATCATCATCATCATCATCATCATCATCATCATCATCATCATCATCATCATCATCTCCGAGCTCTCCCGTTCAGGAGGCATTCGAATCCCGTCGCGTCCATGCTTTCTTCTATCTCTGGTCAGTGAGTGTCATGCATCTGTACCGGAAGCTTCTTCATGCTCTGAGCTCCTGTTACAGGTATGGGACACCGGAAGTCGATGGCCAGTGGCAGCACTGGAACCACGAGGTCCTCCCGCACTGGGACGCGTCAAAGAGGACGAGGTTTCCGTCAATGATCCGATTCAACCCCCCCGAGGATGTGCACTCCCCCTTTTATCCTATGAGGGGATGCTACAGCAGCAGAAACAGGAGTGTCATCACACAGCAGCTGCAGGAGCTCAAGGAGAACGGGATCGGAGTCGTCGTCCTCAGCTGGTCAGGTCGCCCTGACCTGCCGGGCACCCACGACACGCAAGGCATCCGCACCGATGACTTGATCGAGCTCGTCCTCGATGTCGCCCAAAATGTCGACATGAAAGTCTCCCTGCACCTCGAGCCGTACGAGAACCGCACGGCCTTCTCAGTCCGAGAGGATCTGGTCTACTTGGCTGAAAAGTTCTCCACACACCCCGCCATGTTCCGCATGCCTTCAACTGACCTGCCCTTGTACTACGTCTACGACAGCTATCGAGTCCCCGTGAGCGAGTGGATTCAGGTCCTGCGGCCCAACAGGCCGCAGACGATCCGTGGCACGAGCGCGGACGGGTGCGTGGTAGGACTGTGGCTGGACAGTCACCATGGGCACGAGCTGGTGGACTCGGGCTTCGATGGGGCGTACACCTACTTCGCTTCCGACGGCTTCACCTTCGGATCTTCGGTGGCCAACTGGAGGTCGATGTCCAAGTTCTCTCTAGGTTCCTCCCTGACTTGCGAGGAGGAGGGCCGGGGCTGAGTCTCATCCGCCGCAGAGCGCAACTTCCTCTTCATCCCGAGCGTGGGCCCGGGATACGACGACAGCAAGATCAGGCCATGGAATCGAGAGAACCAGTAGATGCCGTATACCATCGGGTAAGAGACTGATGGTCTTAATGGCAGGAAGCCAAGGAGAGACGGAGCTTACTATGACAAGATGTGGCAGTCCGCCGTAGCGGGTCAGCCGGAGTTCGTATCGATCACGAGCTACAACGAATGGGGGGAGGGCACACAGATCGAGCCGGCAGTACCCAAGGCTGTCGACCTTGAGCATGCGCTAGACGAGACTACTCGAGCTCAGCTGGGGTTGGAGGTGAGGAGTGATGCGGAGGACTGTAGCGGTGACTTGATACCATGCAGAGCTCGTATGAGAGCTATGAGCCGCATGATCCCTTCTTCTACCTCAACCGGACTGCATACTGGTCTGCTTTCTTCGTGGAGCAAGACTACGCTCCCTTCCATCATGTCAAGCATGAAAAGCCGACGCATCCACACTTGCAGGAGTTGTGAAGAATCTCTCTTTGTACATTACAAACATGTCTTCGACATGCTTCCTACCCTCCCTTCTCTCACATCGGCCCCGATCCCTTCCTTCCACTCCCTCAAACCGTATAGTGCCGCTTGAACTTCGCGCCAGCTTCGCGGAACGAGTTGAGGGAGGAAGGGCCGAACTTGGTGCTCGCCTTCGCCGTCATGCCCCTCACAAAAGCCTTCAGGTCGTTCTCACGGATGACATCTCCTCTCACCTGCACCATCACTCGATCATCAGCTTCCCCCTCGCTCCGTCCACATCCCCAACTCACCACGGCAGCGCCGAGTCCCTCTTTGCCTCCCATCTGACGAACTTCTCCCTCCAGCCCGAAGGAGGCTGTGAGCAGCTCTTCTCCGACCGAGACGCATCCAAAACCAGCATCGCGCAGCCTCCAGGCGTCCTGAAACTCCTGCACGCCGCCCATGGCTATGACTACTTCCGCCTTCCCCTTGTGCTCTGCAAGCTTCAGAGCTTCCTCGATGCCAAGTAACTTGCTGTCCACCGCCAAAACGGACGCCCCTGATGATTCAGCAGCTTGCAGCTCCTCTTGGCTGGAGCATAAGACGACCTGTCGGCGTCACATCAGCCCATGGCACAAGATCGACATATGCTGCTCACCGGCTCTAGGCCTTCCTTCTTCGACAGCTCCACCATCCCATTCAACCTCTCCTGGAGGTTGGCGACAGATAGCAGAACTCCCGCTGCTCCTGCTGCAGACAGCTTTGTGATGTCCTCCTCCTTGGTGAAAGAGCCACATGCCAGCACAGGACATGGGCCTGGAAAGTTTCCTTTGAAGGACTGCTGGGCGACAACAGCCTTCTTGAGGTCTGAGAGGGTACAGCCATACATCTCCTCATCCACCCAAACGCTGATGGCATTCACCTATAAAGGAGGTCATACAAAGGTTGCCATCAGAGCTGGCAGGCTTCACCTTGGCGTTGGTCAGAGCTTGCGAGAAGTCCATGATCGAGGGGATCGAGAACTTCTTGGCGGATCCGGGGCTCTTCCTCTTGATTGCTGCCATGATGGAGATGCTTCCTGCCGGCTTCTTGATCGCCTTAAGAAACTTGACACGGAGCTTGGAGGCATCTCCCTCCTCCCCAGCTGCCACCTCCACCTTCGAGACCTGGTCGCCAGTCCACCGGTTCGCACCCATGGCAAGGTTCATGGGGCATCTGGTAAGGAAGGAGACAGCAAAATGTCGGCGGAGCTGCGATCTGCCGTGCTGAGCAAAGTTCGCATGATGAGGTGTGAGGAGGAAAGCATCGGCGCTCATGGCAGCCATCGCCATCATCGCCAGCGCCCATTGCGCCGCCATGCCGTCCGGAGGCCGAACCTTCCGTGATTCGATCAGGTTTCGACGGGTCCTCATAAATATTTCAGCTACATTTGAAATATGATGATGTCATTTCATTCAGGTTGAAGATTCATCAATGAGACTGCAGGCGGCCAAGTGAGGGAGATGGAGAGAGGGGATGGGAGGGGGGTGGAGGAGGGAGAGGAGGGAGGGAAAGGGGAGAGCGTGACGCTCTACAGCTTCTGGAAGTACAAGAAGGATGCAGGGTCGAAGAGGATAGGTTCCTGGAGGTTCGAGGTCGGGGAGGAGGTCTTTGTCATCCTTTACTCCGATCGAGACACTGGGAGGGGACATGTTGAGAGCTTCGATGAGAGCGCCGATAGATCGTCCGCAGACTTCAAGTACAGGATACGTTATTTGACGGACCAACGGTATGATGTCCGCGTCTCGAGGCTTCTGCCTGTTGTTCAGGGGCAGAGGATTGTTGTATGCTCGGAGACTCAGGATTTTCGCTACCTGTGCAGGACGCAGGTGAGGAAAAACGATTCGGTTATCGAGATCGGCTGCAGCTACGGCAAGGGAACGAAGATATTAGCAGAACAAGCAGGAGATTCCTGCGTAGTTGGGACAGATCTCTCTACCGAGGCGTTGGAGGCCGCCAAGAAGGAGTGCAATGTAGCAAACCTGCTCCGCCTTGATGTAGTCTCCTGCACTGCCGAGGAGAAAGTGGAGAGGCTGAACTTCCTGAATTCTCTTCTTCCTCATCCAGCTCGTGTTGTCTTCCTCGACATCGGAGGAAACCGCAGCGCTGACGACGTTGTTCAGCTCGTTCCTTTCCTACGGACAGTCATCAGGCCCCATCAAATCATCATCAAAAACCGAGCATTGTTTGCCGACCTTGCTAACACCTGCTCCAGTGGAATGTCTGCCATACAGGATGTTCAAACCACCATATTCCAGCTGCCCACCATGCCGAGTGATACAACCTGATCGAAACACCACAATCCTGACTCACGGCTGTGCGTTTTTTCGTTATATCACAATGCTTTAATACAATTTGTCACAAACACATCAAATCTATGTTCAACAATTTGTAAGTAATCAATAAAATCTACTGTAGTGACAGCATCTGCACATCAGGCACTGCCAGGATGGCAACATTCTGCGACTTGAAGATCAGGTCGTTCCTGCAGTGGTGGAGTTTGTGGTCCATCAGCATGCCGTTCCCTTGACCTTCCTCCGTGGTCACTCCAGCCTCCCTCAGCGATCCTATTCTGATCATCGGCCACTTCCCCGACGGATAGTTCTTGATAGCCATGTGGCAGAACATTCCGGACTCCACAAGCTGGCTGGATCCAGCCACATGAACCCCACCATTGTGCGCACTTGCCTTGGGGATGTAGCAGCAGTCATAGTTGGGATGCGCAGTGGCCGTCACGTCAGCCAGCGCCTGCATCTGGGCGAGCTGCTGGGTGGACTGGGAGCGCATAGAGATTTTCTTCCCTGTGCTCTCGTGAACCCAATGCCTCCCATTCCATACGATGTTCCTGTTGTGAAAATCATCCTCCTTGAACGCGTACAGGTCCTAAAGCAAGAGACGTGAGCGGACTGGCATGCAAGAGCTAACTCTGCCTGAGAGCTCACCTGCTCGATCCTCCGGTCAGCCTGCCGTAGAGACACTACCACCACGCATGCTGCTGCAACTGCCACGAGCCCCAGGACAGGAGCCAGCCTCATCGCCATTGAAACCTTCTTCTCCCTTGATTTCCAGCCATCACCGCTCACCTCTCCTCTGACCGTGCCATATGTCGCCGCCATCGGTCTGACCCCTGTCTGACCCTTCGCAAACCTCTCCCACGGTTATTGCAGTCGTTACTGGCGACCAGGCCGAACTTGAGTCAGACTCTCATCAGTGGGCCGGGCCCGGTGACCGTACTAGGGCCGGGCCGCCGGGGCCCGGCCGGGCCCGGCCCCGGCCAGTGTCACGGTGTCGGACCCGGTCGCACTATGACCCCCGGATCGTCGGAACTCGCCGAGTCTGGCGAGTCGGAGATTTTAGAGAGGTGTAAGGGTGGGGTAGTCCGAGGGGGTGTTCACAGACCCCTCCAAGAAGCCTGCAAGGACCCGGGTGATAAACAGGAATGTCCGACCTTATCAGAGCTCTATCCGACGACTCTCGGAGGTGAGGGAAGTCGCGGGACCGGTACTGATGAGCGTAGCCTGCAGTGGATAGAGTGGGGTGGGGTATTATCGGATACTGGTGACTTGTCGTGGGCGGCCAGCCTGGCAGGACCGAACTGCTGGCTGCCCTGTGGGAAAACAGGGGGTGGTCACTGGGGTGGTCATCGCAGTCGTGGGCCTCATTTAGCCGCTTGCCGGCGAGGTAGGGCCCACTTCAAATAGGGTAGTAGGGTAGGGTAGTAGGGAATGGTAGGGTAGGGGTATAGGGGATGACACACTGTGAAGTGCGAGGTTGCACTAGCTAGTTGTGCTGTAGGTAGAATAATGGTGGATAAGACGTTGGGTAGAAGCAGGACGGGAAGCTCGACGTCTCCTGATCTGCCAAGGCTTCTTCTACCTCCCTCCATGGATAGGCGATAGCTTCTTCTACTGCACTCCAGCACTCTCTTGGCTCTGGTACGATGTTGAGCATGCAAGGGGCGATTGATCGGAAGGAAGTGTGCGTATGAATACCTTTTGTGGATGAGCTTGCCAGCCTTTTCTCAGACGCCAGAGCTCAGGGTGAAGTGAGGCCCTGACATGGATGTCGATAACGTGATGAAGAAGACAAAGAAGGCTGGGAAACCTTCAGCATCCACTGCTCGGCATAACTCCTTGTTGTCATTCAACGATATCAGCCCCCTGTTTCATGATCATCATCCCCAGCAAGACATCAGAGCCCGGGGTCTCGGCAGAGGATCCCTTGACAGAAGTTTCCCTCCTGCATCTCCAAACATTCGACTCCGTCCGATGAAACGCACAGATTACAAGCCGAAGCTAGACCAGCTGGTAGGGTCGTCGACCCTTGAAGAATGCTTCCCGAACCAGAAAAAGGCCATGGCTCTAGCCATAGGTAAGCTCTCATTGAAGTTTTTTGCTGCTGTCCTTATACTCTTCTTTTCCTTCTCTCTATCTTCTTGCTTGCTGGCACGTCTTTCCCCTTGGAACCAGCGACGCAGCGGAAAGAAAGCAAACCTCAATGTCTTATCGGCGGATCAAGGTCCTGGGTAAGGAGAAAGCGCGCAGTCAGCGTGATCCTAAGGTATGAAGAGCTTCGCTGCACCATCCTGTCACTGAAGCATCTTTGCAATCGCCGGATTCAGCCCCCGAGTTCAGAGCCCTCTCGGGAGGAGTGCCGGCCTTGGAACGTGGAAGAGCACGAGCGAAAGAGTCTTGATGGAGAACACCTCTCCAGTCAAAGACAAGAGCGAAGCCGAGGCATTTCCAGCAATGATCTCCCCTCTCCTTGCTGACTCTTCTGACGGTAGAGTCCCATCCTTGCAAGCGTGATCGGCAGCAAAGGGTTAATGGAGTTGGAAGACTCGAGCGATTCTACAGACTCGAGGCATTCGGAGGCTCAGTCACGACGTGAGAGCATCAAGTCCGACGAGCACAGCATCGGTTCTTGCCCGTCTTGTTTGTCCTCCAGGGTCGACGTTGACCTTGCTCAATCTGCAGGAAAATCCTCTCCTGGCCGTAGCGTCAAGCGCGATTCATCCTTCCTTGGGTTGAACTCCACCGTGCAGCCCAACTCTTCTTTTGATCCCGGGATTGTTCCTCCGCAAACTGCAAGCTGGGAAAGTTCAGGTGGAGGGTGGATGTTGTGCCTTGAAGCGGGTTGTAAGGGAACCTCAGGATGGTTCTCACGTGCGGCGTCTCTTGAGAAGCACACAGATCAGCATCTGCTGCCACCCGCGTTGAGGTGATGACAGCGTTGAGCGAGACTGTCTTTGCTCCTTTGATCGGTTGTCAGACATGGGCGAACTCATCCCGCAACACCTTGCAAGGACTTGGAATTGTGCGAAAGTGCTCCTGCGTGCTTCTTCTGATGAGATTGCTCAGACTGGGAATTAGAACATACTTCAATGGAGCAAGGCGTATCTATGGAAGAGGTATCACTTGTTGGATCGAAAACACAGGAGCTAACTTTGTGACGTACAGCAAAGAGTAGCAGGTGTGATTGTCATGTGAATGGGGCTTTGATGACGCGAGCTCGTGATCGCAGTTCCATGCACAACGACAAATCTTATTTTTTCAATCCCTTGATCTTTGAAAGCCAGAGCCTCGTCGACGTTGAGCGCGAGAGGTGTTGGATCTCACCTCCGACTGTTCTCTATGATGACGAAGCTTCTTCATACAGGAGTGTCATCCTTAAGCTCGCCAAGGCGAAATAGTTTCACTACCAGCAGTTTTCCATGTACATGTGTCCGGTATATCCCACTTCGCTTGCGTCTCCTGTATAATTTTGTGGCAACTTCTGAAAATTACATTCTTACAAAACAACACTGTACAATCTCTACAAATCCAACAGGAATAACTCGAGATAATCTTCAATGATATCCACTCGCTCCCGCAACAAAGCATACTCCAGAGCATCCTTTTGTACCTGGAGGGGTATGTCACTCTGCTCGGCAATATCATCGTCTCAGATTGCACAGTACCTTCCCTTCCTCTACCGGTTTGTTCGTCTTGACCTGGAGGTAAAGAGACCTGTCGATTCTTGTCCTCTGCTCGAATCTCAGCAGCTCAAGCTCGTTCTCATCCTCACTATTGGAGCTTTCATCTACTTTCACGTCACCTCTCCCACCTCCTCCCGCCTTGTCCTCGGGCTTTCCATCATGCATCTCAACGTTGAGATCCTGTTGATCCCAGCTGGCTACTCCCTCTGGCAGGGGAGGAGCATTGGGCGAAGAAGCGGTCATGTAGCACTCGTTGAGGAAGCTGTCCAGCATGCCTTCAACGTCCTTGACTTCCGTGTAGTACGATGGAGCCGTGTAGAAGCTCCGAGTGTCACTGCTCGTCCTCCGGACAGGCGGGTTAGAGCACGAGTCTCCCTCAGTCTCTCCGACCCCGTTGGTTGCGACACAGCCGTCAGGAGCAGACGAGAGTCTCCACCTTGCGAAGAACGAATTCCTGTTGTCGGGTATCGGAGGCCGGGGTCGGTCGGAGGCTTCGTCGTGTCGCCCTTCATGGTCCGGCTGCTGGCTCGTGGCTGTCACTGCTTCGTTGCTCGCAACAACCGAAGGAACGTGCGGCTCGTACATCTTCCTCAGCTTGCTCAGGTGGAATTCCTTGACCCGGCACTTGGGTTCGGTGAAGGCAACTTTGATCAGACCATCGGCATCCACGTGCTTCAGAGCCGACTTCTGCAAGATCACCAGGGCCTGAGTTGCATTCTCGGCCCGGGACAAGTCGCCCTCGAAGATTTTGAGCAGCGCCAACGTAGCACGGAACAGGACACTCGACCCATCGTAGAAGAAGGCATCCCAGATCCTGAATGTCACGTGCAGCGGCAGGCAATTCACGAAGATGCACAGAAACCACTGCATCGTGACAACCTCCCAGTCCGCCTCCAGAGTCTGCAGCAGCCTGGAGGTGTCCGGCAATCGCTCGCAGACGAGATGGTGCAGGCACATCTGGTCGGTGAGACAGTGATGCATGCTGTGCGTGTAGTAGTTCTCTGGTAGGATCTGTCGCAGGATCACGTCCAACGACCAGAAGGCCTCTTCCTCGTTGACATAGAGAAGCAGCATCCCGACGAGAAAGTTCAAGGACTGGCAGTATCCAACCCGAGGGTTGTGGATGGAGTAAGACACGAGCACGCGCCTCAGTGCTGCAAGCCCATCCACGCTCTCAAACATTCTGTGCCCCGGGAACGTCCTCCTGAGATCTTTGTCGATCTCTTCCTGAGCTATGGAGCTAGTGTCCGAGGACACTTGTCGCTTCACGAGCTCTTCGTAGTGGCCGTCTGGGAACTTCCTTCTCATGCTGTTCAGATCTATCAAGGCAGGCCAGATCTTAGGTCGCAAGTCTCCTGGGATGCCACTCCGAACAAGCTTTTGTAGAGCTCGAGACCTCTGGATCTGAGGGGAAACAGGTCACATTGATACTCATCATTAGCAACCCACGATCACCTGACGGCGATCCACGATTTGCTCCATGTAGACATCCCATCCACGATGATGCTGTGAATCCTTGACAGGTGTTTCCCCGATGGTACTCTCTTCCGTGCTCAGAAACCCATATGAATCCCATCGTCTGCTCGCTTGCATACTGTAAACAGCAGGGCAAGATGATGGAAGACCGAGCAGGGAGGATAGGGATGAGGGAGGGAAGGGAGAGAAGGGATTGGGAAGGGAACGAGAGGGAAAGGAGCGGAAGGAGGGAGGAGGGAGGAGAGAGGAAGATGAAGGAGTCAGGGGAAGGGAGGAAGAGGAGGAAGAGAAAGGGGAGGAAGAGGTTTGACGTTGACCAGGCTATGTCTAACCTCGCGCCCTCTCCCTGCATGACACTCGGCAACAGGGGGCGGCCATTTCCCGGTCGGGGGCTGAGGAGTCGCAACAGTCTGATTAATAACTGTTTGTAACGATCTACCGACTCGGAGTGGTCAAATGCAAGGTCAAACACACCTCAGTGGAGGCGCCGGGCCGGGCCGGGCCCGGGCGCCGCGCGGCATCTGAGTACCTCCTGGTCCTGGAGTCCGCCGATCTCTACCCAAAGTTAAAAAAGTCAACTTTGAAATCAGAAAAAACCTTTTACTCAAAGTTAAGTTAAAAATGAGTACAAAAAAAGGCTTGGCAGTTGGGTCACACTACTGTCAGCTTCCAGGCTCTACTCTGGTGAGTCTCCTGATCGTACTGATCTTTTTAACTTAACTTTGAGTAAAGGCCTGATTGTCGGTGGCAGGTACTGAGGTTTAACTTAACATTGAGTAAAAGATCATTCCCGGGGGCCGCGCCAGTAGTAACGAGCATTTGCTGTAACAGGGTCAAGCCTCCTCGACTCTCCTTATTGGGCCGTCCTCGTACTGATCTTTAACTTAACATTGAGTAAAACAGCTCTAACGAGTTTTATAATCTTTCGGGGACACAAATTGCAGACCTTGATTTTTGCCGTTTTCTTGATTTTCGGCAAGTTTTCTTAGGGTTAGGGAAATTAATAGGGTAGGGGTCCATCGCTTTTTGATTTGTCCCGGTTGCTTCATAGCACAAAGCAGTCAAAGTATAGGGTAGGGGTATTTGGAGATGTGGTGGGGGTCTATTTACTGCCGAACAATGGCGCGCGGTAGTCGCAGGAAAGCTGATGATGAGGATGTAGCTTGATATTTTAACATGTTTCTTGCACTTGAATCACAACCAAGATCATTCTAAAAGTATATGACTCACGAGAAAGTTGTAACATCATGAGTTATTCATCATGTTGTAATATGAAAATGTGATTTGGTCGCCTCGCCAAACTCATGAACCCTAAACCCAAAGATGGCAATGGAAGCATGTTGAGTGTGTTGAACACTTCATTCGATTGCATTTTCATATTATGAACATATTGCAAGCATGTCGAAGTTCATCAAACTGATTCAACAGTTCTTTTTGTCATCGGTAATCATTGTCGATTCGTACTGCATTTTCTTCTCTACATTCTGAATGCGATGAAAGATCATTCAAGTGCACTAATCCCCACCTGAACCGATGTTTTACACTCTGTTGAACCTGTCCAAGTCAGAGATAGTTGAGTGTAGGCTTATTACACAACGACAAATGGACTTTTTATACAGTTTTTCTGCTTGTAAATTCCTGACACAACGAATTCAGACCGAATGTCAGTGTGAATAGACTGGAATCATGAAGCTGCACAACGCTCAAACCCTTATGATCTCGAAATCTATATCTATGACTGACAATTCCTTTCATTCTCTTGCGTATTGTACCTTGTTTGTATTTCTCGCTCATGATTTTGTTGGGATTGTCTGCTAAATGTGAATTTCCAACATTGGATCGGTTTACATTGTTCATGATTTTGTTTCCACATTTATGAACCAAAACCAGAGAGCAACCATCTTCAATCATCTCAAGGAAGCACATGCAAAGCATCACGAGCCTCGACAATGGGAAAATGCTTCAATTTTGCATTACGAAACTATTTCGTTGACCTCCCCTCTTCGACACATACTTGCAATTATGCTAGAGTGACAACATGGAACGTCAAAGAATTTAAGAAAATCTGAATCAGAATCATACAAGAGGTGATCACCTTTGTATTCTAGATGGTTGCGTTGGTGGTTCATGATCAATTGCGTCCGCAAATGCATGATTTGGAAGGGGCCTCTTTTTCACCTTCTGCAACCAAGTTTGACGCGAGGTCTGAATAAAACACCTGTCCGCGTTCAAACTCGGCGGCTCTGTCACAGAAAGTCTACTCCACGCATCAAACTGCAATGGTAGACATAGTTTTAGGTGTTCATCATTGGGATTGACAAGTTTCTTCACAAGTTTCAAGAATACTGTTCGAAATTCAAGCGTGGAAGTGGAGTATTATCTCCATGTTTGCTGTGATAGCAGCTTTCTTTCAGATACGAACTGAGTTCCAGATGCCTAAATCGAGTTCCATGAGTCGAGCAATGAATATCCGAGTGAACAACTGGAGTTTCCTACATGAAAAGCCTGGGCAAACCTCAGTTCCAACATTCCTGCACTCGTATCAACACCAACATTCGCGAGCCCATGAAAGCATCATATTCTCACCTCAATATGAATTATCCATGTGTAAACAAAGGCTTCCAAGTACCACATTCATTGACGGTTGAAGTGGGCATCCATAGTTCTCAATGTTGAACTTGTCATCGAAAAAATCCTTGCGATTGTCAGTTTGTACATTGACAGAACATGATGAAAAATCGCAGTTTCAGTGGGATTAGGCAAGTGAAATCTCACAAAAGGAAGGAGACGATATCGTCATGACACTGACGTTAGGTTCAACTCGTTTTTAGATGCCTACTTGATGAGCATGACAGAACTAGCGAGGACTACATAGCAAATTGTGAATTTCCTTCCACAGCACAAACTCGAAGATTCCTCCGGCACGGCAGCTCAATCCGTCTCCAAACCAACTGTCTATTGGAGGGGTGTCCATGAAATACCAAAACAACCCAGACTTCACCGCTCCCCGTGAAATCTTCCCCAAACGCCACATCAAAATATGCAGAAAAAAGCAAATTTTGTGAATTTGCTGATTTCGATCGCACAAAAAACAATGAATATAGCTCTGATGATCCAGTTTTCACTATCTGAAGTTCGATTAGGTACCTATGATTCAATTCTAGTCCTTCATACAACCGTTTCACACTGCGCGACATGCCTGCAAGCACTTTCATAAATTGTTTGCAGCACATGCTTTTCGATAACAAAACGGCGATTTCCCAGATTTTGTCATCTTCAAGTTGTCTTATCTCAGCAATGGATGGGTCTCTTCTTGTGCGGTTTTCATCAACGGAACGTGCCCGTCCTCCTCTTTCGTATGCCACCATTTTCGCGCCCTCTCCGTTTCGGAAGATGCTGTATGAGGGTCTTCAAATCAGGGCCCTTTGGGGGGATTTGGGCCCCTCAAGGGGCCCTGTGTCCCCGAAAGATTATTGAGCGGCCGGGCGGACATTTTTGTCGAGGTAGTGCGAGAATGAACTTCCGCGCCGTGGGCCCTAAAACTCGGTTTATTATTGGTGGGCCTCATTTTGACTCTCTGAATTTACTCATCACGTTTGAGTGAAGGATGTTTGTACTGCAAGCAGTGCTTTTAAAAGTCACATCCCGGGCTATAATTCATCTATTATAAACATGTCAGCACTGACGATACCTGTGACAGCAGGGGTTGTGACCCGGTCATCTTTAAAATAACGGTACAAATCGGTAAAGCCCGAGGGTTCATCGTGACTCTATCACACACCCCATTGCACTGTAGTAACCGTACCCGGAAGTTCCATGGACTACCCGGTACTGTGTGCCTGTGACCACCCGGTAGTGCCTAGAACTAGTAGCGGTGCTGGTTCCAGTGACTACCCTATGACCAGGAGGTGACTAGTTTGTTTTTATATCGACTACTGTTTACTAGTTTGTTTTAGTTGGTTATACCAAACTGAGGGGTGAGTGATCACCCCCACCCCCTGTTTGACTGGTATCGAACCCCCAAGTGATTTTGCTGGTCCCCCGGGGATGCGAGCTCGTGTCTCTTTGACAATTTTTTTTAATGAAAGTGTTGCAATGAAGCGGCCCCTCGCATCGGGGCCCTCGAAATGGCATCTCTTCGGGTGTATGCCGAGTCGAAAAGTCATTTGTTCGTGACTACTTTTGCCCTGGGCACAGATACAAGTTGGGGGTGGGTACCAGTGGGAGCGGAGAGGGAGCAGCGCCGGCATGGCGTCGTTCTTCAAGTCGTTCTTGGCTGACCAGGAGGAGCTAGGTGAGGATGCGATTGAAGCTGCTGCGCTCTTCCCCTTCGAATCCTCTCCTCAACCCCTCCTGTTCTCTTCTTGACCGAGATCCATGTCTGATATGCCCCCTGCTCCCTTGTCCCCTTCTCGTTTAGCTGATATGGCCCATGCTCTCTTTGTTCCCTTTTCGTTTGGCTGATTCATCACAAGTTCCCTGACTTTTGCTCTTCTTGTCTTTCACAGAGCAAGCTGAGCCTCTCAACTGGAAATGGTTGTGTACACCTCGTGTTCCCTGCTCGAAGCCCACAAAACCGCCCCCCTTCTACAAGATCAAGCAAGCGCTGCCATGGACGATTGCAATCATCATGGGATTCCAGCATGCTCTTGCCATGATAGGAGGCATTGTTTCAGTGCCCCTGCTGCTCGCAGGTCCGTTCGATGGGAAGATGAAGATAGAAGAGAAGGAATACCTCATCTCCTGCGGCCTCATCGCATCGGGCATCTTGTCTCTGATCCAGGTAAGCCGGGCTGCTCGCCATGTCATGGCTGACTTTATCGCAGATCACTCAGTTCAAGCTTGGAAACACAGGCTACTACCTAGGCACAGGGATGATCTCGGTGCTAGGAACTTCTTTCACCTTCGTCCCCATTGCCCGCTCCTCCATGGCTTTCATGATGGCGTCAGACTCTAACATGCAGTGCAACTCGGATGCTGACTGCACCAGGGCGTGGGGAAATATTGCCGGGCTGTCCATCCCTGGAGTGAGCAACCCGGGCCAGTGCAACGTCCTCACTAACCGCTGCAAGTACAGCGGGCAGGAGGCGTACGGAGCGTTCCTCGGAACCTCCATGGTCTGTGCGTTCCTTGAGATCTTCTTGAGCTTCGTCCCTCGTGCCCAGCTGAGAAGAGCCTTCCCGCCCATTGTCACTGGAACCTGCGTGCTCCTCATCGGGGTCGGGCTGACCGGGACTGGCATGAAGTACTGGGGAGGAGGAGCTTTCTGCGCCGACAACTACCACAAGAGGATGAGGGTCATGAGGGGGCCAAACATGGCGGGAGACTGGACGCAGAAGTATCCCAGCAAGTCCCCATGCTTGAATGGGGCTTGCGTGCCCTTCAAGGGAGCGCTCGGAGGAATCTGCTCGTACGTGGCGCCCAAGTACGATAAGGCAAAGAACCTGACGACCGGTGACGTCACGACCTGCGAGTCGTTCATGGACCTGCCCGGGGTGTTCCCAGCTCAGGATGACGTCAAAATGTCTTACACCAAGTGCACCAACAACGGGCAGGTGGTGCTGCCCTTCGGGTCGCCGGAGTACGTCGGGCTCGGGTTTGCCGTGTTCCTGACGCTCATCCTGATCGAAGTGTTCGGGTCTCCCTTCCTCCGCAATTGCGAGGTGGCGCTGGCGCTGCTATTCGGCTTCTTCATCGCTGGGGTCGCTTCCTACGACAACAACGGGGTGAAGCAGTGGTTCGTGACCCAGGACAGGATCCAGAGCGCTCCTGGCATCACGTTCCTCTGGGTATACACCTTCCCTCTCTCCGTGTACGCCCCCGCCTTCATCCCGCTACTCATCTGCTACATCATCACCACCGTGGAGACTATCGGAGACATCACAGCGTCAGCGGAAGCCTCTAGGGTGGAGACGGAGGGAGAGGTCTTTGACAGCAGGGTGCAGGGGGGGCTGCTTGCCGACGGGCTGTGCTCGCTCATCGCATGCTTGTTCACGGCTCCTCCCAACACGACTTTCTCGCAGAACAACGGGGTGATCGCACTGACGAGATGTGCGAACAAGAGAGCCGGGTACTGCTGCTGCGGCTTCCTCCTCGCCTTCGGCGTCATCGCCAAGATAGCAGCTATCATCGCCTCCATCCCCGACTGCGTGCTCGGCGGCATGACGACTTTCCTCTTCGTCAACATCGTCGTGTCCGGTATCAAGATCCTCGGGCCTGAGATCGCCAATCGCCGCAACCGCTTCATCGTCTGCTCCTCCCTCGCCCTTGGCATCGGAGTTGCCATCGTCCCCCAGTGGGCGACCAATGCGCTTGTCCAGGGAGGGTCCAGCACGACTGCCAAGTTGGCAAGGGACTCTCTTGTTATCATTCTCTCGACCCCCTACTGCTTCGGGACCCTCGCCGCCATCTTCCTCAACGTCGTCATCCCCTCGGACCAGGATGACCTAGAGGAGGAGGCGGAGGAGGACCAGCTCGCGGCCCACAAGCTCGAGGACGGCAACGGCGACGGCAAAGGCGTGCAGATGATCGCGATGACTGGCTCTTCTCCTGATGCCTCGGACTTGCATGCTCCTTCGGTAAGATGACTTGAGTCCCACCCTTGCTCCCCTCTTCCTCCCTCCCTCCCTCTCTCCCTTCTTCATCTCGCTCTTGGTCGCTTCACCCTCCCCTTCCCCTCTTGCTCTCCTCACCCAGTCTGCAGATCGCTCCTTCCTCCCAATCGGCTCCTGGCATGAACGTGGCTCCGATTATGCAACAGTCGTACCCGCCTGTGCAGTCTCCGACGCTCATGTACCCAATGATGATGGGGGCGAGTCAGGTGGGACAGGCGTGAGTGAGAGAAAGGTTTAAAAAGGAGTGGGTTGTCATTGTTGTGTTGTGGTTTGGTTGTGAATAAAATCGTGTTCTTACTGGCAGTTCGTTTCCTCCCTCCTTACTCTCCCCCCCTCCCCTCAAGACATTCAGGTCTCATGTACTCCTCTTCAGCTCCCTGAGCTTCTCTCGCGCTATCCTCAGCATCCTCTTGAGAATTTTCTTCTCCCCCATCCTCGCTCTGATCGCATTCCGCAAGTTCTCCGCGTCCGCCTTCCCAGACAGAATCATGTCGCACAATCTCGATGCTTCTCCACCGTCTCCCCCCACTTGCCCCCCGTCTCCTCCCTCGCCCCCAACGCCAGCCCCACATGCTGAGAGTCCCTTGAGGATCGTCGCGTCGCGCGTGCTGCTCTCTGTGAAGGAGGAGAGGAGTAGGCGCATCTTCCTCTTCAAGAAGCTGTAAACCGCAATCTGCAACAAGTCAGGCTCCTGCTCCTGCTCCTGCTCCTCAAGCTACTCTGCCCTCGCTCCCTCCCCTCCTCACCTCGTTTGCGGTCGACACGACACCCTGCTGTAACCTGCTCGCCTGCTCCTCCTCATGCGAGTGAAGGTGGATGGAACGGAGGAAGTGAAGAAGGGGAGGAGGGAGTCGAGACACCAGCTGCCGCAGCAGGTAAGTGCAGCACAGATAACTTCCTTGCCTACTCGGATGCAGGAGGAGAAGCTGGTGCGGAGGCCCCGGGACTGAGGAGGAGACGTCATTCAGAGAGGAGTCGGCAGGGGGCCTTACCTGCAGCAATCTTGACCTGGCCCTGCAGGATGATAGTTGCAAGGAGAACAGGAGGAGGTCAGGGAAACAGCAGGAGGGGGAAGAAGAGAGGAGAAGAGGCAGTAGTCGTAGAGGAGACGAGCAGGAGGAGGAGAGAGGAGGAGGAGATAGTTATGGTGGTGGAGGAGGAGGAGGAAGAGGAGGAGGAGTCGGTTTTCTGGGGAGGAAAGTAGTAGGAGAACGAGGATCTAAGAGTGCGCGGGAGGGGGGGCATACTGTTTCTCTTGCTGTGTGACGTTGAGATCGTCGACGGAGAACTGGAGGCTGCGGAGGAGAGGAAAGAGAATGAGAGAGGCGAGCAGCGAGCGATGCAAGGACTGTAGAAGGGGAAGGGAGAGGAGAGAGGAGGAGAGAGGAGAGGAGGAGAGGAGAGAGGAGGAGAGGAGGAGAGGAGGAGAGAGGAGAGGAGGAGAGGAGAGAGGGAGAGAGGAGGAGAGGATTGAGTTCAAGTGGAAAGGAGAGGATAATACGGGAGAGCGGAGGGGGAGAGCAGGGGAGTGAAGTACGAGAAGAGAGGGCACGAGAGGGTAAGAGAGGAGAGGGGAGGGAGGAGGTTGAGCAGGATGCAATATTAGCATGCTCTCACTGTCTGCAGTCGGTCGGGTTGACATCTGGGATGAAACCGAAGAACTGAAGGTACCTGGAAGAGGTTTCATCAGAATAGAAGACTGGATAGGAGGAGGAAGTGGAGGAGGAGGAAGTGGAGGAGGAGGAAGTGGAGGAGGAGGAAGAGGAGGGGATGGAGGAGGAGGAGAGGAAGGGGCAAAGAGGAAAAGGAGGAGCAAGAGGAGCGGAAGACTCACATATAGTTTGCATTGTCTCCATAAGACTCAACGATCATCCTGTCCTTGACAAACTTCCTGCAAGGACATGAGAGTGTTTTGATCACTCTGACCTCTCCTCCCTCTCCTCACTCGCCTACCCGCCCCTGCCTCCACCCCCGCCCCCGCAAACCCCGTCCCCACCTCCTCCCCCTCTCACCGCCCCCAGTCCTCCTCTTCCACCACCACCACCACCACCTCCTCCTCCTCCTCCTCCTCCTCCTCTTCCTCCTTGCCTGTCTGCAAAGATCTCGGCATGTCCTTTCGTCCTGTCCACCTTTGGAAGCACAGCAACTGTTAGCAGGCAGAAAATAGATGTTGAAGACTTGCAATAAAAGAAGAGAAGACGGTCACAGTAGCGATGATGGCAGAAGAAAAGAGGAAGGAGGAGGAGGAGGAGGAGGAGGAGGAGGAGAGATGTAGAGGTGGTCAAGAGAAAGTGGAATTGAGAAGTACCTGATGGTGTTTCATGAATACGTCCTGATGGTCTTCTGCTCCAAAATGTCAAACATCTCCTCCCTGCTCCCTGCTCCCTGCTCCCTGCTCCCTGCTCCCTGCTCCCTCTTTCATTCTCCCCTCCCCCAAAAGCTTATCCTCCTCTATCTTACGGCGCGACACGTCGGCATCATCAGGTTCATAGTTGACCTGAGAAATTCTCAGGATGGACCGAGAGGGAGAGGGAGAGGGAGAGGGAGAGGGAGAGGGAGAGGGAGAGGGAGAGGGAGAGGGAGAGGGAGAGGGAGAGGGAGAGGGAGAGGGAGAGGGAGAGGGAGGCAGACGAGGGAGGAGATGCGGAGGGGAGAGGAGGGGAGGGTAACGGCGATCGAGGTCGTAGGAGTTCAGACCATGTCCGCTAGAGGAATGAGATATTTGACTCCTTGCCTGTCGTCGTCCCAGAAGTTCAGGTCACAAGATGCGGAGGAAGAACAGGAGAAGAGGGAAGAAGCGAGAGCGGAGATGGAAAAACAGGAGGAGGAGGAGGAGGAGGAGGAGGAGAAGGAGAAGGAGAAGGAGAAGGAGAAGGAGAAGAAGGAGGAGAAGAAGAAGAGGGGAGGATGGGGCCGTTACAGTGTGAGCGCGCGGGAGTGGATATTCCATGCCGCCCACTTGTAGCGCTGAGAGAGGTCAAGTAAGCGGATGAGAGGAGGGTCGGAAATCACCTCGAAGTTGAAACAGGAGGAGCAGAACACGTTGGGATGTTTGTCCACCACCTCCCATAGGCTGTTAGTGGGCGGAGGGACCCCTCTCCCTTGCTCACAATCTTCATCATTTCCCACTCTCGCCGAGCTTGCGCCAAGTCGTCGTTGAGCATCTCCATCACTTGGCTCCCCTTCGGCACCGTGAAGGAGGAAGGAAACGAGGAGCAAGCAAAGTTAGCAGAGACGAATTTAGGGGACACAACAGGGTTGGGAGGTTGGACGGATCGCAGCAGGAGCAGGAGCAGGAGCAGGAGCAGGAGCAGGAGCAGGAGCAGGAGCAGGAGCAGGAGCAGGAGCAGGAGCAGGAGCAGGAGCAATACCTTCAGCTCCTGACGCTCGACTTCGTTCCAGAAGATGGGAGCAGAGAAAGTCTTGGGGAGGATCTGAAGAGAAGAGTCAGGAGCCAGGAGTCGATGCTGCTGCTGCTCTTTGAAGGAGAGGGGGGTCAGAGGAATGACCTTGATGTAGGGAAGCCAGAAGGATGTCTCGTTGCTGTAGAAGAAGATAAGAAAGATCTCAGTCGGACTCCTGCTCCTGCTCCTGCTCCTGCTCCTGCTCCTGCTCCTGCTCCTGCTCCTGCTCCTCCTGCTCCTCCTGCTCCTCCTCACCTCAGCTTGCATCCTGTCTCCATGTGCCCCACCTGACACGCCTCGTACTGCTCCAAGTGAGTCAACGGCCCCTGGGACGAGGGAAGATCGCACCATGAGCATTAGGGAGAGCAGGAAAGTCTCCCCCTGCATCCCCTGCCATGCCCCTCAGCGTCGTCGAAGATTGCATGCTCTTGCTTTCTGCACCTGCGGTATCCTCGCACCCTTGATGACGCTACCGAGCGTCGGGTGCCGGCGAACAGCGTCACTGTAGAACGCTATCTTCCTGCATGCGCAGTTAGCGTCTCCTCCTCCCCATCTCTCAGGGGCTCACAGGGGGATACGGAAGAGGAGCTCATCCTCCTTGATCATCTGCCGCGCGTACAGAGAGTTTCCCATGCCATGGCCGCCGTCGGCTCTCAGCTTGACCTGCCGATGACGAGAGGAGAAGAAGAGGAGAATCAGGGAACATGAAGAGCAGAGGATGCGTCAATGAACAGAAAGAAGATGAGTCAATGAACAGAAAGAAGATGAGATCGTTAGGTCTTGCAAGCGAATCAGAATGAAAAATGAGTTTGTGGCGATGGAAAGATGAAGATCCGACGGTTTCGTGTCGCAACCTTGCTATCATCGACGCCATTTCGTCTGAGCCATTTCGAGAATTCGATCAGGTCCTCGTTTCTCTTCGCGCTTCCTTCCTCAAGGAACTGCTAAAGAATCATCGAACCATCATATCAGCTCGTCACTCATCCGACACTTCATTGCCATCAGAGCAACCGAAATTCCATCCCAAACTCCTCTTCATGCTTCCTCCGGCCGCCACCCGACACGTTCCCTTCCTCTCAGCCTCTCTCTCTCTACACCACATCCTGCTCATCTCCATCGCTTTTCTCTCACACGTCATCTGATCTTCTTCTCTCCCCTTCTCATCTTCACCTGCTTCGCCGCCACCATCGCCAACATGCCGACCATCATCAGCTTTGCTGCCATCGTCATCTCCCCGAAAAACTCACTCCCTCATCCCCGCCTTGGCCCATCCTCGACCAACCACCCAACCACCCCTGCAACCACCCCTGCAACCCTGGGTGCAACCACCCCTACAACTACCAGAACCCTGGCCAAACTTCAAGGCTGGGCACTGAGCTTGCGGCCGGCACTCAGTGACCGTACAGGGCCCGCCGGGCACCGGCCCCGGGGGGCAGAAGTACCAAAGGTTGAGCCCGCCGTGACCGTACTGGCAGTCCACCGTCAGCCTGAGCCTAGAGGACGACCGACAAGATCTCTATCTTTACTAACGAATCATACTAGAAGCCTCTCACGCTCCCAGTCCTGCCTCCTGCTCTGTGAAGATCGGGGACCCCGAGGTTCAGGCACGTGAAGCCGCGGCTCTTCCCTGCTCCAACCACATCAGTGTCTTGAGCACGAGCAGGAGGTATCAGGGAGGAGGAGGAGGAGGAGGAGGAGGAGGAGGAGGAGGAGGAGGAGCACCTCTTGCGGCAGGATCCGACAGTAGTTCAGTAATCACCACGACCCATCGAGATGCTTCCCCGGTCGGGCCCCAACTCCTGCTCCCACCAGTGGAACCTGATCATGGCGTTCCTGTTCAGAACACCCTCTTCCTCCCCCCTCCCCCTCCTCCCCCTCCTCCTCCTTCCTCCCTCCCCTCCCCTGCTTTCCCGATCAGCCTTCTCCTCCCTTGGAGAAGACCAAGGAGGACAGTGACAGAGTGGGAGGGTCGAGAGAAAAGAGAGGAGGGGAGGGGAGGGGAGGGGAGGAGAAGTAAGAGGAGAACAGGAGGCGACGAAGACAGGGAAGGTGGGGACAAGAGGAGCACAGGAGAAGGAGAAGAGAGGAGAAGGCAAGGGAGAGGAGAATGCAAGGGGAAGAGAGCAGCAATCCCCTCAAACCCTCTGCTCGGTCCACTCACCCTGAGACAGTCTTGTCTGCGCAGTACACCGGCTCAGGTCCTCCAGCAGCAGTGGAGCGTGCTATGAAGAAAGTGAGAAGAAGGGAAGCGCTGGCGGAGAGAGAGACGAGAGCATGGTCATGTTGAGAACGAGACCAAACGGAGGGGATGGAGCAAGGGAGGATGAGGAGGGAGGGAGGGAGGGAGGGAGGGAGGGAGGGAGGGAGGGAGGGAGGGAGGGAGTCAGAGACAGAACAGGGAGAGGGAGAGGGAGAGGGAGAGGGAGAGGGAGAGGAGGAAGGAACGAACTCTTTCGAGGAGCTTGCATAACGTGGTCCTTGTCCTCGTCCTCCTCGTCCGACGATTCGGAGTCTGAATCTGAGCCGACCCGCTCACTGCAACCCTTCCTCTCAGCCGCGTAGAGCTTCTCCTGCTCCTATGAGCCTTTAGGTGGAGAAAGAGGAAGCAGCAAGGGGGGGGGGAAGGGACCATGCAACGATGATGATGATGATGATGATGATGATGAGGAGGAGGAGGAGGAGGAGGAGGAGGAAAACCTTCTTGAGCCAATACTCTTTGTTCTCCCAAATCTTCAACTAGAAAGAAATCAGTTGGGTGACAGACAACTTCGGATGAGTAGGAATAGGAGGGGGAGGTAGAGGAGAAAAAGGAGGAGGTAGAAGAGCTAGAGGAAACTTAGGAAGGCAGAATGACGAGCAGCGAGAAGGAGCAGGAGAAATGAAAGAAATCTGACCTGCTTCTTCACACGGACTTTCGCTCGCTCTACCTCCCCCTCCATCACTGCCTTGTCATCCCTGCCAAGGCCTCTCACCACATCCCTTCCTGTCTTCCACCTCCACCTCCTCCTCCTACTCCTCACCTCCCGAGGCGGATCATTTCAGCTTTCATTCTCTCCAGCTTGTCTCGCTCCTCGTCCGCCTCCTCCCTTGCCTGCCTGCATCTTGGTGCTCAGCGGCTCCTGCGCCCTTCCCCTCCCGTCTCCTCCACTCACCTCTCACTCTGCACGAGGCTGAGCATGCTCAGCCGCCATGCTCGCTGCTTCTTCGTCCTTCTTGATGTCAGGCAAGGAGAAGAAGAGAGAATGGAGAGAAGACGACGAGAAAGAGGAGGAGGGTTGAAGGAGGAGGAAGGGGAGGGCTGGGGCGAAAGAACGAAGACTTTGAGGAAGAGGAGAAGGGAGAAGGAGAAGGGGAGCAAAGGACTTCACCATCTCGCCGCAAATCTCTTGAGCCTCTGCAAGCTGATGAGCGGAAACTTTCCTCTCAAGCTGCGAATGTCGATGCCGTCAATGTCTTGAACCTAGCGAGAGGTCACGGAAGCAGAAGAGAGAAATGAGTGAGTGAGTGAGTGAGTGAGTGAGAGAAGGAGTGAGGGATGGAATATGGAGAGACTTCGGAAAGGAGGAGGGGAGAGTTTGGGTGTAGGGATAATTGATCGCTCACCTCCTTGATATTGAGCTCTCGCAGAATCTCCAAATCTGGAAGAATATTTGAAAAACATCCTCCTCCTCCTCCTCCTCCTCCCCGCCCCCTTTCCTCCCCCCACCCCATTTTCCTTCTCCTCCTCCTCCCTCTTCTTTTGTCGGACCTTCTTCCTTCGCAAAGTTGTTCAACGACAGGATCCTCAGGAGATCAGAGGACATGGCAGATTTGTTCTTCGCCTCTAGCAAGCATAGCCATCAAAGAATGACCCCACCATTCCCTCCTACTCCCCATCCTCTCACTATCCTCTCCCTCCTCCTCCTCCTCCTCCTCCTCCAACCATGTGGGGATCATACCGGCCAGTACGATCTCGTGCTCGCTCCTGGTTGTCCTGAGAACGAGAGGACCTGAGCACGCTCTCTCGCGATCCTTCTGCTTGCTACCTGTAGGGATAGTTGTCCGGCGCACTATCATGCTGACCTTGGGACCTGGAAGCCTCGAGTCAAGCAGCATCCCCCATGAGTTGTGATGATACTCGATCCTTTGCTATCCATCGCTAAGGGAACAGGAGGGCGATGGTGATGGTGTTGATGAAAAGAATATGACGATTATTTTGATGATTATGATGACGTTGTTGTTGTTGTTGTTGTTGTTGTAGATGATGATGATGATGATGATGATGATGATGATGATGATGATGATGATGAGGATGATGATGATGATGATAATGACAGGGGGAGGGATGAGAAGTTGGTGGTAGAGCGGGGGGATGCCAACAAATGAGAAAGAGCAAGAGAAAGAGGAAACAGTTCTGGGCTGGTGGGCAAGGGGAAGAAAGAGCATTACCTCCAGACAGGAACAAGAGTGATGTTGCTTGTTTCAAACTCGATCTCAGTCAGTCCCACCGGATCTCGTTTGACCTGCATTCCGCTCACGGTCAGTGCGAGTGAAGGAGAGAACATGTCAGTATAGGAGGTGAGGAAGAGACTCGATGTGAAAAAAAGAGTCAAAAGACGGGAGAGATACAAAGCGGAGCTGAGCGAGGTAAATGAGAAAAAGGAGGAGAAGGAAGACGAAGAGGAGAGGAGAGAGGAGAGAGGAGAGAGGAGAGAGGAGAGAGCAAGACGAGGACGAGGACAACAAGGAGGAGGAGAGAGGAGAACAAGGATGATGATGACGACGACGACGACAAGGACAAGAAGGAGGAGCAGGAGCAGAAAGCTCAGGACCTCCGTGAAGGTATGCCATCGATCGTCAAAGATTGCTCTGACTTCCACAGGCTCCTGCAGACAACGTCTGAGCTTTTTCATCACGACCTGCAGCCCTTTCACCTTTGCGGCAGTGAGGTTGCCGTGGAACGAGACTTCAGACTGCCACGAGGGTCAAATGAGGAAGGGAGGAGGGAGAGAGGGAGGGAGGGAGGACCATGAAGTTGAGACGAGCTGCTGTGCTCAGCGAGTTGATATTCACGAAATTCCACGCGACACGCTCGCCTCGCATCACATCGAACCCCTCAAATGTCATCTGAACTTAACGATAAGACTCTGACCCAAACCTCCTCGTCCTCCCCCCTTCTCTCACTACCACACCCCAGTCCTCCCTCCCCTCCCTTTCCTCCTGCCCACCTTGAAAGGACCCTTTGCAAGCGCCTCCCCTTCTCCTCTCTCCCATCGCCCTGTTGGATCGACTTCGACGACTCCTGCCGAACACACGACTGTCATCCTTCATCTCCTCACCTGCTCCATCACCTTGCCCTCTGAATCGACATCCTGCCAGCTCCTCGCACGCTGTCAGTCGCTCGAACGAGGACCTGAAGCAACTTGTCAGCCTTCTACCCTCTCCTCTTCGCCCAGCCCACATGAGGGGCCAGCGTCCAAGATGAGCCTTGGCCACTTGCCTGCCAGCGCGATCAGGAAGCACCGGAGAGCTTACACAAGACTCACTGTCTCAGTGCCTTTGGGACGATGTCCTGCAACAAGTGTTTCATGGCAGGGACGCTGTCGGTGTACTGCACGTGCGGTCTATCGCCCGGCATCATCGCCTTACTTCCTCGAGAGTTCTTCTTCCAGCTCCAGCGACTCCTTGGTGTTCTCGTTCAACATGCACTCGATGGTAGAGCAGAGCGATTCCAGCTCGGCCTGCACTGCAAGCTCTTCGATCTCAAGCTGCATGACCGCCAACTCTTGCAGTTTCGCCTTGATATCCGATACGTACGGAATCGATTCAGACTCTATCCCTGCTTGATCGCCGTTGTTCATCTCGCTCCTCACCCACAATCACAATCTGCATCGAGTACATTCAGCTCAGGACTAACATTCACTCTCTGCGCTTCTGATGGGTTCCTATTGCATCGGATGCCGTATCTGAGAGTACTTCCTTCCTTTCAAAATCTTTGAATTTGATTTCCACATCCTTTTGGATTAACTTCATGTCTTATCGACTTCTCCTGCTCCACTCTACTCCACTCCACGTGACTGGCTCGCACTCACTCTCGCTCTCATCTCCCTCTGCTCATTGCTCTCCGTTCATCCTTCTCTCTCTCTTCTCGCTCCCTTCACCCCTTCTTCAAGCACTGTGCGCATGGGCTGTGTTGGTTTCACGGTTACAACGGTCATGTCAAACCTACTAAGTAGGCCCAAGTTGGGCCGGCCCGGCCCGGCACTGTTGACTCAGTGACACTGACTTTCCGAGTCGGGTTGTCAACTTTCGGTCATGACTATACATGATGTATTCAGGCACACTGGTAGCAGGGTTGGTTCTCACTGTCTTTTCTCTTCTCGCCGTACGGCCTGTGCGATGGAGTAAAGACTGGCATACAGGCTGAGTGCCTTCAGGCTAACCCAAGGCTTACAGTGGATTACAAATATACTGAGGGCATCGTTACTACTCTCAGTGCGGTTTCAGTTTGTAATCAGTTCTAAGACTCTCTGGAGCTACTTCCAGTTACTCTGTCCGACACTGTTCGGACAGGAGAAAGAATATCACTGAGCAATGAAAAAATCTCATCCTATTTACAAATCCATCCTTGTCCTTATCTCACGGTAATCGACCCGCTCGTCCCATTCATCCCATGATGTTCGCTTCTCAGCGCCTCTTTGTCTGGCAACGATCGTCGCAATCGATCTTCGTCGATCTCCGATCCACCTTGCTCGAACTTCAGCATAGAAATTTCTTGTCGAGCCGACAGCTGTCTTGGGTTTCCCTCATCAAGCACATGAGCCTTAGAAAACCATCTTCTCACGGGTCTGTCGTCAACGCTGATGAGCTTTTCTCGCTGCTCGGATCCCTCCCCCTTCATGTTTTCAGCTTGTGCAGGATTCAGGCCAATCTGATCAAAGCACAAGGTCAAATGAAGAGCAATGCATGAACGTTTCACTGACAAAGTTTAGGAAGGCCAGTTGTTTGCTTTTCTGTGCTCTCGAGGGTTTTATGTCTGCACTCAGAGGAGGAAAGAGTTTTGTACGGATTTCGCCACGCGGCGTCGATGCTTCTACTGATCGTCTGGGCATATCAAGTCAATCAGAGGCTTCTGACATGTCACTTGCATCATTACTGAAGATGTTGCATCTGCCTCGTCTGAACATTCAACTTATTCTCCAACTCTACAACTTTTGATTTCAAGATGGCATTCTCCTGTTTACAACGATCCACTTCCTGTCCAGGCATCGTCAACAAGTTGAACGTAAAACAAGCATTTCGGATACCACTTTCGAGATGGATTCATGGTTTGCTTGATCCTGCAGTTTCCTTCCCTGATGGTTCATGAACTGACGCTGCTGTCCCATCTTTTCCGCCAGCTTGTGAATCTTGAATGACACGTCACAGGTACAACTTCGGTCAGACATTGAGACGAGACCTCTTGTTCTTTGATCTCCAGGTCAGTCCGCAAGGTCTTGTTCTCTCTCGACATGCGCTCGACTGTCGACTGCAGGTAATCAACCTGAACAAGGGGTCAACGACGTCTGACGTCTCAACTGGAGCACCTCTTTCTGAAGATTCTCTACAAGAATCAGCCTTTTCTTGTTCAAGCGGATTGCCTTCTTGGTGACGTCATCGACTGAATTCATATCAGGACGGGTTGCTGGTCCACCCATAGCAGGAAAAACAAACACCTCTCTGCATCGCTCGCTCTTCAACGCTGGACTCTGTCTCATCGATCTATTTTGTGATCAGCAGAGCAAATGGATGAGCTGCCCTTACCTTTCTATCACACTGTATACGGACTGCCGCGTACTTGAAATCGAAATCTCTTATCAAGTCCGACACCTCCACATCATGGCTGCGAGGTGAATTAAACTGACCATGGGCCGAGAGTTGGAAGCGCACCGATTTTTCAGTTCCGAAACTTCGTGTCGGAGCTCTATCAGCTCGTTCTCTAGCAGAGTCTTGTTCTCCTGGTGAGATGAACATCAGCCGCACACCATGAATCGACGGCGCAGAGCATGCCTTGAAGCTCGAGAGGTCAACTAGCTCTTGACGCATTCTCCTCATTTCCTGGCGATGGATGAGCGAGCCTACAGGACACTATAGATATGTCCACACACCTCTTCTATCGCTTCACGTTCGGAATGAGATTGTGCTCTCAAATCCTCCATCTCCGCGTCTTTCGCTATCAAATCCTCTTTCCAGTTTGTTCGCACTGACCGCACCTCGTCCTCAAGTGCTGCTATCCGTTCGGACTTCACAGCAAGATCTCTCTACGAGACAGTCAGACGTGCATGAAGACCCAGGCAACATCCTCTTACCTGCAGATGCGAACAAATATCCAATTCATCTTCTTGTTTCTGCGACAGCTCCCGCTCGAGCTCCTCGACCTGCTTCTTTAGAGCCTCGTTCCTTTCCTCTAGGCTTCTGATCCTCACGGAATTGACATAGGAAGCGTCCCCCGAGACTGGCGGGGATGATCTAGTCTTCGCCAACGACCCCTCTTCAGCATCTTCAGAGCCCAGCGCAACCTGCTTCTTCTTCGGCATGTTGTACAGCAGGAATCGATCAGCCTTCAGAATGAATACAGGTTCAATTCATCCTACAAGTGGCTACATGAGATAGATTCTCGTATGCTCGGTTCGTTTCTTTTCTGAACGCTGCTCTCTTCTGTCCCCCTTCTCCCTCCCATCCGTCATCGTGTTCTCTCCTTTCGCCCCCGTTCTGCCAACACCAGCATTGCGGTTATGATCCCATGGGAGCAATAGGATGGTTGGGGTAATAATGCTACCGGTCCATTTCCCATGTCGAGCCTCATTGAGCTGGGGTGGGTAGGTGTCTGATATACCAAGAAAGGGGGTGGGAACGATTTGGTCGTAGGGTGGTTGAGTACCGGTCCTTTGAGGCATAAATTTGCGGATAGACCAGTGGGTCATATTATTTCATCGGGTGTATTTGCCTTGGACTCTGGAGGTAGGGGTAGTAGGCTATGGTGATTGGTAGTACTTTGGAGGCGTAGAGGGTCATAGGAGAGTTCATATTACATACCAAAATCCTAAGAATTTTAAGGTCCTAGTTGAGTCTTAGTGAGGGTAAGTGAGGGCCGAAGTGGGTAAACACATCCACCAAATTGTACAAGTTTTAAATCAATATCAAATGTTTGAGGTAATACATATAATTAGCTGATGAATATTGAAAGTTGTATGTGTCACCAAATCTAAAGTCTGAAATAATCATGAATTCGGTGTATGGGGGACGGGTGCGTTGACCATTGCACCATGGCCAAGACAGCGGCAAACTTTGAGGAAAGAGAGTTGAGGATGGCAGGGAGGAGACGATGGCGGAGAGAATGCGATGTACGATGAGCGTCTCCATCGAACTGACAACTCAATCGAGACATGACTTGAAAGGAAGGGATGCAGTGGACTGAAAGTGCTCGGGACAAGTGCTCTACAGCGCTTATCATCATGGCCGGCTCCCAAGAAGTGCTCTTGGCAGATCCAGGAAACCCGGAGGCAGCATCGAGTTGCAATATGCATTTGAAGAATCAAGTTGTACATAGCGTAGATGAAGCGATCATGGGTAGGGAAACAAAGTTAGAACAAAATTGCATAGTCGATCAAAGAGTTCGAAACTGATGTCCAACCATTCAGAGGGAATGTTCTTGTGAAACACCAAACCGACGATAGTGAGACATCGCTTGAGATACATCCCGGAGATGATATGAAGTTGTCATTTTGAGGGCCACCACAGTTGTCTTCATATTTACGGTTGCTCGCAGGTTTGTCAAGCACGGTCAAGGGTTGTGACCTCAAGCATATGTGATTGTATGGTGGATTGTTGGAGCAGGAAATGAAATACCTTGAGTGGTACAAGCTGTCTGATGTCTCCCCTCGGTACCTGAAAAAACTTTGACAGTGCGCCGATCACGGAGTTGGATGTTGCACTACAGAGCGGGATTGACATTGGGGACTCGTGTGTTCAAGGGAAGCTAGAAATCTACTCCTGTAAGTGCTGTGAAGACTCCTCCTGCCTCTTCTCTTCTATCTCCGATTTCTCTATGAGCCATGTGCATGCGGGCCACTGTTGGGTTTCAGCCCGATCTGACGAGTGTTCTAACGTGCAGGCAAACTCGCCTCGAGTGAGAGAAAGTTAGCTTCATCCCTTGACAGCGTGTGGAAGGATACCCCAGCGGAGAACGAAGTGATCCTTGCATCTACCGCCCCTGTTCCTCCTCCTTACCGTGCGTGTTTGTTGTAGCACGTTCATCATTCGCTGTCGCCAACCTCTGCCTCACCCCTTGGAAGTGTGAACGAGTTTGCAACTCGAAAGCTCCTCATCAACCTCATCCTGACCTTGAACAACACGTTTGCCGACTACGATTTCCGGTTGAGCATGTGCGAAGCTCGATGTTCCTCTCTCATCTCCTTGCAGAAACTTGAGGCCGGAGGATTTCACCCGAGAATCCTCCCTGGAGATGGTCATGAACTCGGTTAGCATCCTTGATTCGCGCTGTTGTGTCCCTGAATTGAAGACTTGGCGGTGGTTGCAGGTGAATAGCAAGATGTCAAGAGTCGATGATGGTTCAGACTCCAACTTCTGCACAAGGTTGTGGTCAGCACTGACATCGGAGATGTGCCTGCGGGAGTGTGAGATCTACAGGTGGTTTCATGGCGCGTGCTGCGGTGCGTTCTGATGCCTTTTGGTCGCCAGCTATGTCGCAGACATGGATGAAGATGCTCTCAGTTATGGGAAGCTGTGAGTGACGGCGAAGACTCTCGAGCTGCTGCTGATGCTTGTGTCAGGTGGTCTGTAAATTACTTCTTCTACAACAAGAAATTGAATAAGCTCGCCTTCTTTGCATGTTGGATTAAGAGGTCACCCGTTTGCATATGAGGTGACCTTGCATTGCTGATCGACCTTACAGCAAGGGCAGAAGTAGCTTGCTTCTTGAAGACGACGACGACGACGAGATGACTCTGGAGAGGTGAGGTGTGTTTGGCGTCCTGCGCCTTGTTGACTCGGGGACAGTGACAACGATCTTGAGTTCGAGATGGAGGATGGCATATAGAGTGCGAGTAAGAGCTCATAATGTGTGTTAATAGGCCTGCAAGAAGAAGCGTTCTCTCAGAACATTTTACCAACAATAAATGCGAAGTGTGAAGGAGGAGGAACCAGGGAAGTTTGCAGGACTGTTTGCGCTATGTTTCCTTGGGCGGATGATACTCCCAGGACGTCATTGCTCCTGCTCCATGCGCTCCCAGACTTACCTTGGGGTGCTGCTCGAGAGGTACGAACTCCTGCATGGAGTTGGAGGCGAGCTGGGGTGCCTCCAGCTGCCGGAAGTCAGCTGTGGCCCGAACCCCAACAGAGGCGCTGATGGTGCCATACTGGTCGTCGAGCCACTCGAGGGAACGTTGGAAGATGTTGTGGGAAGTTACCGACTTGAGGGACTTGACACTCATGTCCTTCTGGAAGATATTCGCCTGCATGTCCTCCCAGCTCGCCTCCTTCCCAATGCCCTCTGCTCGCCTCCTGCTCGGCACGTCCCTCCTGCCCCTCCCCCGTCTTCCCATGAGGCTTCTGCTCGAGCCCTGGCTCCTCTCCGGCGAGAGTCTCCCGTGCGGCTGGTCTGTCTTTAGCTGATCTCCGATTCCAGCTGGGCTGGAGCTGGAGGAGTTCACCTGCTCGTCGGGGAAGGCCATGGGCTTCCCGCCACCACCGTCCTCCTTCCTCGCCTGCAGCGGCGCGGCCGCCTGTGCCTTGGAGCCATGGACGAGCTCTGCCGTCTTAGGGGTCGAGCTGTAGGACGACGTCGGGGGGTTGCTGGTCCAATCAGCCGTCTGTGTGTCATGTGTCATGTAGCTGGAGCTGGTTCCCGACTCCTCCTCCATATGTGCTTTCTCCAGCAGGGGTGAGAGAGCTCTGCCCGATGCCTTGGGGACGTCTAGTCCCCGTTCCCCCGTCCTCATCTCCTCCCCCTTGCCCTCCCTGCCCTGCTGCTGCTGCTCCTTGCTCGCCTTGCGCACCATCACGCAAGAAGGGCTCCCCTTGGCATGCAGCTTGACGACGTCGACGACGATGGAACTGAGGTTCGCAAGTTCCATTCTGCAGAAGGCGCATCGGACAACGTCGAAGTTGTCCGGGTCGGGGATGTGGTAGAAGCCCTGCCGAGCGAGAGCAAGGGGGTCCGCCGCCCGCCCCTTCCCCTGCCAGGCGTAGAAGGTCGCCAGCCGCCCCTCTACGGTCTTGAGGGGGTGCTCCTTGGACAGCATGCCTGAGATGGAAGAGACGTTCTTGTCCTGGTCTGCACGGTTGTGTGCTTGCCGATCTTGTGCTCCTCCTGGTCCCTGCTGCTGCCGAGGCTCCTCGTTCACACTGTCCTCCGACTCAGGGTCTGACACAGTTGAAGCGGTTCCCTCCGATCCTTGACCGCCCTCGTCCTGTACTAGATCCTTCCCGAACTTGAGCTTGACGGCAATGACATCTCCCAGCAAAGTGCTCTGCGAGAAGCGTCAGGTCTCTCAGCTCGGGCACAAGGTCAGCCGTTCTCACCCTTCTCAAAGCGCTGTCCTCGTTGGCGATCTGCCTGGCGATCTCGGCGACGACGGTCTTAGGATGCATCGCTGCCTTTTCCTGCTCGTTGGAATCGCCCAGCTGCTCCTCAGACGTGAGGATGGAGATGGTGACGATGGTGTTGCTGGAGGAGGAAGGAGAGGAGTCGAAGGAAGTGACTTCAATCAGCTCGTTCGAGACCTGCAGTACCTCCGCTAGCTCCAGCTTGATCAGGCGCATCTGGTGCGCCCTGCCCACCAGGGACTTTGACACGAACTGCTGGAACGGCTGCTTGACTGTGAGGGCCAGCTCCGTGGTGTCGCGCGTGAAGCTCTTGATCTCTCTAGGGAGCTTGCTCTTCCTCTTGAGGTCCGTGGACATGGCGCTGGCCTGTCTTGCCACTGTGTAGCCGATCCTCCTGCCTTCAAACTCTACCTCATCCCCGTCATTCAGGGCCAGGATCTTGTCCTTGTACAGATCCGTCACGTCCCAGGTCAGGGCGTGACGAACCTTGACGATCTCTGGGCTCAAATTTTTGAGGAGGAGTCGCTTCAGGTAGGCGTGCACGACGACGGAGGAGGTGGAGGGAGATTCTGGGTCCAGCGCGATGTAGTTCTCTCCCAACTTGAGCTCGATGCTCTGAGGAGTAGCTTCCTCAACGGTCGCTTCCGTCTTGTGCAGCTTCGGGAGGAGGACGAAGGGCGATCGCATCAGCTCCTTGACCGCCTTGTCCGCCGACCTCGAGGGCCCCTTCCTCTTGTCCTCCATCGCCATGGCCCCTAAGCTCTGGTTCTTCTTCCTCATGGATTCGAACATATCCTCCACCTTTGCCCCCTCTTCCTCGTCCCTGCGCTTGAGGTAGTCCGACAGCGACTTCTGCTGCTTCTGCTTCTCGTCCGGCCCCTCCACCATCATCTCAGTGCTCCACTCCGTCCACCTCTTCTCCTTGAGGTCCGACATGACCCGCAGCTGCAGGCGGTGAGAGCCTTTTCCCAGCTTGATCTTCGCCTGGAAGATCTTTTTCTGCCTCTTGTTGACCTGCAGCTGGACCTGTTGCTGGGATATCCCGTCGATCATGAACTGGTAGTGCGTGATGGACTGGATGTACTCGCCGGCGTCGAACCCTGGGGAGGCAGGGACGGTCCACCGCAGTACCATCTCGTCATCGTGCATGGACATGATCTCGAGCGCCTTGGGGGCGAGCAGAGCTTTCTTCCTGTCCTGCCCGTCGTGCTCGCTGAAGTTGGAGAACATGGGATCAAAGTCCGTGATGCCCAGGTCCCGCTGCAGCTGCTTCACCGCCTCCCTGCTCGTCTCTGCTATCTTGATCTTCTTCAACTTCTCCTCCTCCCCCATTGGATCGTGCAGCACAACTCCCTCCACCTTGTCCTCCAGCTCTGCTGCCGTCTTCTCCAGCTTGTCGCGCAAGTATTCCGCGAAGTTCCCCTTGGCGATGTCCTGCAGCTCCTTGATGTTGAACTTGCTGTTCTCGAGCACGACGGCGGAGCAGAGGGTTGGCTGCTGCTCGAGGATGCGCTGGATGAGAACCTTCTTGGCCTTGTCGTTGAGCATGTACACCCCAGAACGCCAGAGGAGGAAGCGGATGGCGTAGGAGGAGAACTGAAGAAAGGTGCTGCCCATGGCCATGCAGAAGAAGAAGAAGCGAGACTGGGAGGAGAAGAACTGATTGAAGTTGTCGCCTCTCTTGGAGAACTCGTCGTTGGCGTTGCCGAAGATGCGGAAGAGACCAGCGGCGAGAATGATCGCGAGGTTGGTGAGGATACTGAGCGCGACTAGGATGAAGCCCTCGTACAACCGCAGCTCCCCTAGGAAGGCCTGGAGGTACTGCGTACCCCCGACGTATCCTCCGTCTCCTCGGGTGAAGAAGGAGCCGATGAGGTTGCAGAAAGTGCGGAAGACGTGGAGGTTGAAGATGGCGTCCTTCATGGAGTAGATGGAGGAAGGGGCCTTGTAGCACAAGAGCGTCCAGAACTCGACGGAGGCGGTTAGGATGAGGATGGCAAGAAACTGGAAGCCGAGCACGGGCATGGCAAGCCAGCGGAAGAGGCAGGTGCAGTACTCGACTGGGCAGAAGTTGCAGGCGTCGATGCCGAACCAGAAGTAGGCGAAGACGATGAGACGAGAGCTGAGCTCGGCGAAGCGGTAGAGGAAGAGGACGACAAGCTCCATCTGCTCCAGGGAGAGGAAGGAGCACCTGCGGAAAGTCATCCTCATGGTGTGGAACTTGGAGACGTCGAGGGTGACGGAGGTCTGGGCGGAGGCGATCATGGCGAAGAAGATGGTCACGACCTGCAGGACGGGAGCTAGAGGAGGAAGAAACTTTGAGCCGAACCAGTACTTGCTCTCGTGCTGCATGCACGCGGTGATGTGCAGCAGCGCCGTGGGAAAGAGGACGAAGAATCGTTCGAGGTTCTTGGCGAGGAGGAGGAAGGGAACATCGCGGATGGCGGCTGTGATCTGCATGTGGGAAGCAAACCAGGGGGACTCCTGATGATGCCGCATCCGGTTCCGGAAGATGAGCTTGAGGAGGAAGGAGGAGAGGAGGAGGAAGAACCAGATGCAGTACGAGCAGATGATCATGAGGTAGTAGAAGGCATGGCCGGTGATGCCGCAACGGGCGCACCACTGGAAGAAGATCCTTGAGTCGGCGGTCGTGAGGGGTCCTCCCTGCCTTACCATCCTGTCGATCTTTTCGTAGTTGAAGATGAGGACGATGTTGAGGACGAGGTAGACGAGGGAGGAGGACAGCAGCGCTACGTGCGACCACAGCGTCTCCCGATGGGCGCTCCTCACCTTGGAAGCAGGGGCGATAATGGTCTTGATGATGGCTCGGTTCTTGGTGCAGTCCATCGGGTACTCTCCCCTCCTGTTCCTCGTGTGCTGTGCCCTCCCCTGCGCTCTGCAAACCAGCTCGATCACCCCCGGCAGGTTGTTGGAGGCAGCGGCGATGTGTAGAGGCGTGTTGCCCTCCTGCAGGAGGAGCGGATCGTTAGCTGTGACCGTTCTCATCCTCATCCTCGTCCTCATCCTCGTCCTCACTTTCTCCTGCCTCCTCCTCAACCCCAATTCCTCACAACCTACTCGCTTCCTCGTCCTCTCCTCCCCTCCTACCTCATCCTCTTGCCAGACGCCCTTGGGATGCTGATCGGCGAGAATCTTGAGAACGTCGAGGGCCTAACATGCCATACATCTCAGCTTTGGACCTTTCCTTCTTGTATCATCCGCCTTCTCTCTTCCCTCCCCCACTCCCACCCGAACTTTCTCCTCCTCCTCCCACCAACACCTTCCTCCACCTCCGGCTCTTTCTCTCCACTTCCTCTTTCTCTCACCTGTGGCGCACAAGTACACGCGATGATATGCAGGGGGAGCTGTCCTCGCTCGTTGGGGATGTAAGCTGTCTCAGGGTGGAAGGCAAGAAGCGCCTTGACGATGTTGAGAGCTTGAGAGTTCTTGAGCACGACGTCCTGCGAGCATGCGCGATGCAGCATGTTGCCGATGTTCCCCGAGAGCCGCAGGGCCCCGTCAGGATACGCCGTCGTCACTGCCGCCACCACCATCCCCACCGTCGAGGAGGTGGACATGAAGGCGATCTCCACAGGAAGCAGCCCGTTCTCGTCCTCAGCTCGCGCTGCCCCAGAGTTCAGCTGCGCCAGTTTCCTGACCATGTCCCCCGCGTCGTCGCTCGGGTTTGCTGCGGCGATGTGGAGGGGAAAGCGCATGGCATAGTCCCTGTGCCTCGGAGAGATAAGACGCTCCTGGTTGAGGGCAGCAGAGACCAGCAGGGCTCCGACTGGCCCACGGTTGGCGGCAGCGATATGGAGGGGCAGCTGTCGAAGACTGTCTTCAATGAGGACAGCAGGTTTGAGACTCGACCTGGAGAATGGGAAGTGAGAGAGAGGATGAGGGAGAAAAAGAGATAGATGAGATGAGATGAGATGAGATGAGATGAGATGAGATGAGATGAGATGAGATGAGATGAGATGAGATGAGATGAGATGAGATGAGATGAGATGAGATGAGATGAGATGAGATGAGATGGGATGAGATGAGATGAGGTGAGGTGAGGTGAGATGAGGTGAGATGAGATGAGATGAGATGAGATGAGATGAGATGAGGTGAGGTGAGATGAGGTGAGATGAGGTGAGATGAGATGAGATGGGATGGGATGGGATGAGGTGAGGTGAGGTGAGGTGAGGTGAGGTGAAAAAGAAGATAGAAGCAAGGAGTGCGGTAGATTTCGATGAAGCATCGATCATAAGAAGCGATTTGACGGAAGATGACGTATGAGTGGGAACGAGAGAAAAAAGGAAACGGAGAGAGGTCGAGCGAGGGTGAAGGCAGCTGAAAATCATGAAGGAGGAGAAAGAGAGGAGGGGCAAAAATGACAAGCATTGGGGAGAGGGCATGTGGGAAGGGAAGAAGAGGGGGGGGGGGGAGAAAAGGAACCTTGAAGGGCCAGCTAACAGCTCAAGGCACATTCCCACGGAGACAGAACTTTCGTTCTGCATGAGGATGTGAAGAGGTCTTCGCTCGAGTACAAAGGCAGCATCGTGGCACATTTCCCCCGTCCCAACCTTTCTTCCGTACTGCAAGGTATGCGGGTGTGAGAAAGAGGAGGAAGACGAGGAGGAGGAAGACGAGGAGGAGCAGGAGGGAGAGGGGGAGGAGCGGAAGGATGGGGAGGAGGACGGAGCGTACCGGGATGAACTCGTTGTCGCTTTCAACCGCGCGAAAGAGTTTGGCGACAGGGGAGAGCGAGAAATCCTCGAGGTCGAACACGTACCGCAGGTACCTTGCAGCTTCTGAGTTGCCTTGGCTTGCTGAATACCTGAGTAGTACATACACATTAAATATCTTTCTTGTAGTTGCTTTTCTCTCAAAAAATTGCACCCATCAGAGCTCTTTGCTGCTGCTGCTGCTGCTTCTGCTGCTGCTGCTGCTGCTGCTGCTGCTGCTCCCTCCCTCCCTCCCTCCCTCCCTCCCTCCCTCCCTCCCTCCCCTCTTCATCATCCTCCTCTTCCCATCCGTCGTTTCCTCTCTCACCAGTTCAGGACATGTCTGGACTCCCAGGACTCGTCCACGTCATCTTCCAGGCCGTCAAGAAGCTTCAGGACAGCTAGCGACGCGAACTCAGAAAAACAAGCGGAAAAAAGGAGAGGGGAGGGAGAGGGAGAGGGAGAGGGAGAGGGAGAGGGAGAGGGAGAGGGAGGAAGCGAGAGGGAAAAAGAGTTGGGATGATGAAAAGGTTTGAGGTGCAGGAAATGCAATGAGGGAGTTGAGGTTTGCTGTTTTACCTCCATTCAGCTCCTCGATCAGTGCGCTCGATCCTCCGAAGAAGCGCTTTTTTTCCATCTTGATGATCGATTGAAGTTTGGTCTCCTTGTTTCTCCGCATCATCCTGCTGCTGTCTGCTGCTGCCTTCCAGGACCGTAAGAAAAGACCTGCGAGCCAGTCAGGGAAAGCAAGGAAGGGAAGCCACTGAGCGATGGTGAAGCAGACCCGACAGTCAGTCAGTCAGTCAGTCAGTCAGTCAGTCAGTCAGTCAGACAGACAGACAGACAGACAGACAGACAAAAATCAGTCAGTCAGATGAGAGGTGGGCAGGCGACTGAGCCGAAGGTAAGTTACCTCGGAGGAGGATCTGAGGGAGAGAAGATGAGAGGGAGGAGCGAACGGCATGCCCCTGAGCGATCTGCATTTCCCTCCCTGCCTGCTAGCACGTCAGCCTCCCTCGAACATCAGAGCAATCAGTATTACTCTGAATCCGCTCCCCCTGCCGTCATGACCGTACCCAACGGGGAAGGCGGCAAGCAGCATGTTTGACATGCGGCTGACAGCTTGCTTGTAGGTCAAGGCGATCTTCTCCCACTGAAATATGAACAGATGAGCAGCCGAACATCATCGTTGGGAGGATTCTCATTATCAACATCGAATGTTGCTCATTCTCTCCTCGCCCCTTTCCTTTCCTCCTGCTCGTCCTCCTGCCTCCCCTCCTTGCTCCTTGCTGCTCTCCACTCGAAGTCACAGCTCCTTGCTCCCTCACCTGCCCCGCCGGCGGATCTTTGGAGCTGTAGATTCCCGTGGTCGCGTCGAAGCTCAGCTCCGTCTTTCTGACCGTGTGCAAGACGCACTCGGGAGCGACGAGCAGGATCATCTGCCGAGCTGTTGCTGAGCAGATGCAGGAGGAGGAAGCGTGGGAGTACCTTGAGGGCTCGCAGGGCACTTTCTTTCCTCCCGTTCATGTTCATGAGGACGTAGTCCTGGTCGGAGACTTCATTCGGATCATGTCGAGGCAGTTCACTCACCACAGGGAGCAACCCGTCCATGTCCGGTTGCATCGCACCCTCTGGGTACCCGAAGTCCTCGTTGAGGAGGGAACGAACCATCCGATGGACGTTGGGATTCATCTCGGTATGCAGCCTGAAGGTTGTGTCCTGCGGATTGGTTTAGGAAGGAAAAAGAAGGGAAGGGAAGCGAGGGAGAGAGAGGGAGGGAGAGGGAGTGAGAGGATGAGGTACGATCAGGAGTGCTATGAGGTTTGAGGAGGAGCCGGAGGGAATCGTCTGTCACCTGACGGCTTGTGGGCCCTTCATTCCTACAAGCATAGTGCAGGGCAAGCGAGCCAAACCGATCCTTCTGACGGGCAGCGAACCTGTTGGTCTTCAAGAGCTCCTCCACTGCCGAGGTTGCGTCAGCCACCTCCTCCTCTTCTCACTATCAAGGACGCACCTATCAAGGGCGCGATCTCGTTCTCATTCATAGCCGCCACGTGGATGGGAAACAAGCCAAACTCGTCGGCCTTGCCGATCTCCCAGGGACGGGAGGAGAGCCTGTACTTCACGTCATCCAGCCGATCTCCAGCACAGATGTCGCAGAGGGAGGAGCGCTCCAAGTAGACGAGGTATCGTTGCGACTCCATGAGCTTCAAGAAGGTACGGAGGAGGCGAAGTCCGATGGCTATTCGAGAGATCAAACGAGACCCCGTCGCCGCGTTCCTGGCTGTCGATGCTCCGGAGGTTGAGGAGGTCTGGATGGCACATTCTTCTGGATAGTTGGCCGCAGACATGACAGGAGGATGAGGAGCTTTGATGATGGCGTAGTCATTGATGATCTTGTAAAAGGTCAAGATAAAGGACAGCAGGACTATAAGAGCGTCGAAAAGGTTCCAACGATGCTTCAGGATCTCAAACACCCCGAACGCTACCATCCTCGACAGAAGCTCCAGCGCAAAGAGGGAGATGATGATGGAGGAGATGGCTGTCTGGGGCACTGAATCGCGACCATAACAATCTGAGCTCAAATCTCAGCAAGCGAGCAGGCAGGGTTGGGGTACCTTTCTGACTCTCGGATATTCCATACGTGTATATGAGAGTGGAGGTGACGTCCACAATTACGAGAGAGATGATGAGGATGTTGATCTTCAAGACAACATCGCGGCTCTGAGCACATGGTCACAGGAAGTAGAACACCTCGTACCACAGAGACCTCAAGTTTCTTGGCAAGCCAAACTTTCCAACGCCCTGAACAATGGTTTCTAATGAGCACATTTGCTATGATAAGAAGTACCCCTGGGTTTCCGCTCTGGTTCAGAAACAGGCACTTGGACTGCACCAGGTTCTCCCTCAGCTACAGTCTCCTGGCAAATGAATGTCAGCAAAAATTACTGAGCATCCTGTATAAACCTGAGGCTTCGTAGCCTCCTGAATGTCTATCTGATCGTTCTGAATCGTGGATGTCATACTTCCCTGTCACAGGTTCTGACACCCTGACAAGGCCGAGGTTTGTCGACAAGGCAGTTCTGCAGTTTCAAACGAGTGCTGTCGGTGATACCATATCTTTGTCCGATAGCTGGACAACAAAAGGAAAGAAAGTGATGCTAAGTTTCCAAGCTATGGCTCCTCCGTTGCCCTGCCTGCTCCCTGCTCCCTGCTCCCTGCTCCCCCTCCCCTTCTCCTCCATCTTCTTCCATGTTCGTTCTTCTCCGACCGCCACTGGGGAGATATATCTGTCAACTGCACGTCAAAAACAACTTCTTTTTTAGGCTACTCAAAAGTCCTTCTAAAAGTTCAAATTTGGATATTTATTTTGAAATACTAGGCGCAAATGTACAATCAAACCACTCTCTCCAAGTACATTTTGATCAGTAGGCGCTAATCACTTTGGGAGGAGGAGCAGGAGCGGCAGAAGCAGCAGCAGGCAGAGCAAGAGAAGCAGAATGCCGATGACAGCATACCATCACACTCCCGTCTTTGGATCCTGCTGAACAAAGTCCTTATCGCAGGGACAAGGACGGGAAGTTGTCGGTAGAATGGGCTCAGCGCTCAGCGACCCAACGAATGAAGGAAGACAAGAGCTCTCCGACCAGTTCATCGAGACCATGCAGCATCGGATGGCAGTGTTGAAGAGGAACAGGCAGGAGCATCTTGCGGGGAAGATCAGAGAGAAATGGCAGCAGGATCGGTCTGTGTGGACCGTGGAGACCATGTACAAGAAGCTTCGAGAGGGGATCGACTGGATCGATGAAGACCGCCCCTCTGTTGCCCAGTAAGTGATGAAGCAAAGGTGAGCGCTCTGATCCGGTGGTTGTGCAGTGGTGCAGAAGGGGAGCAGGTAAGAGTTTCCCCTGTCCTGGAGGCGAGGAAAGGAGAGAAGAAGAGCAAGCCCCAAGCCGAGAAGCCGTCCATCGTTTACCTGCAGCCTCTCGTGACCACTCAGGGCCTCCTGCCCTTGTACATCTGAATGGAACCTGCAGGAGAAGCAGAATGCACAGGCGTGGGAGGAGTACAAGTATCCAGCGGGGGGTCTCGGGTTCGACCACGTGCTTGCCTGCCGGCCAACACCCTTGCGGTGCAATGATGAGCTTCGGGCAGATCATACGGCCGGTGGAGTACGAGAAAGGACACAAGGCGGAGCGGGATCGGAACGAAGACTTGTTCCGAAGTAGGGAGACGGTCGATGCTCGGGCCAGTTACGGTGACCGCTTCGAGCAGGCAAGGCCTCCCGGACAGTAGATGCGTATCAGCGATACTACGAGCGGAGGGATGTTGAGATCGCTAAGTTGTACTCGGTGCACGTGAAGACGCATCGGGTGAGTATGCTGTTCCTTGGCGATGTGATGAAGAGGAGCAGGTCAGGGCAGGAGTCTCCGACCCAGCAGAGAAGAAAAAGATTTCCGAGTTCGGTGAGATACACATCAAGCTCAGGCACGCGCCTGATCTGCTTCTTTCCTCGGGCAGGCGCGCAAGAGGAGGAGGCAAAGGTGGCGTTCCACGAGGAGAGAAGCTTCAAGGATCGGGAGATCGAGAGGCTGATCGAGGTGATGAGGTAGAGAGGAGCAGCGAGCCAACTTATCACTTCATTCCTCATGTACACGAACCTTTCACATCTACTCCCCCCCCCCCCCCTCTCTCCTCAGTGCTTCGAGCGCGAGCCCTTCTTCACCGCGGACTTCTTGTTGCTCTTCTTGGACTCCATCTCTTCCTCCTGGCAAGCCCGGTCAGCACCGCTCCCTCACCTCACCTCGATCAGCACCGCTCCCTCCCCTCACCTCGATCAGCTCCCGTGCGATGGCGTCAGCATCTCGTTCCCGCTGCTTCTGCTGCCACGAAGACTCCTCCTCCTCCTTTGCCTTTCGCTTCTCCCTCCTGCTCCATCGCTCAGGACAACACGCGCATCCGTCAGCCGTTCGTCTACCTCCGGTTGAGCTCCTTCCTCGCCTGGTGCGCAGCATCGGAGAATGGGAGAGGCTGAATGAAAGTGAGAGGAAGAAGAGAAAGGCTGAGGCAGCATACAACGTGTGCTTGCGGATTTGTGGTGGGCGTGAAGGTCCTGACCCATCGGATATTTTCCTTGAGCTCGTGAGGGCTAGCGGCAACATCAGTCTCCTCCTCCTCCTCGTCCTCCTCCTAGGCGGAGTGGAGGGAGTACCTTGAGCTCAGAATGCTGTTCAGCAGGTTCTCTGCCTCTCCAACCACATCCGAGTCGATATGAAACTGCATCGGCGTCAATTCGCTCCCCTCCCCTCCCCTCCCCTTCTCTCCCTCTTCTCCCGCAGCTTCATTTTCCCCCTCCTGCTTCCTGAGTCCGAGCCACCACATCATTCTACCCATCCTCCCGCCACTTTCCTCCTTTCCTCCGCCTCCTTCCTGCTCTGCTCCAACCTGCCCAATCTGCATCATCTTGGACAGACGCTCAGGGTCCAAGTCCGTAGCTTTCCTGTAGAGCCTCATGGCTTCTGCGTGCAACAAGTCAGAGGGAGCGAGAGAGGAGGAGGGAGACGCGCCTAAATGCTCCCCCTTCATCTCCCGGAGGATGTGGGCCAGTAGGTAGATGGAGGAGACGTCGTGCGGGTCGATCTCCAGTGCCTTTCGCACGAAAACTTCCGCCTTGTCAAAGTCGGCTCCGTTCTCGCGGAGGAAGGCAGCGTAGTTGTAGCAGACAGCAAGGTTGTTGGGCGCCTGCAAGGCAGGTGAGGACGGCAGTCAAAAGAGGCTTCCAGTTCGACAGCAGGAGCAGGAGCAGGAGCAGGAGCAAAGAAACGGGGAGAAGCAGGAGGAAAGAGAGGAGCGAGGAGAGCAGGAGAGAAATGAGGATGATAAGAAGGATGGTGGGACTAGGATGGAAAGAGAGGGAAGCGGGAGGAGGAGGAGGAGGAGGAGGAAGGGGAGGACAGGAAGGATGGGGAGAGGGAGAGAACAAGGAGGAGCCAAGTGTCGCGTACCAACTCGTAAGACTGCTCAAAGAGCCTGATGGCCTTGTCCATCAGGTACTCCTTCTGCTTCTCGATATCGCTTCTTCCTTGCATGCTGTCGCCCTCGCTCTGATGATTCAGATGGCGCAGGTGAACTCCCGTCATGATTGCATAGCTGCACAGAGCTGTAAAGTGGGTCGAGTTGATCTGCAGCGCCCTGAAACATCATACAACACCAAATGTCAAATCTCACACCCTTGATATCCCTCCTTTTGTTCATCTCTGCCACTCCCTGCCCCCTCATTCCTTCGTTACTCTCTCCTCCCTCGTCCTTCCGTCCCTTCCTCTCCCTTCCGCCTCACAGCCTCCTCCAAAACTCTTCTCAGCTCACTCGCTTTCTCACCTCTCATAAAGCACATTCGCCCTGTCAAAGTTTGCGTGCGCCTCGAAGTACAAGTTCGCTAGACTGATAATGGCGTCCAACGACATCGGATCCGCCATCACCGCAGCCTCGTACATCATTGTCGCTCCTGGCAAGTCGTCGGCGTCGTCCAGGAGACGCCCATACTTGCAGAGATACTTGCCGTTGTTCGGCTTCAGAAGCGTCAACTTCTCGTACTCGATCCTTGCTCTCTGGACGTCGTGCAGTTTGTCATGAAGCATGGCCCCGTACATGAATCTTGTCTCAGCGTTGTTGGGGTCAAGGCTGAGGGCCTTCTGGAAGACTTTCTCTGCATTTCGATAGTCTTGCTTCTCCTCTGCGCGCGGTCGGTCAGGACGAACTGCTTTCATGCAGGTCAAGGGTCACCGAGAAAGACGGCGTAGTTGCTGTAAATATCGGGATCGGAAGGAAGAAGCTCCATCGCTCGAGTGTATGCAGCTTCTGCTTCTTCCTTGCGATCAGTAAGATGATGCAGGTTCAAGGCAAAGGTTGAGACTGCGACACTGCACACGAGGGGGTCAGCATCATTCCTCCCCGTTCAATCATCTTCTACCGCCCTCACTCTGCACTTCTCTTCTTGCTTGTCCACTTTCTCAACTCTGCCATTTCCCTCTGGACTTCACCTTCATCCTTCCTTTATCTTGCCACCTACTCCGTTCACTCCTCGCCTTCTCATCTCTCATCGCTCCTCCCCTCATTCTCCTCCTCCCCTCGTTCTCTTCTTCACTCGCCATCTGCTTCTCTCCCCCACGCTCACCCGAAGTTTGGAGCAACATTGAGAGCATCTCTGAAGAGCTTGATACAGTGGTCTGAAAATCCTTCCTGCCGATCGATGAAATTGGCATACGCATACATCACCCATGCGTCATTGGGATTGTTTTTCAGCACAGTTTCAAAGATTAATCGCGCTCCTCTTATGTCGCCTGTGAACAAGGGATCCTCAGCCCTGTATCTCTCCTCCTCCTCCTGCACCTCCTCCTCTCACCAAACACTCGCTCTCGGAAATCGGAGAAGGAGATTGCAAGGTGAACATGCAGGGGGTTGACGGCGAACGCTTTCTCGAACATGGCCTGGACCTGCTGCACCACCGGCTGCTTGAGGTCGCTTCCCTCACAATTGTGCTTGAGCAAGTGAGCACATAAAAGCTTAACCTGCTGCTCCGTGAGGAGGGAGGGAGGAGGAAGAAAGAACAAGGGAGGAGGGAGGGAAGAGGGAGAAAGAAAAAGGGAGGAGGGAGGGACGAAGGAGAAAGAACAAGGGAGGAAAGAGAGGGGAGGTGGAATTTGTACAGTGTGTTCACAGGTCCCCTGCGAGAGCTCCATCCCCTTACGGTACTCCTCCTGAGGAGTTGTCGTCAATAGGAAGAAGGAAGATTCTGGAAGATTGGAGAGAGAAAGGGGTTGACAGCAGAAATTAGAGGAGAGGAGCATAGAGGACAAGCAGAGAACAGGGACATGAGGAAAAGGAGGAAGAGGAGGAAGAGGAGGAAGAGGAAGAAGGTGAGAGGGAGGGAGGGATCTAGGAAGGTTTTTGTCCAAACTGACACTTACCAGCGCTCCACTGTCGTCGACATTGATTTCGCCCAAGATTTGCCCATGTAGGCCGTGCAAGCAGCACTGGAATTTCTTCTTCCGGGACAGTCTGAGGGCTTGAGAGATGAGCCTTTCCGCCTGACAGAACTTCAACCCTGTAGTAGGACGGACTCTCTCCCCTACCTCCTTCCCCTGATTGTCATAGAGCAGCAGGTCGCCGAGAGCGAAGGAGGTGAAGGGTTCCGTTGGATCCAGCGCAAGGATCTTGCGCAGTGCCTGTGTAGCAGGATGACAAGGGAGAAAGGCGGCAAGGTAGAAGAGCGTACCTCCCATGGCACTTCTTCTGCGTTTGATCCCAAGCACTTGCAGAAAACCAGCCCGCTGCGAGATGAAAAAGTGAGGGCACTCGTGATAACAGCGGAGACTTCTGGACAAGAGGATGCCCAAACACAAGAGCATGCAATCAGAATCAAAACTTTGATATTCGTTACTCCCCCTCATCTCAATGGGGATGACAAAGCAAGCTGAATTGTACAACACACAAACACATGAACATCCGCATACGCATCGGACGAACCTGAGGACCTCTGCACTCTTGTAACCATGCTGCGTTGCTAGCTCAAGGTAGGAGCAGGAGGAGAAGGGATTCGCTCGGAGGTTCAGTGCCAAGACTCCGATACGTGCATAGAGGAAGCCATTGCGAGGGGAGAGCGCGAGAGCACGAAGGAAGAATTCTTCAGAATCTTTGGATCCTCCTTTCCACTCTTCGATAAAGCCCTTTGCCTTTTAGCCCATCGTCACCGACTCTTCTCTCGTTCCCCTCTCATCATCCAGATGAATGATACAACACATCAGCTCATGGTCATCAAAGTTATCATCGTTGACATCATCACCGCCATCGTCGTCACCAAACCACAATTGCAATCATCTCCATCATTACAACCATCCCAATCTTTATCTCTCACCACCACCACCACCACCACCACCACCATTATCCAACTTACAATCCACAGAGTCTCATCCTCTGGCCTGAGCCGGACGGCCTCCTCCAATCTCGCAATCGCAAACGCCGAGGAAGAGATCCGAGCAAGCGCGCCGATGGTGAAGGAGGAGTTGTCTCCTCCTCTCACCCTCTTTTCCAGCACAGCAGCAACCTCGTCATAGACTGGATCTTTCTCCCCCGTGATCTCCTCGTGATGCACGTAGAGCAGCTCCATGAACATCTCAGTCATCATCATCCCCAATCGGAACCTCCTGAATGCGCTCGTCGCAACCTGCAGCTGCTGCTGAGTGCAACACACGACCTGACCTATTTAGTCACCTCAAGAGCTCCTTTGTAATCTTTCTTCTTCTTCAGGAGGAAGAAGGAGTGGGAGAAATGAACTATGGCTCGATCTCCCTGTTGCTCCTTGTAAGCAAGTTTGAATGCACATCAGCATCTTCCCCTACCTCTGACAGCAGCTTGCTGTATTGGGCCTGCCCCTTCGACATGTCGTTCTCCCCAAACGCGTAAAGTTCTGCTTCTGCCAGTCGGACGGCAACTTGCAGCTCCTGCTGGGAAATCGCCGACGTCTGGTTAGAAACGACTGAGGGTAATCGATCCGAAATGTCGTTGAGGGCGCGAAACATCGAAAGTGCCCGTAGCAAGTTCTCAGTGTTCGACCAAGAGACGTGGGAGAACTGCAGGTAGCAGTTCAGGAGGCGAAGGGCGGCGTCCCTGACATGCAGATGTCAACAGAGAGCAGCGAGAGGGTCCAGGAGATGAAGAGAAAGAGAGAGGGGGGGGGGAGGAAAGAGGGGAGGAGAAGGGGAGGAAAGAGGAAAGAAGAGCAGAGAGCTTCTCACTGTACGAATCGAATGCCATCTTCAAGGTCAGTGATCATCTTCTTCGAGTTTTGTGAGTCCAGCCCAAGGATGCAACGGACAAGCGCTGGCAAGGCATCAGGACTGAGTCAAGCTCCTTGCTCTAGAGACATCGACTCACCAACGACGACCCTGAGGTCATCTGAGCATAACACAAGGGAGCTGTTTGACGACAGCTTCCACAGAAGGATGTTCAGATCGTGCCGTTGGTGCGAGACTTTCTCGTCCTCGTCGTCCTGCTCCCTCGAGTATGCACTCTCTCGCGCCTCGTAGATCATGTTGCGCTGGTTGCAGTTCCACTGCTCCAACGTCGTTGAGTGGAACAAGAAGTTGGCAATGCTCATCTTCATAGCTTGCGCCTCGTCGCTCATTCCTTCCTGAAATTCCTCCCACGCCATTTCAAAGGCGCGAGGAGCGTAGATCATGGAGTCATAGAAGAAGAAGATCAGCTGAGACACGCTCATGCGCTTGCACTCGCGCTTCAACTGCTGGACAAAGTCAAAGGGTCGATTGACAAATCTCATCTACTTGACCTTGTGCAAGAACCGAGCCTGCGACGCCAAGTCTGCAAGGAATGAGAAGCAAGCAAACACAAGAAGGAAGAAGCTTCGTCTGGAATACCTTGACTGAAATCGGACGTGCTTTTGCTGAGATTTTCCTGCACCAGTAACATCACCAACACAAATATTCAGTCAAGTCGAATGGAGATTAATGATCTATTTGTACCTGAGCTGTGTTTGTATTTTCCATCGCTCCCTCAGTCTCGTTCATCCTTTGCATCTCATGATCTGAGTCGTTGCTCTGCAGAGACAAACTTGAGAGAGAGAGCAATCCGACGAGACGAATACCTGATGGGATCCTTTGTTCCTTTGTGTCTCTACTTCATTCAGTGCAGAGAAAGGATTGAGGCTTCCAACGGGCCTTGCAGCATTTGCACTGAATTATGAGGATTTAGTGCACTTGACATGTGCGATGCGCACTTGCGATTCAAGACAAGTGAACGCATCTCACCTTGAGGAGGTGAAGTTTGTTGCGGCAGGCCTTGGGGCAACGGCAGGCCTCTCGCTCTTATCCGAAAGGGGGGATGCGACTTGTGTCTTGGTCGAACTCTCCTCGTTGATCGGGTCGTTTGCCTTGTCCTTCATCCATCCATCATCAGACGATTGCAAGCACAAGGAAAATAGGGACGGCAAGACCTTCTTCCATGCCGTTCCCTTGTCCGAGGCTTTCTGCTTCATCGCCTTCGCCTTGTTCGAAGACAACTCGGCTGGTTTCTTCACGTTCTCTTTCTCCTGCACGCCAGGTGCTGCTTTTTCGTTGTCCGAAGGGACTGCATCCTTCCTGACCTGCGCATTCTCCCTCTTCTTCTGCACTGCCTTCCTGTGACGCGAGCTGGGCGCTGCCTCCGCCACCTTTCCTTGCACACTTGCTGTTTGCGCGGGACCTGCTGGGAGCTCGAAACCCTGCTGGCCAGGATAGTCATAGTGCACATCAACAACATCGGATTCCATCTGCTCAGTGTTTGTCATCCGGACGAGGTCAGACCAAGTTATCTCAACCCTTGGCGCCTGCATGAAATACAAGTGGGCTTTCGCAAGCAAGATTGAAGCGGAGAGGAGGAGGAGGAGGAGGAGGAGGAGGTCAGTGGCAGGTCACCTGAGCCTGTGGGACCTCAGTCTGTGTGGGAAGCACCTTCTTGACCTCTTTGTGCTCTGATTTTTCGAACGTTGGGTGGAAAATACCCATCTCATCCCAATATCCCTGGAGGAGGAGAGGTGAGAGGACGAGAGGAGAGGAGCAGAAGGCTGAGGGAAGGAGTAGCCGAGGGAATAAATGCCAAAGATAGCAGGAAGAGGGCAGGGACGGGACGAGCGGGAGGGAAGGAAGGGAGGGGTGAGGGATAATTGCACGGCGATCTTCCACAGTCCTCCACAAGCACAAGTGAGTCTGGACCTTGGGCGGAGGATCGGGACGGCTGTCGAACTCCCAGATCTGTTCGATCCCTCCTTCGTCGTACTGCGAGTCGTGCTCCCACATGCTGTTCGGCAGAATCTGTGCTTGCAACGCTCACAGCGAGATCATCCAGGTCACGTTCCTACCTTCTGCGGCACATCCCCGTGCTGCCCTCGCATCATGTAGGCAGTGCCGTACATCCCCTGCTCCATGCTGAGTTTCAGTAGCAACAGGCAGGTGCCTGCTTGCCTCCAGGGGAAAGGGGCTCCATCTAGGCGGGATGTCGTAATCAGGTCCTTCCTGGCTCGGGCATTGGTCCATCTAGACGCTGACGTCAGTTCAAGTGCGCAGACAATCCGGTCACCTCGTGCACGTCGTCAGGATATTTCTCTTGGAAGAGATCCTCTAGCGAAGGAACGGGCTCCTGCCTCCCCTGCCACCTTCCATCATCCTTTCGCTGCTCCCTTCATCCTCCCCCCCTCCCCCCTCCCACACTCACAGTCGCTTTGTGGCGTTCAACGAAGCGTTGCTGCGCATCATGAGAAGGGTGCAAGAGACTACTTCCTTCGACTTACTCGCTCTTCCCACAGCTCCACGAGGTTTCGCAAGATCACGGACGGACTCGTGTTCTCCCCTGCGTTTGCTCGTCATAACCAAGAGGAGGCGGGAGGCAGGAAACCGTCTGGGAGCCAGCGACTTCGATTGTGTGCGACCATGTCACTGGGTGGCTTCTCCTCCATGGACCTTGGGGCAAGCTTCTGGTTCCGGTGCCTCAACGAGAGCGACCTGGGAGGAAGTCAGAGGAGGAGCTCAATCAAGGATAGCCTACTTCTGCACGGTATCCTCCCACGCATCGTCAGTGTCTCCAGAATCCAAGTCGCCGCCAAAGGTCTCTTGGTCTAGTTCTGGATTGTTGAGGTCGTCTCCTTCGAACATTTTCCTAAGGCATAGCCTCAACCACGAGCAGGGTTGCCGGGAACAAACCTTTCAAAGCTATCCTCGTCGTCAAACTGCAGAACTTCGCCGTCTTGCCCACCGACTTTCCATTCATCCCCATCATACCCTCCTCTGAACCTGAACGTGGAAGGGCAAGACGGTATGTCGCTCGTCCTGGCAGCATACCGGAAGTTCTCCGTGGGAGGGATTTGAAACGCGATTTCACAGGAACAGAACAGGAGCAGGAGCAGTATGCCCGAGCGCGCCATCACGATGAAACTTCACATCTCCGTGGAGGATCCGAAGGACCGACTGAAAGGATCACCATGGCTACTCCCTCTCTCTCTCAGAGCCGCCATCGCTCGCCGGGGGTGCCGCGCCCTGGCATTCCCTCAGTGCATGCGGGCGCATCGAAGGGAATCCGGTCACTTGGACGAAACTTTGAGGCGTTGAAGTTTTAAAGTTTTGGATTGTTCTCGAAAGTTTTGGAGTTTGATGATTGGGGATGAGGGGCATCACTTGCGAAAGGCGCACGAGCAATGGCGACAGATCGACCGGATGATGACGAGGAGGAGGAAGAGGTGAGAAGAGGAGGATGGTGAGAAGAGGAGGATGAGAGAGGAGAAGGAGGAGGAGTTAAGAGGGGGGGGCTGAGAGAGGAAGAGGAGGAGGAGGATGAGAAGGAGGAGGATGAGAAGGAGGAGGTGGTGGTGGAGATGATGGCATGATTAGAAGAGACGAGATGCGGAGGATAGGAAGGGAGAAGTGAAATCAGGTAAGGATAAGACGATGGGAAGGAGAGAAATTGGTGAGAATTTATAAGGGAGGAAGGTAGGATTTAGGAAGGAAGGAAGTTGGTAGGATTGGGATCGGGATGTTATGAGACGATCCAAGGAGGAGGATAATGAAAGTCGGCAGCACTTGCATACAATCAGTGTTGTCGCATGTTTTACGCTGACACGTGGCACCGCAGAAGGTAGTCAGGAAAGGCGAAGACGCGAAAGCACACAAGGAACTCAACAAGCTTTCGGGTGACAACGAGGGAGAGAAGGAGGTGGATACAGGCAAGGCGCAGAATGCGCTGTCACAGCTGTCGAATGCCGCGGAGGCTGAGAAGCTAGCGAAGCTGGAGAGAGAAAAGGAACTTGCGAAAGTCAAGATCGACAAGAAGGATGTTGAGTTGATCATGTCCGGTACTGCGATCAACGTCATTTGCTGCGCCTTGTAAACTCATTCCTTTGTTCAGAGATGGAGATTGATGAATCTAGAGCGGAGCGAGTACTGAGAGAACACAACGGCGAACCCGTCAAGGCTCTACAATATTTGATTGATAGCAAATGATACAACCTTTACACTATAGTTCACTCCTTATGACAGCCCGGGCTGCCTTGCGGCACATCGCTATGTACACATAGAAGGGGGGGAAACAACGTGGTGCTCTACTAGCCCAGCTGCAGAAGCCTCATTGCTCTTGGCGGGGGTCTCATGGTTGTTCCTTGGCATGGTTCCTTGGCATGTTGTCAACGCTGTCATGTGTTGAATGGAACCTGTGTGCATGCTCAGCTAAGACTGCATGTCGAGAACAAACAGCTACACTTTGTCATGCCCCGCGGCCAGGAGCGAACATATGAATTCCATGACGGTGAATCGTAATTCCCCTGTTGAATCGTCATTGTGAGAGTGTGCACGTGTCAACGATGCTCTTACCACATGATACGATTGTGATCTTCCCGCTGTCCATTCCATCCCCACCTGAGACATCTGCACTTTGTCGCCACCTATCCAAACCAATGAACATGAGGCAACGTCTTGAAACGACGCAAGCACCTTGACTTTGCTTCCTCGATCCAAGTTTCGTTGTAGACCGGGTGCAAACTTGTGTCGTGCCTGCTCCGTCGTCACCATCGCAGAGGCACAGTGAACCAACTGCACACCATCGTTCCGATGTTAACAACCCGTTGTCATCACGAGGGAGGCTGAATCACTGAGATCAATAACTTTCGACCCAGCATGTCCCTACAGCAACCTTTGAGACGTGTTCCTTACTGTGCTTTCCTCCACAGCCAGAGGATCTCCTTCCAAAGCTATGTCCCCTCGGTCCCCTTGAAGAAACTTTCAACCCGCAGAGCAGTCGTATCGAAATTATGCGTACGGTGCAACTTGGGAGAACAACAAACAGAGCACCAGCATTCCGACCTCTGTGCAGCAGCCAAGTCACTTGGGAGACAAGGCCTACAACAAGATCGCGAACTCCTATCAGAGCCTTATTGAAAGCGGTGACATGTCGGAACCACCAGTCTCCGCACTTCTCCTCGCTCGGGTCGTGCGGGAGGTTCATGGCCCGTCCAAGAACCTGCGGTATCAAGTGACTCGGGAGGAGGGAGCACGAGCACAAAGCTGCCTGGACTACTTCCGTCTGATTCCAGTAGTCAGCCAGCTGCAGGGCTGTCCTCCCCTGCCAGTCAACGCACCACTGGCAAGCTCCAAGTTCCAGGAGGGCGAGAACTGCCCTGGGGTGACCATTCGCCGAGGCCCAGTGGAGCGGAGTGAAGCCTGCTCGGTTGGAAGCGTTCACCTCAGCTCCCTGCGCATGGGAGCGTGAGGGGAACTAGAGGATGTAGCGGGGGGAGGGGTCAAGCGCACCAGCTGAACGAGTTGCTGGATGGCTGGCACGTGGCCGCTCCCCGCTGCAAGGTGCAGGGGCGTCTGGAGATCGTTGTCCCTGCACTTAACGTCTGCTCCGAGGTCAGCGAGGAACTTGATGATCTTGGTGTATCCTCCCTCCGCCGCCCAGTGCATCGCTCCTTTGCCTCCTTGGGTTGGGTCGCTCGAGTTGACATCGGCCCCGTCCGCCACCGCCTCCTTGAGGTCCAGGATCTGTCCGAACCGAGCAGCCTTGCAGAGGCGGAAGCTCAACCAGGTCCTCTCCCTCTCTATCACCTCGTCATCGAGGCAGAGACAGAGCTGATCCCAAGTGGTGAACAAGTCCTGCACTGTGGGGCCCGGGTAGATGGACTGTTTTCTCAGCATCCTCAGTCCTAAGATAGAGAGCCGAAGCTTCGGCAGCCTGCTCGCTACCTCCCTCATCAGCTTCACATCGTCAGGATGGCCGAGGGTGTGAAGTCGCTTCCCCTGGACCCTCTGCAGCTTCGACAACGACCCACCCTTCATCCTGTTCGCAGCGATCAAATCGCGGTAAAATGTCGGCATGCGAGAGGCGAACAACAGGGAGGAGGAGGAGGACTGACCTCATAGGCCTTGCAGGATGAGTCTCCTCCATCTCCCCTTCGATCCCCGCGCCCATGGCCGCTATGCACAGCAGCAGCCGGGCGGGGCCCATGGACCCGGGCTTGCGATGGAGGCGCATCGGGGGTAACGTGACTGTGACTCAGGCGGAAGCGAAACCCAGTTGAAAATCTGACGGAAGGGAGGGCGCTAGGACAGACGACGACAGCGGAGGGTCGGCGCGAAGAGAAGAGCAGGAGGGAAGAGAGGGGGGGCTAGAACGGAGGAGAGGAGAGGAGAGGAGTGCGGGAAGTGGAGGAGGAGCAGGGGGGGAGTGTGGGGGGGAAGTGAGGCAGGAGGGTTTGTGGTTGGAGGACAAACTGCGTTTCGTGCAAACTTGTTGCAGGTCGGGCTGGGGAAGGAGAGGATCAAGGTGGAGGGAGGGAGAAAAGGGAGGGAGAGCATCGAGGAGGAAGAGGACTGCCCGTGTGCATGCAGTAGAGCATGGATAACCACCTTCTGCACCCTGACAACCATGAGATACATGACGAGCCGCAGTCGACGACCAAGACTCTGTCCACTATAGCAGAGAACGCCGGAGAGAACGGAGGACACCATGCGACCCGCCTTAAGTTCTACCACAAGCTTCAACACATGTCCCTCCTTCCGTTCCTCCCGCACCCCCACCATCGCGTTCCCCCCCACCATCACCTAGCGGTCACGCCATTGCATGATATCTTGAACAATGGAGAGCCGTACGTGTGGGTGTCAGAGGCGATGGACCTTGGAGAGGAGAGTCTGCTGGAGTCCAACGACCAGACGGAGCATGAGGAGAAGAAGCAGAGGATGAAGCGGATCGGCATTGCGAGGGTCTTCACGATCGTCAACGTCATGCTCGGCTCCTCGCTCCTGGTGGTGCCCTGGGCGTACTCTCGTAGCGGGCTGCTGCCGGGAGCTGCACTGGTGTGCGGCATAGGCGGCTTCTGCCGATACACTTCGAGCCTCATCCTGCGATGGAGTGAGGGGCACGAGGACTTCTCGGAGATGTGAGACAAGCGGCTGAGAACCTGTGTGCTTGCTGATCTAGGTGCAGGTGCAAGAGCTACCTGGGGAAGCCGGCATGGCACGTCTGCCTCTCCTCGTCCCTGGTGGTCCTGGTGGGAGCCCTGCTGGCCTACCACACCATCATGTCGGACTTCTTGTACTCGTTGTCCAAGGCCCTGATCCCCAACAGCGAGTACCAGGGGAACCTGTTCTACGCGGTTGTTCGCGCCTTGTTCCTTGACCGTAGGTTGTCGCCCCTCCCCATCGCCATGTTTGTGTTCCCCTTTGCAAATTTCCGAGATGTCTCCACCCTTGCAAGATTCACTTCCTACGGGATCGTCGCGGTCGTCTTCACCTTCTGCTACATCCTCGTCACTTCGTGGGGCGCGTTCATAGCAGCAGTGGAAGGGGGACAGGGGAACGTCACTTTCACCTTGGAGCAGGACAGTGCAAATCCTGACAACACGCTGATCGTCCCTCTTGCTGGGAGGAACTGGGGGGACTTGGCCGGGATCCTGCCAGTCTCCTTCTTCGTCCACAACCTGATCATCCCCATTATGCGCGGCGACGAGCCGATGAAATGGAAGATGATGCAGCACGACGCTGCGTTCTCTCTGGTAGTGCTGATCTACTCTCTCGTCGGAGCATCGCCAGTGTTCTCGTTCGCCGCTGCCATGCAGACATGCGGAGGACTCAGGAACGAGACGAGCTGCCACGACATGGTTGGATGTGTCTGGCAGGATTCCCACATCACCGGAGCAGAGTTCTCGAGGAGGCAAGGATTGGAAATCTTCGGCTCTGTTTGTGTTGAACAGCCCATGTCGCAAAACTTCTTGCGGACTCAACTCCCGCCATGGCCGAACCCTCTCGCCTCGAAGCTTCTCCACACCCTCGTGCAATCGGCGGTGCGCAGCCAACATTCACTGCCATCAGTGTCCCCGGCTTGACTCCCTTGGCAGGTGCTGATACAGCTTCTCACCATCTTCCCGCTTGTCTGCGCCATCGTCAGGGGTCAGTTCTTCGTCTACGTCAGCGGTCTCTTGCCATGGCGCGGAGATCGCGGCGACTAACGAACTTTCAAGGAGTGGAATATCCTGGAAGGGTCCAGGGGCTCGTCTTCGTAGTCTTCATCATCGGACTCTCTACCTTGGTCTCGTCGAGCTTTCCTGATGCTCCAGGGAAGGCAAGGCAGCAGAGTTGCTAGATGACGTCATCGTTCACGCTTGTTTTGCAGATCCTCGGCATCGTAGGAGCGATCTCCGGCACTCTCTATGTGTGTGTGCTCCCCATATCTCTACATCTGGTGCGGATTGACCCCACGGCTCCTGCGTTTGACCATGTCGACAGGTTGCGCTGAACAACACGGGGAATTTGTCAATCACTTCATTCATCATCCATGTCATTTTAATCTTGGGAGGAACATTCCTCTTTGTTCAGGGTGTGATTTGAAATCACCAGCCTCATGCGTGTCATGATACGCGCTGTAAAGCCTCGCTGCTGACCACCTGGCGACTGTCGGCTCTACTTTTGTGTATCGTTGGGCCTAAGGAGGAGGAAGCCCGAACTTCTCTGCTCTTCGGCGAAGTTTCTCCTCCTCCGAACTCTTTGAGTCTGATAAAGCGGCGCGAGGCTCTCGATTTGACTCTTGCTCGCTGGTTCCCTCGTGGGCTGGAGACCTTACGTCTACTCTATCCCTCGCTTCATCCTGTCGTCCTGTCCTGGGATCCTGCGAGGACCCACCTTCTACTCGATCTTGAGAAAACCTTTCCCCTTCCCTCGAGTCGAAGCGCCTTGCCTCATCGCGCTGCCCCCCGCGGTTCGGCCCTCGCTCTCCGCGAGCTTCTGCTCGGTCAACTGCACGAGGGGATCTAGGGGATCGTCTCATGTCCCTGGGATCCCCCCTGTAGTCCCGAGGCATGTCTCTTGTATCTCTTCCTTCTCCCCTATAGTCCCGAGGTGATCCCCGTACGTCCCTTCCATCCCTCGGCTCTCCTCGAAGGTCTCGAGGGCCCCCTCGCGGTTCCCCTCTAACGTCCTGCGGGAACCTGCCAGGGGGTGGCGGCCCTCTCGAATCGCTTCCCTGGGACCAACCCCTCCTCACCTCGTCTGGGTGCATGCTCGGATAATCCCTCGGATCATGCTCCATCCTCTCCCTCCTGTCCCAATCCTCTCCCTCTCTTGGTCTAGACCAGCCTCCCTGGCCTCCTTGCTCTGACCTTCCACCGCGGTCTCCCATGGAGCCATCGCCGGTGCCTCTGTCGTCCATGTCTCGGTAGCCGCTTCCCATTCCATTCGGCCCGTTGCCATCCCGGTGCTGCCGATCTTGCTCAAAGTTGCTTCTCCTCCCTCCTCTTGCCTCGTAATCTGGCCTCCTTCCTCCTCTGTCTACCCATCCCCTGTCTCTTCCTCTTCCTCGCTTGAAGGGGCCTCGATCTCTCCTGGAAATCAAATCATTCCAACTCAACTTGCCTCATAACTCGCTCTGTCACCTGTCTCTCGGACTCCTGCTTCTGCTCCTGCTCCTGCTCCACTTTCTGGAACCGGGCGAAATATTGCTAGGTGGGTTTCTCCTGCCAGGAGATCTTGATCGGTTCTTTCGTCTATCGCTGTCAGAACAACTTTAGAGAATCACACAACTTTTCATCCATCTAGCTACCGCGATCTTGACCTCGACCTGGACCGATCGGGAGGCCTGTTCCCCTCCCGTCCGTCCCCTCTGCTGAATCTGTCCACATCCTGTCTCTCCCCCCTGTTCGCGAAGGGACCCGGTGGAGTATCACCTTCTCTGCTTCTGCCCGATACCAACGTCACTCAAGATCCTTGATGAACAAAGTAATCAACCTTGATCGAGCCTCGAGCTCTCGATCTTTCGAGAGTGACCTATCCTCGGGTTCTGCTGCAAAGCAACAATCAACTTTCCCCGTGTCCAAGACATGTTTTACCTTCTGAAACCCTTTCTTCTACATCAGAGGCCTGCCCTGTTGCACTGACTGTTGATTCAATCTCTGCCTCTCCAAGTATTTGTCCGGAATCCTCCATCTCTGTATTGCCCGCCTCTTCACCGTTTGCTTGTGAAGTCTGATTCTTGTCTGCTTGATTCGTGTCTGCTTTCAAGGTATGCACATTGATGTATTTCGCTTTGGGCAACTTGTAAAGCGCAAGCAGTGTGGTGGCCACATCGATAACCTACGATCAAATGCCAATGAGATCCAGCCAAGGAAAAATATGCTCTCTACCTGCTCCTTCTCTGCGTCAAAAAGATTCCACCAAGGCGGATCCTCAGGCAAATTTATCCCCAGATCCCTGTAATTCTTTGTTGGCTTTGCAAGAACATCGCTCAAAAAATTCTCACCTGCTTGCGAGGAAAATGGCCCCACAAGCAAGCACATATGCAGGATATTTCAAGCAAATGATTGACCGGTAGGCATCATTGGCATAGTTCCAAGATCTCTGTGGGAGCTCGGGGTATTGGGGCGGAATCTGTCCAAACAGAACCCTGATGTAGTACAACACGAACTTGTGCGCATGTTCGGCATGGATGATACTGCGAGTAAAGTCAGTTAACTGTCAAGATTTACAGATGCCCGAGACACAAACAAACACTTACAATCCGAGTTCTCTCAGGATAGCCGATTCGGCATTGAAAAGCTCCTCCCTCAGGCTGACAAATCTTGTTGTCCCAGTAGCCAACGGCTCAATACGCTTGCCCAAATGATTCATGGCGCTTGCATGAAAGACATTCAAGATGTCCTGGGTCTTCCTGGGCTGCTCTTCGATCTTGGACCCCAGGAACAGTGCAGCCTTTGCGACTGAACGCACATCGCATTTCACCATCGACTCCCGAAAGAAGAATCGATGGAAAATAATCTGGCCCGTCACGATTGCCGTCTGATGCATTTTGAGAAGGATGCCGGCTTCTTGAATGAGCTCGCATCCGTAAAGCCTCAGCAAAATTTCTGTCCGCTCGTCCACTCCATCCTTGTGGCTGGGAGTGTTGGTCAGAAGAGATGGATTACGAGTGAAAATGGTGATGTCATCGACGGGAATCAGAGATTCGTCAGCCACTCCTTCCGTCATGCCTGTTCCGTCCATTCCTCCGATGTTTCAGACCTCTCAGTACCAGTTGACCATCTGCACAGAAACAAAGTTCAAAACAGAAAGAAATCTTTGGGGTGATTGATTCCCGACCCATTTTGCTCTCAATAAAAGCTGTGATATCTCCATCGTCTTTTCCTGCTTTCTTCCTACCTATTCCTTTCCAAATCTTTCTCGTTGAACCACCGACCATCTTCTACCTACGCTCTACCTTGGCTAACTCCCAATGATCTACCGCCATCACGTTTCTCTCCCAACACTCCTCTTTGATTCTCTTCTTGTCCTCAGTCGTCTCATTCCCCTCCCGTTGTTTCCTTCCTGTCAGTCTGCTGGCTGCCTTCTGCCTCCCGCCATCTTACGCTCTCTTCCCATCCCTCTCCGCCCCCGGCATTGCCTTGCCGCTTTCTCGAGAGGATCCCTTTTCCTGGGTACTGGAAATGAGAGGGGTAGGGGTACTTGGACTACCGGTTATTTGTGATCAATTTTGTGGGAAAATGTAGGTGAGGGTGAAAGCATCTGGGATAAGATGAGACAGCTTTTAAATATTAGTCAAAATACAAATCCAAAGACAGCAAAAATGGAATGCAATCCAAATTTGCTGCCTTGTATTACTCGGAGGCGGACCCAGTGGAGCGCAGGAATCGGGGAGAAGTCGTAAGGGGAAAAGGGAAGATGCAGGGGAAGATGGGGAAGGTAGGATGGCGGGACAGGCGACACAGGGAAGGGAGCAAGAGACTGCTCAGCAATAGGAGGAGGAGGTTGATAGTGGAGGATAGTTGTTGAGTGGAGCAGTCTGCAGGAACGAGGAAAGGTGTGCCAGGGCTGCGATCGATACCATGCCCAAGAGCGAAGTTTTGCAACTCGTGAAGGCCGTAGTCGATCCTGAGAAAGGCCCAGAGGAGAGGCAGAATGCCTTTGAAGCGCTCGCAGCCATGATCAGGGCGGGACCGGATGTGGCGATCTCCTTGAGCGACCCCTTCTCCGCCAATGACGACGTATTTGAGTCCTTCTTAGGATTGATCTCTTCCTCTGGCCCAGCAGAATCTGAAAGTTTGCTAAGCATACTGAAGATGATGGTTGGCGAGATCGGAATGAGCATGCCTCACTTCAGAAAGACGCTGCTGCTGGCGTTCTGTGAACAAGGGTGGTCAGCAAAGGCCGTCCAGATCCTGCAGATGAAGCTGTCGCTGCTAAACATAGGGGACGCTCTCCAACCGACTTCTTCCTTCTTCTGGCTGGAAGGAAGTCACGCGGGAATCTATCTTGGAGGGAACTCAGATTGGTTTCTGAATGAGGGCTACACCTTTGAAGCCAAAGTGTGGAAAGAGAACTGCCCGGAAAACGCGAACACAACCCTGTTTGCTGTTCTGAGCAGCGAGGACTATCATGGAAGGGAGTCGTTCCTGATCAGGGTCCACCTCAAATCCTCGAGGGTGAAGATCACAATCGGGGACAAAGCTGCGGCGCTGGAGTTCGACTCTGGGCTGGCATTGCCGTCGTGCGAGTGAGAACGCTTTCCTTGTAGTCCTGAGGTGAAGGAGGGCTGACGATGGTACAGGTGGTGTAACATAACCGTCTCTCACTACCATGACAAGAGGATCATGAAGCCAAGTCAGCTTATTGTCGCCGTCAACAACGAGGAGGCCAGGACGGCGGTCAGGTGCGAGCGAGAACGACTCGCATGCTAGCCCCTCCTCTCATGCCTACTGCAGATATCCGTCTGCCATGGGAAGAATCCGTGCTTACTTCGGCTGCTCGGGGTATCAATCAGCTCTACAGGGATCTGGCTCCTTCAGGGGCCTGGCAAGAGATGTTCGCTTCTGGGCAAGGGCGTTCTCGGCTGAAGAGGTCAAGAGGGCACGAGGAGGAGACTCGAGCCGGGAGCAACTCGCGCATCCTCTCTTTGCTGCCTCTGCAGGCTCCCTCCCCTTCTTGTCTGAGTCGATGGAGAAGTGCTCCGAGCTGCCGGAGCTCGACAGCAACTCGAGGTGCCTTGGGGAGGTGACGGTGCTGAACAACTACCATGCTGTTGAGGCACTGGAGAACCTGGGTGGGATGAAGGTACTCCTCCTTCTCCTCCTCGCCTCTTTCAGGATCCCGAATCCTACTGGAAAGGCCGAAACTCTTGCTTGTACTGTCTTGGACCTCATGCACAACTTCCTGCTGCTGACGGACTCGCTTCCGACTGCGGTGTCCGAGGGAGGGGAGGGCTGCGAATGGCTGGTGCTGGTCTCCGGCTTCTCCAACGTCCTCTTCGAACTACCGTTGGAATGTCGGACGAGGGAAGTCATGGAGAGAGTCTGTAAGATCACCAGAAGCATGTGGGAACGCAGCAAACCAAGCTCTACTCCCCCTCCCTCCGCTCAAGGCAGCGGACAGGCAGATGTCAACTTGGCACAGCACTTTGTCAAAGTCTGTCTGCTCAACGGCCGGGAGTGGAGCTCGTGCTATCAGGAGGGGTTCTCGGGCTGCTTGTTGGAGCATGCGGTGGGATGGTCGAGGAGCGATCCGCAGCTGCTCCTGCATACCGATGACCTGGCAGGGATTCTACTGCGGCTGTCGTCTTGGCATGCATGCAAGGAGGCACACGCTAACGACTGTCCCCTGTGCGTGCAAATGGCGGAATGCTGCTGCAACCTCCTAGTGCACAGCAGCGAGATCAAAGCCCAGCTCGATTCCCTCAAGATTTTGTTGGTGGGGAGGATGAATACTGCCCACACATGTAAGGTTGCGCTGCTGACATTCATGAGATATCTGGAACATTACAACTCGTCAAGGCAGGGAAGTCTTCGATTTCCATCTTGTCCTGCAGACCTTGCAACTATCTCCATCTTCATCATGAAGGACAGGAGGAGTTTCGACAAGATTTTCGCTACCGCCCTGCGTGTCCTTGCTTTGCACCTTATATCGTCATCTGACGAGGTCAAGAGGGACTTTGAATCCTCTGGAGGGTACAAGACGCTGCAGATGAGTCTGTGCTCAAGAGAGCTTGACGGCGAGCAGCAAGACGTCTGTGTTCGTTGTCTGCTGATCATGGTCGTCGAGGAAGAGGTGGACGTGAAGCAAGACCTCAAAGGTGAGGTCCGCAACACCCGGGCGCTGGAAGTCCTGCTGGCTTTCTTGGAGGTCTGCTGTAACAGAGTGAGGAAGGCAGCAGTGAATGATGTTGCAACTCTGCTGCGGACATCGGCGAACAGCTGCAAGAGGATCCTCGAGATCCCTTCCTGGCCCGATCGCTTCCTCACCTTAATCCATGGCATAGGAGAAGAGGAGGGCAAGAACGCTGGAGAGGATCTGTTTCCCTCCGTTGACCTCCTCTTCTCGCGCATCATCTCGAGCATGGCTGGGACGGAGGAAGGAAATTCAGCGATGCAGGAGATTTTCTTTGCCTTCGGACGATACCGAGGAAGTGTGCAGGCGATGGAGGGGACGGACTTCGAGTTGAGCATCAAGAAGAGGTGAGAGGGGCCGAGGCGGGAAGGAAAATAGACAGACAGACAGAGTAGGAAAGCAGGGAGGGAGATAAGGAAGAGGAGAAACGAAGGGAGGCTGAGAGGGAAAGGGGGAAGGAAGATGGGAGAGTAAGGTCACTGTTTGAATGATTTTTCTTGCAGCGCATGGCGGATACTGGATGTCATTGTTGATCGTGTGAAGGAGGAGGAAGCTCGAACCTCGGCGGTCATTGCAGGAGGAGTGGTTGTCTGCTTGTACTGCAACATCTTCCTTCACTTCACCGAGGAGAACCGGGTGGGATCGAGGGGAGACGCCGAGCAGAGCTTTTCCTCCTCCCCCTCCCATCCCTGGCGAGAGATCTGCCTGTCTCAGTTCGAGGAGGTGCAGAAGAGGCATGACAGGGCTGGAACCATGTTGCTGAACAAGCTCCTCCCGGTCATGAAGAAGCTACTGGACGACCTAGAGCGCAAAGACAGTTTGCAAGCTTCAGTCTTCTGCATGTCGGGAGGACTGGAGTCGTCCTCTCCTCTCATGCGGCCATCACGTTGGTTGTTCTGCTTGTTCTCGCTCACCCTGTCGATGGTGCTGCATGAAGTCAGAGAAGCGCTCGAGGAGGACGTTCCTCCGCACCTGCTGGCAAGACTGCAGGACCACCTGGCCGTCCTAGAACTGAGCTGCCGCTTAAAATCCGACTCCAACGACGGCAGCTTGTTTGCTACTGCTGCGGTGGTTGCCATGCATGAATGCTGCAAGACTGCTGCAAAAAAACTCTCCAACGAGGATGGAGAACGAGGAGGGGGAGGAGGAGGAGGAGGAGAGAGTGGAGAAAACTTGAAACGCCTTATCCGATTGCTAGCAGCTCGCGCGATCTCTTTCTGCCAACTGGTTGACCAGCCGATGATCTACAACTTGTTTGCGGGTTTCACTCACAGGGCAGCTGTGGAGCAGAGAGTTCAGAAGGTGGAGAAGGAGGGAGGGCTGGAGGTTCTACACGCTCCGCTGGAGGGAGGGCTTGCTGCTTTCTCGGAATACTATGGGGGTGAGGAGGAAGAGGATCCGATGGTGAGAAGAGAGGAGGTAGGGAAGAGTTTGGCCGCTCTAGCCGACGATTCTCAGCAGGATCGAAAGGAGGAGGCGCAAGATGACAAGGAGGGGAGGGGACTACAGCAGAGTGCAGCGGACCGAGGGGGTGAAGTTCAGAGGGAAGGAGAGAGTAAGGAGGGGGGAGAGGAGGACAACCCCCTTGCAGCGTTTGAAAGCGTAAAATGGTCTCTTCCCGAAGTTGCAGGGCACGTCAGATCGAGCGAGCAGCTGCTGCATCGGATGTCAGCGAACTGGAGGGTGATGTGGAACGAGAAGATCGTTGAGGGCGAGAGAAGCGCGGGGGACGAGGCGGTTGATGCGAGTATGGCCAACCACCTCAAGAGCTCGTTCGAGCTCATGAGGGGGAGGTGCTCGAAGACAGAGAGCATTAGGGTCGAGAGGACCGCACAGGAGGTGGAGGAGCTGAGGATTAAGACCTCCTGCCATATGAGCGCGGTCGTCAACATGGTGGAGCCGATCTTCTGCCAGGCAGGGGACGTCTTCAGCCAGCTCTGCATCGAGCACGGCATCTTCAACAAGAACGCTCTGCACTTGTCAAGGCTGTGCCTGGACTTCAAAGAGAACTCCAGGAGGCAGCGATACATCCTGAGGCGCAACGATGAGTTTGTTGAGTACAAGAGGAGGGACGTGGCAAAGCTCGAAAAGATGGAGAAGAGATCTGTTCCGACCATCTTGAAAGAGACTGTTGCCAAGATCATCTCACTGACTCGGGAAAGGAAGGGGGCGGAAGGGTATGAGAGCACCGAGGAGTTCGACAGTGGGGACGAGCAGCAGAACGAGCAGGTTCAGTTCGACGATGACGAATGGACGGACGTGGCGTTGCAGGGGGGGGAGGCAGGAGAAGAGGGGGAGAGTGTCAAGGTCGATAGGGACCTCAACCTGCTTCTCCTCGAATGCTGTGCGCGCATGATCACTGTCAGCGGCATCTGCCACGGCACCTTCTCCCTCTACAGCTCTTCCATCGTGTTCAAGCCGGACTCCTCGCGAACCCTGTCAAACCTGACCATGAGGGACGATGAGGCGTCGCTCAAGAGCATGATGCAGAGAGCGTACTGCTGGGACCTGTCGGACCTCACGGAGCTGCAGAGCAGGAGGTACATGCACCGCACATCGGCGCTCGAGCTGTTCTTCATGCATCAGCCCCCTGTCCTCCTGGACTTCAGCCACGTCGAGCTCTCAGGAGAAGGAGGGGAGGAGGCGAAGTGCGGAGGAGGAGATCGCTATGTTAACCAGGCAAAGAAGGTCTACAAGGAGATCCTGAAGCAGCGGAAGAAGACTTCTCTCCGCAGGAGCTTCTTCCGCAACCCCAGGAGAGCGCTGCTCAAGTACAAGCTGCAGGAGATGTGGATCGATCGTCGCCTATCCAACTTTGAGTACCTCATGCTCCTCAACTCCTTTGCTGGGAGGTCGCACAACGACCTGACCCAGTACCCTGTCTTTCCTTGGATCCTGCAAGACCACACCTCCAATGAGCTCGACCTTACGCAAGCCGCGTCCTTCCGTGACCTCTCGAAGCCCATCGGAGCTCAGCACGAGCAGCAGGTGGCGAAGCTCCAGGAGAGGTTTGAGGGGATGCAGGATGTGGAGCAGCAGCCCTTTCACTATGGCACACACTACTCGACCCCGGGTAATTTAACTCCCCGCTCCTCCCCCTATTCTCCTCCTTATCCTCCTCCTCTTTTTCCCTACAGTCTCTTCCTACGTCATCGTTGCTCTACCTCAATAATCCCACTCTCCTCTTTCTGCACGCCCCAAGTCCTTTCATCCTTGTCCTCTGACTTAGGCTGTCTCCACGTCTTGGCATCTTTCCTCTCACACACATTCGCAACTACTCCTACACAATATTCGCTCCCTCCCTTCTTCCTTTCATTTCTCCAATCTCCATCCTCCAACGCGCCTCTAACGAATCCCTTCTCCATCCCCCCCGCTGCTCCTCTTCTTCCTTCCTGACTCTTCGTACAGGATACGTGCTGTGGTACCTCATCCGCCTTGAGCCCTTCACCAAGATGGCGGTGCATCTGCAGGGGGGTCACTTCGACGTCCCCGACCGTCTCTTCTGGAGCGTCGGGGAAACTTTCAAGAACTGCACGACGAGCATCAACGACGTCAAAGAGCTGATCCCCGAGTTCTTCTACCTCCCCGAGTTCCTCCTCAACCGCGCCGCGCAGGACTTCGGGGAGACGCAGTCCCGAGGACGAGTCTCGCACGTCGTCCTCCCGCCCTGGGCCAAGGGCGACAGCACTCGCTTCGTCCACATGATGCGGCTGGCGCTGGAGAGCGAACAGGTCTCGAGCCACCTGCACGAGTGGGTGGACCTTGTCTTCGGGCACAAGCAGCAGGGGGCAGAGGCGGTGAAGGCAACCAACGTGTTTCACTTCCTCTCCTACGAGAATCAGGTGGACTTGGAGAAGATCTCGGACCCCGAGGAACGGAGGGCAGTCGAGGCTCAGATCGCGGACTATGGTCAGACCCCTCGCCAGCTCTTTCGCTCTCCCCATCCTCGCAGGAAGGAGTCGAACTCTGTGCCAAGGCCAATCTTCTACGACATCCTTTTGTTCCGTGGGCTGGTGGATGAGAGGAGGAAGAGCTCTTCCCCGGTCTTCGGGACATTCACCTCCTTCCCTATCGCCTCCTCTGGGACAGGAAGCCCCGGGATGGTAGTGGGAGGGACGTACGGCAACTCCCTCCTCACGATCTCTGTGGATGGAGTCGTGGAACGATGGGCATGGGATGCGAATGTGAGCTCGAACGGGAGACCCTTCAAGGCAGAGAAGATCTCGGATGCTCACAAGGTTTCGCCACTGCAGGCAGCCAAGAGCGTCGCCAAGGGAGTGAAGGGCTTCATGCAGACAGGAGACCTGCCGTCCCTCTCCTCCATCTTCAGCGCCTCAAAGGCCTCCCTTGCTCCCCTCCTCGGCGGTGGGAGTGCCTGGGGCTACGCTCACGGCACTTGCGTATGTCTCCCTCGCCATCCCAGCCAACGATGCGAGCAGGTCCTGATCTTCCAGGGTGGCTTCGGAGGAGGAGAGGTCGTCGTGTACACGTGCAGCCCGTCCTCTCCTCCCAAGAAGACACAAACGAGGAGGCTTCACTCGAGCTGCGTGACCTGCATCGCAACATCTGAGCGCTATGAGGGTCTCGTCGATGTCCGTCTGATCACAGGCGGGGCTGATGGCTGTGTGAAGATCTGGAAACTCCTGCTGACACAGTCGGTAGGGACAAAAATCTGAAATTTCCTCCCTCCCTCCTTCCGTCCCTCCTTCCCTCCCTCCTTTC